TTGCATCCTCCATCCTCCAGATCGTTTGCCGGAAGACGGACCATAGGACCTCGGCCTGGTCGCTTGTAATGCCTAGACACTCGCAGATCCACTCGGCTTGCGTGTCTGGAAGAAACGGCGGGGCTGAACTTTCGGTATCAACATCCGAGGGGTAGGCAAGGGCAATCTCGTCGCGAATGAGACTGCATATGTTAACGAAGAGCTGAATTTGATCCGTTGTTATAGGAAGTAGGTGTGGATATGTTTCAAGAACAGATGGAATTAATGATATGTCGAGACTCATGACAGCGGAATAGATATACGGCGTGTAGGGATATAACAGACGTTAATCTAATCTAAGCGCGGCGGCGAGGCGACGCGCGGCAGTCACATCGTGGGATTTTTGTTTTAGCACCGCCACTGACGCCGCGCCGCCCAGCCTGCCGCCGCGACTTGCCGCCTTTCCCAGATCTCGGACTTTCTGGACTGGGTGCGGGGAACCGAGCTACTTAAGCGTGTGAAACCCGAGCTACGATAGGCGTGTGAGTACGCGCGACTGGGCGATAGTAGGCGACTTACTCGACGTTATTCTAAAAACAGGCGAAACGCAGTGTTTAGTACGAAAAGCTGGAAACGACTTGTCCAAACAAGCGCCCAAGGTGCCATTTACGACTCCAGCGAGCGTCAACCGCACTCCAAGCGTCTTCCGGGAACCAGGATTATGATCAGTGTCGGCCATTTGAAATGGTAAAGAGAAACAGGCAGGGTCTCTGGTCAAAACCTTTTGGTTGCCCATCAAGCTAATTGGGCCGCGTCTGCTGGACTTCTCTCTGAAATGTCAGTTGATATGAGCTTGAAGAATATGCTGGTTACCCGCGCGATATAGGCCTGTTAGTCTCAAGAAAGACGGCCTAGAGTTGCTTGTAGACCTCCGGGAGACAAGGTGACAATGTTACACCTCAAGGACGAGGAACACATTACTATACGACTGCTGAACGCAACAGTCATCTTCTTCGACAGATAGCCATGTAACTGTAACATAGTGTCTTATCTGGGAGCGAGGATAGATTTATGATAACCTACGAAATGCCAATACACATCTTCAGCTCGCACCCGCAACTGTCCTCAGCACTCGGCCCAACCTAGCACCCAAACCCCCTAAAATCCCACCTCTGCCCCGCCAACCCGTGCACCTTGTTCTCGTCCTGCTGGAACACCGCCGTGAGCTCCGCAGCGCGGAGGAACAAGCTCCCATCGAGCACGCCCAGTCCCTCCAGCTCCGCCTTCTCGCCCTCGCGAACCCACCACCCAGCGGGCCGCGCACCGTACACCCGCGCACAGTGCATAAACGCGCACACGATCTTCGCGTAGTGGTCGTTCTCGTGCACGATCGCGCTGTGTACGATCGCGAGCCAGGGGTTCGGGTTCGCGAGCGCGGCGGCGGGGACGGCGGGCGGCGCGGTGAAGTTGAGGGAGAGTGTGCCGGGTTTGAGAGGGATGTGAGTGGGTGAGGAGGGCGAGGTGGCGGTCCAGAAGGTGGTGAGGGGTAGCGGGGCGCGGCCGCGCATGATCCAGGTTGTGAGGGACATGGTGAGGAAGGAGCGGAGGTAGATGATCTGCGAGCGTGGGGAGAGGTGGGCGATGTGTGAGGGGAGGAAGAGGGCGGACGTGACGAGGTGCATGCTGTGTTTCATCCGTGGTTAGCATCTGTAACTAAACTGCTGATTATCGGGTTCCGTGGTACTGTACTTACTAGAGAAAATCTGCCTTGAACTCCTCTTCAGACCACCCGCCAACAGCGTAGATGAGCGTGTTCATCCAAAACAGCTCCTCCATCTTGCGCTCGATTTCGCCTGACTTCAACGTGTCGATCGTCCAACTGTCAGCGTACTCCCGAATGAGCGGCCCGCGCTTGGTCACCGTGAATCCATAGGCAGCGAACATATCGGGCGTCTTATGCGGGCCGAGTCTGTCGTCCTTCAGGATGCGCGCGAGGATGTCAAAGACAGCCGTCGTGCCGGCGGCATCTGGCTTTGAGGCGGATTTGCCGGGGCCGAGGAGGAGAGTGGAGACTTTAGAGGTGATAGATTGTGTCGTGGGGTCAAGTGCGGGGATGGTCTTGAAGAAAGAGGCACCCAAAAGTTCAGTTTCGGGGATAGGTGTCACGGCTGCCATCGCAAGACCTTCACATTATACGCGTCAGTGGCTAAAACCGACGGCAGCGGAGGGATGGTATACCTTCGACGGCCATTCCGGGTATCCCAAACTCAAGCCCGTATCCGGCATGGATGGCAGGATGAAGCACCGCACCCCAGTAGCGAGCTAGCATGAATGCCTGAGAGACATTGTACTCGTCCGAGAACACATATTTCTCCAGCGTCTCCACCGAACCGAGGGTTTGGACCTCCTTCGCAAAGAAGTCAAGATAAGCGGAGTAGTAGCTGCTTTTCATGAGACATCACTTTACTCAGGATATGCAATGCGAAACGTACTCTTCATCAGCTAAGTGCTCGACGAAGTTTTCCTTCGTAATCTCTCCAGGTGACCTGAACGCGGGGCGCTGAAGGTTGCCATCGTAGTCGTAGTACGCTTGAATAAGAGGGCCTGGTGCGCCCAATGCGTACAGCGCAAGAGCACGATGGGTGATATGGCTATGGACTGCCGTCATTTGATTGGATCAAAGACGCCTGAGACACGACGTACTTGTGGAATTTCTGATGGTTGAAGAAAATGTGATACTTCTGGTGATTGTCCTTGAGGACGTGTAAGAGCGCGTTGATGGACTCCTCGTCTGCGCCAGGAAGCCTCTGAGGGCAGAGCTCGGACGGCGGTGCGGAGGGCTCGCAGAAGAAAGCGCCAAGGTTCTGTGTGGTGATGGTGGCCATGATCAGAATGAACTGCGTGAATGTTGACGATGGTGAGTTTTATGACGACGTACCTTTGGTGCCTCTACGTATTTATATCCACGTTACCCTCTGTAAGTCTTCTTGTGTGCACGCCTGTGGTACATGTGCTTCACCCTGGGGCAAGTGGTTGCCATCCGCGAGAACAGGCCGATGTTGGGCTGTGCGTCCGGCTCGGCCAAGACTTACTCAGTCGCTGAATATAGTTCGTCACGGTGCCCACAGCTGACCAGCGTTGACCACTTTGATTCGCCCCGAGCGGTCGGACAAGGTGTGAGGGTCCGGTCCCACCGCAAGGTAGAGTTCGTGATGTCGAGTGGGATTGTTGCCATGATCGCAGGTCGTATCGGTAAGCGACGTTGGTTGATCCAATGTCTAAGTTGGATGAGTTTACGGTGCGTAGTTGATGAACAGAACAGAAAAGCGGGTGAGGGATAAATACGGTGACGCGAATGTGATGAAGTGAGCGTTCCCGATAAGCACGTGGTGTGCGCGTCCGCTAACACGTGACAAGTCGCGTCGCGGTGTTCTCACGGGGTCTGGTGCTCCGCCCGTTGTTTTCTCTGACTTCAACGTTGGTTCAACATCGCACTCGACGTCCACCATGCCTGCAAGACCCAAGGCAGACGTCGGCGCTCACGACCTCGATGACATATCTGACAACAGCCTGTCTTTTGAAATCCCCACCGCTCCATCTGCCACTAACCTCCTCGATGATACGCAAGACTTCTTCGATGGAATCACCGACCTCAACGCGACCTTCGCCCCCTTCAAGAGCTCATCGCCACGGAAGCCGTTTGCACCCCATAATGCTCTACCTTCAACTCAGCAAGACCAGGAGTTGAAAGCGCCAACACCATCTAAACGATTCCCTTCTGTTCCACCAGAGTCTGCCGACCCCGGCGACCAGCCCGACGCCTTTGTCGAAATCCGACGGAGTCCACGCAAGCACAAGTCCTCGTCGATTCCAAGCCCTGTCAAGCCTTCTTCTCGTCGCAAGACCGTTGCTCCCCCATCTGGAGAGGAAGAATCTCCCGCTCCATCCGCGCCTGAAGAACACATAACAGAGCTTCATCCCGACGAGTTGGTCTCCCCTCCATCCCTCAAGAATGCGGCACCTCCCTCTATTGCACGGCCGCGACCTTCTTCTGTGTTTGTCGACTTTGGTCTGCCTACTCCATCGGCGGAATCAGAACCTGCGCAAGCACCTGAGGTCAACTACCCGGAATCGCCGTCAGTAGCCAACCGTCGCAGTCGATCCAAATCGGTGAGCTCCCTCATTTACCTTATATCTACTCGTCCTCAACAGAACTTCTTTCTAGGCCACTCCTGGCAGAATCCCTGTACCAGTCTCATTCTCCCGGCGGTCGTCGTCTGCAACACCCACTCGCATTCGCACACGCACCGTTTCCTCGAACCCCGTCAACCTCCTCGAGACTCACGCCGAGGAAAGCATCACCGAGAGCCCCAACGTGTCTGTTGCAGCACATATCCCGGAAACCATCGAGGAAGCCCCATCCTCTCGGCCCGAGCTCGAGAATCGTCGCCCGGATCCTCCCTCAGAGGATGTACTGAGTCCAGCCCCTGCTTGCTTTAGCTCTCCAGCTCGCGAGGCCCCAGTGCGGCGCCTATCCTACGTACGCGCCAAGTCTGAAGCTCCCGTCCCACAAGCCAGTCTGTATCCATCACTGCCACGGGACGAGAGCCTGCCACTGTCCCCGTCGAGGATTAAGCCTCCTACTCATCGTAGGTTCAGTTCGGTACGTTCTTTCCGGTCTATACCTGGTGCTGTGCCATGAGATTGCTGAACTGATGAATAATCGTAGTTGGCTGTCGACGCTGGTATCTCGAAGCCCGTCTTCTCGTCTAAACCCAGGTATTCGTCGGCAACGCTCGGACATGCTAGAACGCAAAGTTCTCCAATGAGAGCCTTTGCTCAGCTCGAGGCCCCGGATGAGGAGCAACCACTCGAAGCTCAGGAGAGCTCCGGCATGCAGCCTGAACCCGTGACGAACCCCGCGTCTACGGCAGCAGCCAACGATGACGTGGGAGCAAGCAAGCCGACTCGCCGGGGATCAGTCGTGACGGAACGGTTCAGGCGATACAGCCAGAAGGTCTTTTCTTCGTTCGGGTACGAAATCGTCCACAGTTCTGTTACTTTATCCGCGTACTGACGCGTCTACGTAGCAAATCACGCACTCCGGAACCATCTGCTTTACCCCCCGCGGAGCCAGCTCCTGCGACGGAGGTGGTCGTCGCACTGGGAGCGAACCCGGCTCCCGCCTCCGCTGAAGTGCCTGCCAGCCCTGTGGCAGCCCCTGTCTCCCCAGTTCATGTACCCTCAACGCCGGAGCCCCGGGAGCCGTCCCCCATACTCGCGTCCCACCTTCCCATAGATGAACCGCTTAGCCCCTTGACACCACCGCCCGCGTCGCCTCCCATGCGCGAGCACGAGCTGACGCTCGAGCATGTCTCCGAAGAGGTGCCAGCATCGCCGAGTCCGGTCGCAGCCAAGAACGATGAGATGGTGGTCCAGGTTCCGCCACCGGTGGAGGCGTCGCCTCTGCGTACATCAGTTAAACGCCGCGCTCCCGAGGACGACGACGGAGCGGGCGCTTTGGCTCAGATCGAGGAGGTGGATCTGGAAATGGTGACGGAGGAGATGGAGGTGGAGGCTCTGGCCGCGCCTGATGTCGACGACGCCGGCGCCAACGTTGACGCTATGCAAGGGCCGCCTTCAGTACCTGAGGAACCTGCTGCAACGCTTCCAGCGGCCGACGCGTCCGACCCGCCGAAGAAGAGACAGCGGGTGAAGCGCGAGCATCAGCCACGTGCCTCTGCCTCCGTTTCTCCCGCCAAGGTGAAGGCGAAGGCGGACACGAAGACAGCCGTCGGTGCGAAGACTCACCCTCGGCCTTCGGTGGGCAAGCCTTCTGTTGATGTTAAACGCACGAAACCGGTGTCTAGCTCGCGTACCCAGGCTCAGCCTGCGAAGCCGAGCTCTACGTCTGGAGCTGCTGCCACGATAATCACAAAGCCATCGTCTACGTCCCGAGCTCAGCCTACGAAACCGACCTCTAATCATATCCCACCGCCGCCAGCGTCATCGCCAATGCTTGAGCAAGAAGTGGAACCCGAACAGGCTCTCGAGCGGGCTCCGGTTTTGCCCAGCCCAGAGCCGGCGGTGAGCGAAGTCAATACAATGGAGACGCACGTCCCATCGCTGCCGCAGTCAACGGAGATGTCTCTGCGCACCTCTACGAAGCGTCGGGCGCCTGAGGAAGAGGAGGCGCTGAGCCAGGTCGCTCCAATCGCGGAGGTGGAGGAGAAGGCGGAGGTGGCGGCAGAGTCGGACATGGAGCTGGACGTTACAACTACATTCGGCGTTGGCAATGTCGACATCGACGACGCTGATGCGCAGGCGCCGCCATCGGTACCCGATGAACAGGCTGTAGCGCCGCCGGCAGTCGATGTGTCTGATCCGCCCAAGGAGAGGCAGCGGGTGAAGCGCGAGCATCAGCCTCGCACTGCCCCTCCTGCCCCTGCGCCCAAGGCTAAGGCTGGCACGAAGCCGGTTGTCGGAGCGAAGGTCGACGGGAGGCCTCAGACGAGCAAGACTTCTGTCGAGGTTAAACGCACGAAACTGGTGTCCACATCACGCGCCCAGACTCAATTTACGAAACCTATTTCTACCTCGGCGGCTAGCACTGCGACCACGGCCAGTACCGCGAAGCCAACCTCGACCTCGCGGGCTCAGTCTACGAAGCCGGTTTCAACCTCGGCAGCTGCCACCACAACCGCCGCCGCTCCTCGGTCCCGTGCACCCCATAGCCAAGGCACGATTCGGACGGAGGCGCGACGTGCGGTGCCTGGCTCCGCTGCGTCTATAGGTGCGAAACCGCCGAGCAAGCAGAAGACGTCAAGAATGGAACGCGTCAAGAAGCTGGAAGTTCCGGTGGCGGAAGCCGCACCTGCACCCGAATCTGCGCCCGCTCTCGCCGTGACGCCCACGGCTGAGGTTGCGACGGAAGTGATGGCACCTTCTGCGTCCGCTCCTGCGGTTCCTGCGGTCGTCGAGAAGCCCGAGGCGGAGGAGGTGCATTCGGAGGTTGAGGACGAGCAGGAGCTTATGGCTCAGGCGGCGATGGACGCAGACGTGGTGCCGTCTTCGGAGGGGATTTCTGGCGACGCGGCGGAGACAGAGGCTCTAGCACCTGTCCCTACCGATGACGCAGCTGACGTGGAGGCTCCAGCAGCCGTACACAACGACAACTCCGTCGCAGCACCTGTTGCAACGAAGGCGAAGGTCGAAGATCGCCCGACGAAGAAGGCGAGGACGGCTCACGTCGCCGCTCCTGTTCATGCTAGACCCAAATCGAGGATGTCAGCGTCCCGGGCTGAGAAGGCTGCTGCGGCAGCTGAGAAAGCGAAGATGCGCGCACGAGCGAAGGTCCAGACGAAACCTGATTCGACGTCCGAGATGGCTAAACCAGTGAGTCCAATGCTCTCATCGATGAAGCTTAACATACTAATCATCTATCATCCTTTAGAAGAGCGGCTTCCAGCCTGCGACAGTCCCAGCGGAGTTCACCTTCCGGATGGACGCCAAGCCGTCTGCCCACACCCACCACCAAGGTGCCTCTGGTGACGCCAAACCAGACTGGGACATTAACTTCAACTCCAATGCTGAGTCCGAGTCCAATCCATGCGCAGGCTCATCCGGCGCTGCGACCACCAACTCCAACCCTACGCGCCCGCGCGCCCCCATTCCGGACTTCAAAGCCCTGCAGGCCGCGCACGCCGCCTCCCTCGCCGCGAAACGGCCCACCGTCGTGCCTGTGTACCCAACTGCCGCGCCAAACTTCAAGACCGTCAGCCGCATGAAGGAGCGCGAGAAGTTTGATGCGCTCATGCGTGCGCACGAGGAGGGGAAGGGGCGGGAGAGGGCGGAAGAGAGGCGGAAGCGGGAGGAGGAAGAGGAAAAGGAGTTGAGGGAAATGAGGAAGCGGGCGGTGCCCAAGGCGAATGAGGTGCCGGAGTGGTACAAGGATGTGCCGAAGAGGGAGAAGGAACAAGAAAGGGGGAAAGGGAAGGAAAGGGAGATGTCCTGAAAGTGCGAGTTGGGGTGAGCGGATAGATTGTGTTTGTGGGCGCGTAACGCGTTATGTGTACTTATCTCTATGCTTTGCAACAGCTTTCGTCGTTTATATTGTTTATTTCGAGGATTTCATAAAATTTCCTCTTTAATCTACAGTTATGCTTTGCTTTACTTGTATTATACACAGAATGCAGTTGGTTTGCAGTAGTCGGCGCGAGCCGGTGGTAGTGAGTGAGATCGCGCTTTAATCATATCCACCTAACTTACTGGAGCAAAGTGCTAACACGTCGTTGGCAGAGTTCATCGATCATCTCAAAACGGGCTCCTGCGCCGCAGGAAATACACGTCTGCGAAGGTCGCGCGAGATGGTAACTTTGACCAACATGGTTACCCATCACAAATTGTGGACGTTGGGTTACGTGAAAGCAGTCACAATATGGACTCGTCATGGCATGTTGTTTTTAGGAACGACTGGAAACCATCCAGTGGCCTCGTGGCGCGTGGACTGTACCTATGGACATCAAAGGTCGGCGGACACCGAGGCTTGAAGATCCATCAACAAGAAGTTTTCGTGATTGGCTGATATTCGTGATAAGCTTCAGCAAGTTGTACTCCAAGGCGCAACGGAGCTACGCCACCCCGGTTTCCAAGTACGCTTCAAAATAGTTCATGCGAGTTTGATCACCTTTCAAGGTATGTCTCCATAGCTTTTTGTCATGGTTCATCAGGAGCTAGAAGCACTTGGAGCTGAAGAAGCCTGCTAGAACATATCCTTAGCACAGGAAAGGCACCGACAAAGGCGGCGCGCTGTGTCATGCCAAACGTCAGTTTGTTATATGTATGGCGACGCCTGAGGCATTTCGTCGTCTTTCAGCCCTTTAGCCCCCTCCCATTTAGACTTAGTCCCTGATTTACGCTGTCAATGCCGAAATGAATTCCTCGATGAACCTCACTTCAGCAGAGACTAGTGCCGTTGTCTCCATCTTGGAGAGGATGCCCGTCTGTCGTTATGTCATTAGTAAGCACTGAGCTCCGTGTAGCAGAGTATGCAGCTTACGGTAAACTTCTTGATAGCCTCCATGACGGTCCTTTACACTTGGGATTACGGTGCGTGGGTGTTGAGCTTGGTTCAGCTGGGTGCTCATTCGGGCTCCTCGTAGTGTTGACATTCTCCGATGAGGTGAGTGTCTTGTCCGCACGGTTTAAAGTAAGCTCGGATGCTCAGTTTTGCGACAGATTGACCTTTTTTGGGTGAGCAAGCTCTTCAGGCTGATTGAAAATATGGGCCCAACGCTTTCTAGCGGACGAGGTTGACACTTTTGAAAGCCATCTTCCTGATCGTGCGTGATGTCTATCGGTATTCGCGCAAGTGTACTGATATTGGACCGAAGAATCGGTACTTGGCACTTTTCAACGGCGTACTGATGACATCTTGTTGGTGCTCCCTAGTTTTCTTTTGCGTGCTTTACTCTAACTCTTATTGTGCTATATGAAGTTATTGTCTCTTATTTTCGAACTCAAGCAATGTGAGTGGTCACCCATAGAAAACGATGTATCTTCGAGCGCTCATCAAACGGCTTGTAGGTGTTGGTACCATTTCACCTTCTATAGTATCATGCATAACTTTGACGGAAACTCAGGTGGCTTTTATGATGGGACGATCCTTGGTAGGTCACGTCATTGGCGTTTTCTTGACACAACTTAACTGAAGTCAACGTGACCGACAGCATGTGTAATATGGTCCAATGTTGAAGGTGCACGTTGTAGCTGCCGAGTCTGATTGAAAATAAGTGCTAACCCATGATGCAGTGATTCTGCAATATCACCTCTTCGCCGTCTATGGATATAGTGAGTAACATTATTTGACAAGTACGTCACTGGAGCTCACTCTGTCCACCTATCAGAAAAAGCGATCGTGGTTCCTGTCATGACAGCGTTCGTGCTTTGCTCTGGGCTTGCCTGGGGTCTAGCGCTTGGAAACATTATAATAGCTGCTCGACGTATGTGCGCATCACTGCGTATAGCATCGATACCTGGACTGACTACGCATGCACAAGTTTCATCTCCACCGGAACTGGGTATCTGCACTAGTCCACAGACACCTCTGTTGACAGCAAGCTGGTATGGAGCATTTATATCTGCCGTTCCGAAGATATTGACAGGACAAGGATACCACTTATGGTGATGGATGCGTTGCTCATGGTTTTGATCGGCTTCAAGACCGTCAAATACCATCTGCAGGTCGTTGACCGAAGTTGGACCGGAGCGAGTCTGATGAAGACGTTTGGACAGGGAGCGTTTCTATGTTACTGCTGGTGTGTTTCCACGGAATATTGATAGCAGTGAAGAGTACCGCTGACGCCATTATCCAGCGTCTTCTTCTCAGGCGTACTTCTCGTTCTGCTGTCGCTATTAACGAAAGCACCGTTCACTTCTCTCGGGGGGCCGGTTTTGGTCTCTCTTTCGACCATGTCCATCAACCGTCTTGTCTTCGATATGAACAAAGTAAGCAGGGCCCAGGAGAACGCCGGTGCGGGAACGAGTATCTTCACGGTTCGAAGCGCTATCGCATTCGCCGTTGGCCGACAGGGTGTAAGTTGGCCTGCTCACTTTGTACGGAACACACTACCAACTCTGACATACCTCTTTGATAGCAGATCAACCTGTCTAATTCTGACGACATCATCGAGCTGGCACTGTACAACGAGCTGGACCTCGCCAATGTACATGCGCGTCGACTTGGCGTTAGAGATTGATTTACGCCACAATATGTAGAGGACAACTTCTATGTTCGTACTTTCGCTGTCGAGGATGCCCGGTACAGGCCGGCGTCTCGAATGCAAGTATAATATTGTTTTATTCGATTTCGGCCAAAAACGGCGTCAAAACGGCATCACATCTAAGAAAACGCCACTCAGCGTCTATTTATCAAGGGGGTGGTCGGGGTCCCCAAAATACCAAACCTCCAAGCCCACTAATTTTCCATGAGAACTCTGGGGCACTTGTCCGAACTTTCATTTGCTTCAACATCACCCTGTGCTCGAATGGCGAACTCTAGTTATCAAACCATTGAACGATGGTCATCGACCCTTGCAATGACGACGGCCATCTCGCTCGTTTAAAAGTAGGTATTTGGTGAGTCCTTTGAAATCGACTGTCCCACGTCCTGCGATAACCGCCTCAACTCAGCAGCGGTGTGTAGGAGCCCTGGCTCAGCTATGCTCAAAGTTACGAACGTCCTGAGTCTCCAAGCCACTAGGAATCTATCGGCGCACCGCGGGATGCACCCCCGTACAGCATCTCCCCGTGACCGCGACAGGATACGTATTCATAGCACCTCCGGCAATTTCCTTGATAAGATGCCCGCGTCCACCGCGCAACGGCCGACCGCTGGTCATTAACCATGACCTCCTCGCAGAGAATGAACGTCGGGGTAACGGGCTTGGCCTCAGCAGGTGAGTTAGAAGCTCATTCAAAACCCAAAACCCCTAGCTTTTCCCAAGCCCCCCGCCGTAGGAGGATGTCAGTCCAGACGCAACGGTAAACTTTGATTTAATGATATTATCCTTGGTATTCCGGACGAGTCCCAGTGCTGACAGGTCCCAACAGATGCGCCTTGCACTCTCCTGCAACGCCTTCAACGTTTTCACACGATTTCAATGGGCTTTTACTATTCTGAGATCGCCTCTTTAACGGAAAGCGAATATTCCCGGCCACCAATCAACCTCCGACGCATTCCCACCTCAGCTCATGAGCCACAGGATAGCTAAATATAGCGCCTCATCTCCCTGAAGACTATGCCTTCACCAAGCAGGACTCGGGCCTGTCCAAAAGTCCTGTCAGATGCCTGTCGCCCGTATCCCTCGACAATCTATGTGGTGGTCCCGAACTCGACGGAGAAGCTCTGCTCCTCGTATAAATCATCCCTCCGCGACTTACTTTGTTGGCTTCTTTCCCCCCTGTCCACCCATCACGAAGACAAGACAAATTAAGGTTAAGACTTTATGAAATCTTCTTACGATCACACAGACATGACTTATACAAATGCTACACCGTCGACCGCGCTAGTTGGCCTGGCCCTACTCTTTGGTTATGTCTTATTCGGCTACACATGCATGCAAGCGTATTCTTATCTCTCAACCTCCTCTAAGGAGTCAAGGGTACTTAAGATATGGGTGAGCGTCGTTCACTTTACTTCCTTCACCGTGTCTTCTGTCTGAGCTCACGTAGTGCTTCCAGGCTCTCAGCGTTATGTGCGTCTTTTTCTTCTCATGAGCTATACCATACTAAGCGTACGGATTATTTCAGTACATTCAATCTCGGACACCTCTTAAACGCTTCAGTATGCTGGCTAGAGTACGGTAACCCAGGATTCGGCGGTATCGTGCCGAAGGTCGTCTCAAATAGGACCGGTGCAACTATCATATGTGGCGGTGCGGTGTCCCTTCTTGTGCGGGTGAGTTGCTGTGTTTCCTTTACAAGCGAAACCCTACGGATGCTCATGTTCTCCTTCAGTTCTTCTTCGTCGGACGAAGCATTCGCATAGCCGTCCTGCAGAACTCGTCGCTGCTTATTCTTGCACCCTGCTTTTGCATCACCACCGCAGTGTTTGCGTTTGTCTTCACTATGGTGCTCGGTATTGGCGCACCTGATGCATCTCTAGTCGATACATACACGGTGCAGGAACACTGGAGAATTGACATGGCGCTCAATGTAGGCTTAGCATGCGACGTCATACTCGCAATTCCGGTGGTTCACTCTTTGTATACCAAGAAGTGAGCGTCTCGTGATCTCTTCTTGTTAGTACGTATGCTCAGTTCTCTCTTCTTATTTAGGATCCGCCGTGTTCAGAAGCGCGACCTTTCTTGGCTATTCGGTGAGTAAATGGATTAGAATAGTTACGAGAGACTGTCCGCCGACAAGTCCGTAGAAACCGGCTTTCTTATCAGGTCAGTAAGGTTTTTTGAATCACCCTGGCTCAGGTTACAACGATAGATACATCTAACATCATCTCGTAAAGCATCCAGCAGCTCTTCTTGAAAGTCAATGTAAGTGCATCTACGAGTTTAGGTGATATTCCCTTCGCTGATGTACTTCATTCAGATGTCTAGCAGTGCACCGAGGGGTACGACTCAGCGCCCTGCTATATTGATCCCTTTTGAAGATTTGTCACAGAGCTATGTCTCGCAATTTACGTGTTATCGGCGAGCAGTGAGTACATTTTCCTCGTACGCTGAGCCACTATACTAAGTGGCCGCGATTCGTTCCAGTCTCCGCATGTTCCATGCTTGCTGCGTGAGTGTTTCCAGTCAAATTAAGGGGTATCCGTCTGACTAGTTTACCGGCGTCAGTTTGAGTAACCGAGATTATCGGAAAAAAGACTTGTCTGTTCTGGTCGAAAGCCAAGAGCCTTTTGATGCTGAACTTGAGAAATCGGTTCAATAGTACCTGCGACAGGAGAGATCACATAATAGATAGAACTTATGGCTTGTGTATGACGTACCTTTGCTTGCTGCTACACCCGCTGTTAATTTGAACATAGACATCATATTCTTGAGTGGCATTGGTTAATCACCGGTCTATTCTGAGGCGTTAAAGGATTTCAAGAGCTTGGCTGAAGATACGAGGTTATACGTTCTCTCGTGGTGTGTGAAGAGGGCTTCGTAGTTCCCTGAAAGCAGGCCATATAAGTAGTGAATTGACTAAACTGTGGTCTGGTGAGGAGCTTTCCAGAAAGCTTTTCGAAGTCGGCCCTTTCTCTTACCTTTTGGCATTCCACATCTGACCTGAATCTATTATTCAAACAGTCTAGGATACAAGAAAATCAAGCAGTCATTGAGCCTTACGTGTATTTTGTAACCAAAGTTAAGCAAGTTGGAACATGCGTCGCGGTGAGCATAGACGTGGTTGTTCGCGGAAGTAGTCGGACCGGCTGTCTCCGGAAGCTGTCGAAATCTTTGAGTCGGAGCGCGAAGGACACGTAGCGCGCGACGCATCGCGTTGCACAGCAAGAGATCGAACTTGACGCTGACGCTTGCTGAACGTCGCTGAACCCGCTCGCGGACTTTATCGTGGGTCGCAAACGGCCAACCAGCCAATTGGCCTGGGTCTGGTCTTCACCATCGTCACTGTCGGGCTCCAGAAATAGCCATTTCAAGTTGTCTCGCACGAGGATTTCGTACACCACGGTGCTGCTCGGTGCATGCACGTCTCCGCGATCTAAGACTTCAAAACAACGCAATCTGTAGTTCATCAGGTACGTAGTCACTCCCGAATTATCCTCAATGCCTCTCATCATTAGCTAGATGTTTCGATACGCCCCTGCTCAGGGCGACCGGGCTGGTTGGAACAAGCTCGCTCACGAGTGTGCTCAGGGGGCCATTTTCAACTCAGCGGAACGCCTCCCGCATTCCAGGTGTCTCCCAAATACAAGGGAGGGCCTTCTCAAAGACTTGAAATCGCTGATTCTTGACCAAAGGCGCAAGATTGTGTGGTTATCGGGTGACTCCGGCTCTGGGAAGTCTACAGTAGCCCATACGTTCGCGGAAGAACTTCAAAGGAAGGACAAGCTTGTGGCGACATTCTTTTTCTCGAGGAAGCATACTAAGCGCAGCACGTTCAATCACTTCCTTCTCACTATAGCTTACCAGCTTGGGTTACACCATCCTCGCGCTCTAGAGGTCATCATGAAAGCCATCTCCGACGATCCCGCGCTGCTATCTTCTCAGAAGTCACGTAATGACCAATTTGAGAAGCTGTTCATCGCTCCTCTGCAGCATCTTGCCATGATCTGGCGGGGGAAGATCGGCATGTCACTTATCGTGGATGCGTTGGACGAGGGCACCACTAGTGGCACATCCCACATCGAACCATTCATCTCGATTCTCGCCCGCCTCATTCGAGACGAGACTATCCCTATCCATAACATCATCATCTCCGGCAGGCCCTGGCCGCAGATACAAACGGTTATGCTTGCAGATCATCTAGCAGATATCATGAATGTTTTACGACTCGACGATTACGACTCTCGGCAGGACGTAGAGCACTACATGCGCCATGGGTTTGGGCGGATTTACGATGCTCATGATCTCTCTTTCCTGTATCCTAAGCCGTGGCCGTCATTCAACGACTTCACGATGTTGTCGGAGAGAGCTAACGGGCGCTTCATCTTTGCAGCGACCATACTCCGACTCGTTGACCGAGATCAGCCTCACGATCACCTTGCGTTGGTCTGCAGCATGATTCGAGGAAGCGTAGAGCACGCGTGGGGTAACATCGACTTTCTCTACGCGTCCATTATCAACAGCATCGACCCTTCTGCTCGCAGCATCGGATTACGCTACCTGTCCCTCATCGTTCATCTCGCTGAACCCCTCTCCTTGTCCGACTTACACAGGTTCTTCGGCGTTAACATTTATCCACACCTCTTACCATTCTCCGCTCTGATATCCATCCCATCTCTGTCGTCCTCCGAAGTAGTTCAGATTTACCACAGCTCGCTGCGCGATTACCTTCAGAAAGAAACCAATCGCGTCGATGTCCGAAGCACGCAGCTACACCGACCGCTCGCGACTCAATCCTTTCGCACGATGGCAAGGTTGCTAAAGCGCGACATATGTGGACTCGGCGACCCATCGTTGTTACATCACGAAATCACTGACTTTGCTCAGAAGCGCGATCGCGGCATTCCGGGTGCCCTCAGATATTCTTGCCTTCATTGGTTGTATCACCTTCAGCAGGCCGATCTAGATATGACAATCCGCGCTCAGCTCCTCGACTTTCTGGAGAAGCGCATTCTGTATGCTATAGAGGTCTATGGGATACTCGGTGAGTTGGTGACCGGCGTAAACATACTGAGGGACGCTCGCAAACTTGTGGCAGTGAGATCCAATCCTTTACTTATTCTTCATTTACGTACTAACGCTTCGTCTGTAATAGACCTGGTCTAAGGATTCGTTTTCCGGCAAGGACCTTGCCCTGGCATTGCTCTATGACAGCTGGAGATTAACGCTGGATTTCTTCGATGCAATCAACACGTCCGCACTCCATGTATACGAGTCTGCGCTGCCCACTTCTCCTGCCATGTCACAGATCCGCTTTACGTACGCTCACGTCCTAGCGGAAGCAACTGTCTTCGTATTTGAAGAAGGGCTAGACGAGCAGTGGGACTGTGCTCTACGTGTGGTCCAGTTGGAGAATGTCAACGATATCTCTGCCGTCTCTCCAGACGGTTCTCAAGCCGTGATAGAGGTCAGGGACTTCTTGAAGGTCCTGGATACAGCTACGGGATGTGTCATTGCTTCGCTCCCCACCGATAACTTAGATTGGCCATTTCGCATACACCACAATGGGTCACTTGTAGCCATCACGAGCCCGATGCCCCAGACTCGGGTGGTTCATTTGTGGCACCCTGCCAGTGGCGGCATGTCATCGCTTGCTTTGCCGCCAGCAACGTCTGTGGTTCGGGGGTCAGCATTTTCTCGCGATGGGCACAGGCTTGCAATAGCATGTTTCCAATCGAGCTCGAGCTTATTTGGCTCTGTATCTTCTGCCATAAGCTCCAACACCACCATCGAGGTGTACAGTACGCACAGCTTCCAACAAATCTCAAGTTTTCCCCTCCCATCCCGAGATCCCTCCGATGCCGGGTCCTTGACAATGGATTTCTCACCTAGCGACCACTCCCTTATGGTAAACGCCAACTGCGACATCCTGATATTGGACCCAATAGACGGCCGCCTGCATACGCAGATACGCTGTGAGGATCAGTCAGGTGTCTCGCACTTCTTCAGCCCGGACGGTGACTTCGTCGTTCATTCCCGCAGTGGGGAAGGTGCAATAAACCCGCTATTCCTTCATGAGATATCCGACTGGTCTCCTCCGTATCAACTCACATGTAGAGATGGCCCGTCGAGCGCAAACTCTCCTGCGTTGAACTTAGAGAAAATCGTGTACAGAGGAGTACAAATAGCGATAAAATTAGGAGACGACGTCAACATTACTACGGTTCCAAGGGGACTGCCGAACGATGGACTCAGGACGCGGTGGAAGAGCCTCAGCGAGGAATGCTTCGGTGCGATCGTGGCTCATGACGCAATCCACATCGTTGATCTGGCCCAGGCTGCTCTTCTGCGGAACACCCCAGCGTGTACGCGTCCGCCACCTTCAGGTTATCAGGTGGTTTGTAGACCTACACATATGGGAGGCCTCAAAGTCTTCAAAGCGAACGAAGAGGATAGATACATTGTCTGTGATACCAATACCGGCATCTTTGTTTCTGAGATTATCCCCGAGCACCCACCTTCCGGACCGAACCTTCACTTCTCGGCGACCCTCGCTCCACGTCTTTCTCCTACGTCTGCCTACTTCGCAGTTGCAACATCCCGCCTTGATCACGTCTTTATTGACTTATGGGATCCTCACTTGGGAGCTCATATCGGTCAGGCATCCACCTCTTGCGGCTATTTTAACTTCGTAGAAATTCATTTCCCGGTGGACGAGACCGCCGTATCACTGTTCCTGATCCCAGAGGGAAAGATTGCTATATTTTCCTTGGAACATGACACCATCACGCCTCTGGCAACGTTATCAGACCCCTTACTCTCGATTCCTCAAACGATCTCTAGCGGCCTGTTTTGTAAGATCGCCAAGGTGTCACGAGATGCAGTCGATTGGTGGAGGAAAGAGGAAGACGACACATTGACGTATCATCTCCGGTGGAGTAGGGCGACTTCAGAGATCGTGAGAATGGCATCATTTCAGCTCCCGAAGGTGCACGACGTGACGCACTCACCAAGTTTCAAGAGAATCAACTGCCTGACATGGGACCAGAAGCGATTTTCCATGATATTGAAGTCAGAACAGCTAGAGTCCAGCAGCATGATAGTAGATGACAGAACTCACATGACATACGAAGTCGATGAAGATAATGATCCGGATGCTTTCTTTGACAGCTTCTCCTGGTCGGACCTCTGCATTGACAAGGACGGGTGGCTCAGGAAACGGAGGCGAAGACTATGCTGGCTTCCCGAAAGATATAGACCCTCTTTCCTTCGAGGCGGTAATGGTTTAGCAGATTTAGGTGGCGTTTTGAGGCTGTCTGTGAGTGGAGATAAAGTTAAAATCCTGGACCAAGATGACGATGGGATCGTTACAGTACGACTTCCGAATACTAACGTCGAGTACTTTGATACTATTATATAGTTCACGTGCGGTTCAAAGAGCGATGTCGCCAAACGTTGATTTTATCACTGACCAGATCTTCGCCGATAGCTAGTCTGATGTATGTTCTTGTATCTCTTAGGGCTGGGCACACCGAATCGTAGTTGAATCTTTGCAGTCTGCCGATTAATTGCGTTCTCGCTGGTTCTCGCGGTGGAACGTATCTACTGCAACGATTATTATTTTTAAGAATGATAAGATGTGAATTGAATGCACAGACAAGCTGGCTCTTTCACCTATATGTGGTGGGTCGCTGAAGCACTGAAGATTTGGCCCAGAAATAAGCTTTCCGTTGCCTTTCCATGACGCGCTTGCTCCTCCCACAGACACAGAGCGTGCGAAACATTAAAGAGTCCTGTTCGCTCCATCTCCCAAAGACATGATTGGTGGGCGTCTAGTATGTACCTGCTGACTCCCGAGCGCTTGAGTGTCCGGCATAGGCCGCTCGCCATGAGGCGTTCCCACAGCAGGTTGAGAAGTCCTGCGTCCGCTCAGATCTCAGACTCGAACCGCCATGAGTACCAGCCAGACAAGTACATCCATCGACTCCCTCCCATAATATCGCTGACGATGGAATCAGCAGCGCCGATCAACCAGAACTACTGGGAAAAGTTGATCCAGGAATGCGCGATAGGCGCAATATATGACTCAAGAGAGCGCGAACCCTTCTCCAAGTGCCTTGAGGGCACCCGCGTCGACCTTCTCCGATCGCTCAGGAACGTTGTCGACGAATCAGGTCCGGAGAATAAAAAGATGATATGGGTCTCGGGAGAGTCGGGCTCAGGCAAGTCAACAATAGCGCATACGTTCGCAGACGAGCTCCGCCAGCAGGGAAAACTCGCGGGAACCTTTTTCTTCTCCAGGAAGCACACGAAGCGCAGAACCTTTGACCTTGTACCCCTTACCCTCGCCTATCAGCTTGGCCTACACCATCACCGCGCCCGGGAAATCATCACGAAAGCAATTGCCGACGATCCGGGTCTCCTTACTCCCGAGAAGTCGCGTCAAGATCAGCTAGAGAAGCTCGTCATTGAGCCTCTCAAACAGCTCGCGGTGATTTGGGGGAAGACCAATGGGATGTCTCTCATCTTCGACGCGCTTGATGAGGGTACTGCCAGCGGTACAGCTTACATCAGTCCCTGGATTACGACGGTCTCTAGCCTTCTCAGAAACTCCTCCCTTTCCATTTACAGCATTATCATCTTTAGTAGACCATGGCCGCAGATTCGGACGGTTATGTGCAGCAGCAGTTTCTCAAGCATCATGACATGCGTGCAGCTTCAGGAGTATGACTCGCGTGAGGATGTCAAGTGTTACCTCGAGCACGAGTTCAGACAGATCTACGACGAACACGAACTCATGGATCTATCCTACACCTCTTGGCCCACTGAACAGGAGTTCTCTCTTGTATCAGAGCGAGCCAACGGTCGCTTCATCTTTGCAGCAACTATAGTCAGATTGGTTGCTCAAGATCAGCCGCAAGATCGTCTCCCCATGGTCTGCCGCATGCTCGAAGGTAGCAGCCGCCTTATGTCGGGAAACATCAATGAACTTTATTCTTCGATCATCGATGGTTTCGACGACTCCGTTCGCAGTATCGGATTGCATTACCTCTTCCACATTATTCATCTTGCTGAACCTCTCTCACCGTCTGAGCTGCGCCGGTTGTTCGGGAAGGACGTTCACTTGTATCTTCTACCCTTCTCGGCCCTGATGTCCGTTCCTTCGTCCGATTCATCCGATCTCGTCCAACCCTTTCACACCTCCTTTCGCGATTTTTTGCAGATACAGATGGAGTGCATCAGGCTCGCCGGTCCCGAAGTGCACAGATTGTTGACTTACCGTTGTTTTAGCGTCATGGCGGGTCTCCTGAAGCGAGACATCTGCGGACTTGCAAATCCCTCGCTGTTCCGTACCGAAATCTCCGACTTCGCTCAGAGACGGGACAAGAATATTCCTCTGGCTCTGAGATATGCTTGCCGACACTGGCTATACCACCTTCGGCAGACCACTCCGGATGACGGCATCTCAGGACATCTTCTAGCGTTTTTAGAAACGAAGGTTCTCTTCGCGATCGAAGTCTATGCCCTGCTTGGCGAACTTGCCGTTGGAGCCGAGATACTCAGGGCTGCTCGCAAACATGTCACGGTAAGAGTGGAATCGAGCTTTGAAGCACGTCGTTTGCTAATTAAGCAATTCAGGGCTGGACTAAGTCGCTCGTTCCCCGTAATGGCGACATTTTGATTCTGCTCTATGATAGTTGGCGCTTGACTCTCGACTTCTTCGATCCTATCAGTGCATCCGCTCTCCATGTCTACGAGTCGGCGCTCGTGTGCTCTCCCGCTGAGTCGCAGATACGGCGTGTGTATGGGCATGTACTTGCAGAAGCAACAGTCTTCATCTTTGAGGACGGATTGGATCCCCAATGGAATAAAGTGATACGTGTCGTGCAACTTGACGACAAATTTGGTGAACACGACAGTGGGCCCTACCGTGTCCGCTCCGTCTCTGTGTCTCCAGATGGTTCTCAGGCTGTGATTGAGTGCGGGAAAGTGATATCACTACTCGACACAGCTACAGGAACAATCGTCACATCGCTACACAAGCAAGACCTTGATATGGCTGTCACTAAGTTCTGCGATATTTGTATATGCCACACTGGTCTACAAATAATCATATCAACCCAATCCAATTCGTTTAGGTGTCTATTGTGGAAGCTCTCCGACAGGTCAATAACATCTTTCGATCTGCCGCTAGACGCTTGTCCTCTTAGCCTCGCCTGTTCTTACTATGATGGACGCAAGATTGCCATTCTGGGTTCCAGCGAACAATACCCAGAACATCGATGGCCTCGGGGGGGCTACTACAAGGTCACCATCAATATATATGATGCGGACTCGGAGACCCACCAGCAACTTTCGCACTGGGAATATCAAACTCAAAACGTTATCCACCCGATGTTGGAATTCTCGCTCAAAGGTGATTGGCTGATGGCGGATACCCAGTGCGAGGACGGCATTTTCATTTTCGATTCCACAAGCGGTCAACTTCTTTGGCATCTCCTCTGTAAAAGCGGCCTCGCCGATCACTTCTTCAGTCCTGACGGGGACTATATCCTACACGCATTGAAGCGGGAAACCTCGAGCCCCTACAGCTTTCACAGCATACCCGAACGCAGTGCATCAGCCTCACGCTCGCCCTGCGGCACCGTCGGAGGGTGCAGACCAACTGCAAGCGAAGAGCGAACATTCACGGATCACACACCAGAGCGCGTCGTCGACGATGACAACAAAATAATAGGGACACGAGTCGGCGATAGTGTTTCCACGCGTGCATGGACAAATTATATATATAGCACAGCACCAGACAGGGGCCCTTGGCGGCGTCTTGTCGAGGGGTGTTTTCACGTAATCGCACATGGGCGCGACTCGCTCGCAATCGTTGACATGGTGCAAGCGAGCGCTCAAGGGCATCCGCGGCCTGTTCACGTTGCGGAGAATGAAGATACGTCTAGAAGTTGGTGGCCACATGACTGGTCTGCCGTTGGACGCTCCGATCAGTGTGACATGATTGCCTTCAAACCAAGAAAAGATCCGATTGACGACGCCGAACTCTCCACTCGCTATCATATCTATGACACCAACTCTACCACATGTCAATGTGAAATCCTGCTAATGGACCTTCTTGAAGCCAATGGAATGGGACATGGTCGTATTCCAGGATTTCCCCGCTTTTCACCGAAATCTACGTACTTTGCGTTAGCCGTTCCGAACCACGCACGCTTTGCTTTCGGACTATGGAATTCCAGGACAGGCATGCACTTAGGAAGCACTGCTATAGATATAGTTCTCGACGACAGAGATCATACTGGCCTTGTGTCCAGCATTCATTTCTCGGAGGATGAGACCGTGGTGGCAATGGTTTACGGTTATCCTGAATACTCGACCGAGGATCCCGACCTTACAATTGCCTTTATATCTCTGGAACAAGGCGACGTCAGGCTAGTAGCATTATTCCCAAATCCGGATGAAGAGATATCGTTTCTGAACGGCAGAACACTAAAAGTCATTTCTGTGACTCGGGATTCGGTTGACTGGTGGGGTCTATGCAGGGGCGATACCGTGTGTCATCTTCACTGGAGGAGAGCAACATCAGAAATTGTGAAAATATCATCTGTGGAAAGTCTACGGCATGGGTTTACCTCGGTCGAGCACACCCCAAGTTTACAGACCATACACTGCAGGAACTGGCAAGATCAATGGTTCCGCATGAGGTTATCCCCAGAATCGGACTCCGAAGACGCATTGGACGAAGATTCGGAGCAAGGGAAGTACATACTCGAAGAAGATAACGACGAAACAGCGGTCCCTGACACCCTTTCTTGGTCAGACCTATGTCTTGATCCATACGGATGGTTTCGAAAACGAAATCATCGGCTCTTCTGGCTCCCAGCGCGGTACAGACCAGTTGATTATGATGAAGATGGGCTCAAATTAGCTATAGTAGGCGACAGGGTTACGATACAAGGTCTGAAAAACGATCGCACCATTACGATACGACTTCTCAATACCGAGATCGATTACTTTGTGTAGACGCTTGTTTCTAGGACACGGAGTTTATTAAAGCGCAGATGGTCAGAGTTCACATACGCAATGCAGATGCAACTCACTGTCCGCGGTAACCACTGCCGTGTCGTTGCACCGGATGTACGTACTCACCGAACTTGCAAGTCGAAGGACAACTTCTCGAACAGTTCATGACCATGGTCATGAAGGTGAACCCGCGTGTCAAGTGCAATCCAATTCGCACGCCGATGTCATGAAAACAATACATAGGCATAAAAACGAGAATTCTGCGACTAGAACGTGGAATGCGTCGCCGCGATCCCTATAGCATATCCACAAAAGACGAAGAAGCGAAAGGGGAATGGCAGAACGCAGAGAGTTTCATGATGCCGAAGACGGATCCAGGTATATATGGAAGGTCATTCATAAAACGACATGGGTATCAGACTTGACATCCAAGTAAGAGCCAACTCGTTAACACCCGTCGTATGTATGCCAACATTGGAACTCGAGGACTAGAATACCGCATAGAACATCCGAGATAGGCGCCTGTGGGCGAGAGGTGATCGCACACGAGCGATACGGGGCATGTGTCGACGCGACAGAAGCGTTTGAGAGAAGTGCTCGTTATCCACCTCACTCACGATATCGCCCTCGTCGCTGTCCACTGTGACGCCGCCGCTCACGTGCACCTCGAGCTCCTTCAGGCGTGAACGGCATGCACCGATCGTATCCCTTGCGTTATGAAAGCATGTCGCAGGTCGTCGGGCGTGACGAAGACCCTCTACTCGAGTTGGGCCCGTGGCTCGTTGGGCACGTGCCAGGCTATCAGGCGCCTAAGCACTCTTAGAGAGACGAGCGACAGACCTTAAATGTGTCTGTGATAGGTCGTGGGGCCATGGTGTCGCTGATGGGGAAGAGGCTCGAGCTCGACGGCGGCGCTGGCGTACGTAGATGCTCGACGGGGGTCTTGCGCGTGCGACGGGGATCGAAGAGGCTGATGTAGCAATGGGATTGGAAAAGTACGTGTTTCAATCACGGAGGGGAGACGGAAGGGAGAGGCCTCGCAGAGCGGAAAGGCAAGATTGGACGGAGGAAGGGGGTACACCCGTGGAGGATGAAGACTACAGCTCACGTAGAAATGCAGCAGCGGAGGGGCAAGCTGAGATGATGAGGGTACTAAGGGAATGCATGTAGGGTATACCGAGAACGACGCGGATAGGTTTGAAGGGGCTATCCTCTACCAGAGAAAGATCGCATACGTCAAGTAGCTAGCTGAGCGCGGGCCGAGTGTTCCGTAGAGCGAGGAGATCGCCATGCGAACTTGCCGTGCGATACCCGTAGAAGAGGGCGCTGTCTACACGCTTTCTAGAGCATAGTACAAGTAGATGGGAAGGGTTGAACGGGACATGGATGAAAGCAAGTGAGCAAAGGTTGTAAAATCGCAGGAGCGTGGGCAAGGTGAGGGTTAGATCAGACGGACACTCGCCGTGCCGGGCAGAGGTCTGACTCCCAGGACCAAAACGGCGCGCATATATGCACGTCGTGGTCTCCGTGGGCTACCTGCGGAAGGGAGAGGAAGTCAAGGCGAGCTCGGAGTACTACGGTGTCATGCTTTTTCGGGCTGGGCGACAAGGAGAACGAGAGGGAACAAAAGGACAGAGGCTGAGAGGGAGTTCGACAGATGAAGTGTGCGAGTATTACAGCACAGATCGCTTCTTGGGGCAGATACTCCAAACCAGGGTCCGGGTGGAAGAGAGAGGTGATAGTAAGAAGGTGAACCTAGTGAGCGGAGTTCGGCAGGGGATCGCGGATGTCTTCACTAACTAAAGCTCTCAAAGAGGTCAAGAGACGTTTGGGCGAGCGCGTTCTGGATCGAGGGGCATCGTCAGCATAACCATGACATTGTCATTGAGTGTTCTGTCCTTACCAGCCTCCAGGGGCAGGACTTGTCGACTAGTCTGTCCAAGAATGACAACATGGAAAATATTACTGTCGCCGACCCGTGAGAACATCGAGACCCCGGCCAGCAGTGACCAGGACCCCTCCAAGTGCCCATTGAGCCTTCCCAACACCCCAAAGACGCCTATCCTCGTGTGATTTCCAACCCCGGTCTGGTCAACGAGCTCCGGTGCTACCGCATCATGTTAGCCATCTTCGGTGGTCATGGCTAGGATAAGTCCACATCACATAGCTTCAAGTTCAGTTATCCCTCGTCACGATACCAATTGCAAGCCATATCCTTCTTTCGCGACATATGGCTAGCTCTCAGCTTCCTGACTCCTGATCTAGGTAACCGCTCTCCAACGGCATCCACATGAACTTGTGCATGAGCGAATAAAACAATGGGTACACCTGGCTTAAGAAGCAGCGCACAGTGTTGTCGGTGCGTCTTTCCTTTGAGACTTACATAAATAGAGTACACTTACTTGACCTCATAATCGACCACTCAGACGTTATGGAGCGCTCACATCCATAAGTGTAGTCGAACATGATCAGCTCCAATACACTAGCACCGACGATCTATGGCGTCCAGCTCCATGAAATGCTGCATGTGCAGTCCACGCCATTCTCGCCGCTGACGGGTTGCACAGTGACACCCGCTTGATCTCTGTTTCACAGCTCTCCACGTAAGCCGAGCAACCTGATTCTTTCGATGAATCTTCCTAACCCTTCTACTTGTCCAACAGTCGCCTCATGGTCTCGGTCGACGTGCCATCATCGCTCCCTTTTAGCCTGTCCCAGAGGGACGAACATTCACGGATATGGTTCTCGAGTACCCTCCAACTAAGCACGTGGAGGCCGAGCAAGAAGGTGAGATTTCAGCGAACATTCAGTTATTATCTCTTTCCTTATTCCGACTAGTTGACCCGCAAAACCGCAACACCTGTGCATCTCGTGATCGCCACAGTTCAGGCTCCACGTCGCCTGTAGAGCTCACTCAATGTATGATTCGTCTCGAAAGGCCCTCAAATGAAACGGCCTTGCTAAACACTCTTGGCTCTATCGTCTCTCAGGATCTGTAGCTCGCTGGTTGTGGTGAGCCTTCTTGTTTGTTCGTGAACACGACGGCACATTGAACTCGAAATCGCTGCTGGCAGTGCTGCTTCATCCCGGCGTTTCACAATCGCTAAGATACGTATCTAGACACGTCGCCCTACTCTGTACTGTCGGTTGCCACGAACGCGTTTCCGACATAAATTCACGCATTTAGCTCACTCTCCTTCCTGTGTACATGTAAGCCGTTCGATACAGCAAGATCCTGTGCGCTTCCCAATTAGAAAGTGCGCATTTCCTCTTCCCTGACTTCCGGTTACAGAACGCATCTCGATCATCTACCTGTGCATCAGGGAAAACCGCCAACGTGCATTGGCACCAGCTTGGTAAGGTTGGTGTCGAGTCAGTCATATTAACAGGGCTGGACGTAATAACACCATTGACATCAATCAACCCCACTGGCAAGGTGGCCAAATAACACGACCGAATTGGCCACATTGGACTCAATTCGGTAGGAGAGGAATCTATTGCTCACACTTATTACCGGATAATACGAGAACAGGAATGCATTGGCCAATGTACTACTAGTACTAGTACTAGAATAGATGTATAGTACATTACGAGAAGGATAGAATGAAAGAAACACCATAACTACTCATCCATAGCGTCGAGATCAATCATACTGAAAGTCGATGAGGCCTTTGCCTCGACAATCTCACTGTAAATAGAACTGAGGCTGGTAAGTATTACAGCAATAGAGGAGGGACTCGGAGCCGACAAATAAAATATACGCACCCCATTTCTTTCAGAAGCTTGTGCATGAGCCTATGGTACTTGGTATCGCTCTCGTTCATCAGTCTATCGAGCGTCTTCGTGAAACTGGCGTAGGTAGTGGGGACGTCGGCAGTCTGCTCAAAGCTTGCATCCCGCTTTGAAGGGTCGGTGTGATTATCAAGAATTGCGGAACGAACCTACGGAGCCATCACGTCAATAGAGATATAAATACGTCCGACAGCATGATTGATAGACGACGTACGGCAGTGGCTGCCAGCGCCAGCATCGGCGAAGGCAGCTCAAGCTCAGATGCCTGCGGACCGGCCAGGATGCTAGTGAACTGCGAACGGAACTTGACGCCGGCAGAATTGGGGCCCTTGAAGAACGCTCCGCGTAACGTGTTGAGGACAGCTGGGTGCTGGAACGGTAACCCCGGGTCGGGTTTATGCTAGGTAAATGCATTAGTATAAGGAAAGGCCATGTAAAGGACGACGTACAGTGGTTTTATTGAGAGGGAATATGAACTCGTTGGTGACAGTGAGCTCCTCGAGACGTTTGTTGTCGTTGGGTCGTATGCCATACTCCTTCACTGTGTGCTTAACCGCCACCTTTTTGACATCCGTTCGGTAGATGGACAGGCGGTTCAAAGCCTGCATGTTCATAACCATCAGCCGAGCACCCACATCACAGACTCGGATAGGGGGATGGGATGAGGACATACAACAGATGACATCGTTTTGCGGTACGACAGGTCCGCCTGTAACCGGGTCACGATCTCTGCACCTCCAGGGTGTCGAGTAGCAGCCGTGGTGACAACGTCATACATCACCTGTCTTGCGTCTGCGGGGAACGCGTCAGTGATCAAGAGCGACTGGTGGGCGATGTCAAGCGAGGCAGCAAGGATGCTAGTAATGACAGGACTGGGTTGACCGCGTAGGTTGCATTTGTTGGTACCAGACCGTACAACATGGGTAGACACAGGCCAGTTAGCGTCCTCGGAGGATGGTTTTGGGGCAGCAGCAGTAGCACCATCGTTAGAGGTGCTGTCAGCTGGCTCGGACTTGACACGAGGGCGCTTGGCAGACACATCGCTCAGATAGACGTCGAAAGGAATCAAGTGCGGACACATACCTCGTACTCCACCTGAGCTGCACGCTTGGCGGACAGCGACTTCTTGCCCTTATTGACCTTGCACAGCTGCGGCGACTCTACCTCCTCGTGGTCGCCTTCTTGGTCATCATCGGAATCAAGGGGAGGGATAGCAATGACGGTGGTGCTACCACTCCGGGCACTGACTTTGGAGCTGGCGCGTGACTGAGACTGACTAGCCCGTTTACCTGAGGAGGCAACGAGTGGTGCCTTCGTGCATATAATATCAGTGTAGCGCACATGTAGGTACTCAATACTAGTACTCACCTCATTTCCTATATCAACATCCTCCAGGTCATCATCCGGTTCGATATATTCTTCATCTTCCTCCTCTTCGGCGGCGGGGTCACCATCCTCGTCATCAGCCTGGGCTTGCGGAGCCTTCGGAATGGGAATGTTGGGGGTACTTGTATCATCGGCATCGGAATCGTCAGTGTCGGGGATGCGGGCCGGGCGACCTGACATTGAAGTGAATAATATACTTCGAGTGCTTGGGGCTGAGGACTGACCTTTGCGTGCATCGCTCTTCTTAGTCCGAGCCACTGCCGAAGACCCCCTCTTCACTTTCTTGGGCCCAGGAATGGCTACGTTGTCGGCCGGTGAAGAAGAAGCAGAGCGCTTCTTCTTGGGTGGAGACGTACGGTGGTTTGCTGCGTATCCAGCCTCAGGATAAAGCCCAGGTCGTTGGCGTCTCCAGCCTAGGAATGAGTATCACGGTGAGGGTAGCGCATGCAGAGGTAGTGTCTGTCGGAAACTCGAAAATAGCATCACAATGTATTGCAATGCCCCAATAGAGAACCTCGCTTACAATCCCATCACAATGGCAAAGTCGCCGTTGGAATTGTCGGTTACAGTCGTTACAATGTCGATTACAATTATCATAGCAACGCGCTCCAGACCCGGTCTTGCCGGAGTTGCGACGGCATTGTGATGATATCTGAATACACTTTTCTTATCGTAGAACAGTAGATAAGATAGCACCGTGATAGCATTGCAACGATCATTGCAATGATAAGCCGATCGGTTAGAAAAAGGGAATGCAGGGTAGTTATGCCCTGTACTGTCTAATGCAACGCACGCTTACTGAATGCTGTATTGTTGTTAACCGTTGTAATACTGCTGTGATCTGGATTCGAACACGCGACATCAGTTAATGGGGGTTACAATTGAGTTACTTACCTGGAGCATACTTTCCGCTACGCCACGACAGCACTTACACTATACTTAACTTTGTTACTTATATAGGGACCTTAGAGTATGCAGTATACCAAATAGTCAAGCTAAGCAGACCGAAGTCTCCACTCTATTCATTGAAACGCAGTTGGAGGCACTTTGTTACTTGTATACGAACAATGTAATTCTATAGTTGTAGGTAATGCGAGGGTAATTATAGCTGCGGGACCGCTTTTTGGCGTGTAACACGGCCACCACGAACAACAGGAGCAGGGTGATCAGAGACAATGACAGTCGCGGGAACAGATGCTGAAGCAACAGGAGCAGCAGCAGGAGAAACGGCAACGGCAGCGGTAGTGCTACGAGAGGACTGTCTCTTAGTCTGACCCCGTCCTCGGCCAGTTTTACGCCCAGCGGGAGCACTAACACTGGGGGCTACCACAACGGAGGGCCCCTCCTTGTTAATATCAACCTGAATCTCCCCGTTGACATTAGCGCCAACGTCAGCTGAGACGTCATTTGACTCTGTGATCGTGCCTAGCTCCACAATTTCATCCGTCTGCTCGGCCTTAACCTCAGCTGACTCAGATGGCATGTTCATGGCAGCCAATGCCGCGTTGATGTCGTCCGTGAGGTCTTCGTTCAATGGCGGGGCTGGATCGCTGGTGTCGGATCCAGTGCCGAAGATATAATGATCTACTTTCTTGCGGATCAGCTTCAGATGGGTTCCTTCCCAGTAAGTTACCAAAATCCGCTTCAACGCGTCAAAGAAGCCCTTGTAAGAGATGCCGGAGATCGCGCCGACACCGTCTTTGGAGAACTCATTGTCGGGAGAGCACAAGTAGATCACCTAATGTAAATAGCATTAGCATATAGGCTATGTTGCGACCGGATATGAAATGCATGACTTACAATTATAGCGGCAAAAGCGAACGCGCCAGGGGTCGAATGAGTCGCATTCCATAACCTGGCGTTCCGATGGGGACCACCAATGGGTGGGCCGCTGTGATCAAGCGACGTAGGACCCCACAGAATGACCTTGAGGACCTGCCAAGAACACCACAACAAGTCAGCAAGCGGATACATTCGACGAGCGCAGACCGTACCTTGGCAAGCGGCTCCCAGTTCGAGAACGGAGTTGACATGCGCACAACACCATCTGTGAACAAGATGGGCGCCCAGAGCTTATACTTGAAGGGTTTCTTGGCATCACGCGGAACACCCAGCATGTCTCGAAGCTGTGGAACGTCCTCGCGGCCCTTGAACTTCGTGCTGAACCAGGTCTCTTGAGCTCCCGGGATGCCAAGCACGGTTACCGCCCTCCCGCGAACCTTGTGAATCTCGGTGGACCTGACCTTGTCCATCGAGTTCTCGAACTGAATAAAACGAGTGAGATTGAAGTATACATACAATAATACCGGAAAACTTACCATCGTGATGAGCTCGTTGGTCTGACGAGAGCGTCGAGACACCTCGGGCAGGACATAGATGATCTCGTAAACATTAGCAAATATGTTGTCCTCGGGAGAGAGGAAACGATCGGGGTCGTCAGGTTCAGGAGAACCCGCAGGAGGGTCAGGAAGCATGAAGGTGTCGCGGCCAGGAAAGAACGGCTGGACGAAGGCAGCGAAGAACTTTGCCCGAGTCGGCACGTCTGCGAGGGGATTCAGCACGGGCTCGGCAGGCGCTTCTGGCTGCGGGGCGACTCGGCTTTGTCGATACGTCTTGAGCAGTGTGCTGGCCTGCTGCTCCTGCAAGGCGCGAAAGCCGTCTCGCATGGAATCCACCTCAAGCTGCATTTTCTTGAGTGCCTGTAGAGCTATCAGCATGAGTTACGAGGAATCATGAATGTACGTACCTCAGCGTCTTGCTGTCCATCGTTACAACGGCTCGCACTAGACAGAATGCCTGAGGTAGGGATCTCGCCTGCTTCCTGAGTCTCGTCGTCGCCGAGATCAGCGAGAGCAGAGGCTGAACGACCGCTGATAGGTGGCATAGAGAGGAGAGACGAATGATTGAAATATAGAGGAATGTATCAAGTGAGATTGACCAGGTCAGAGGAAGATGGGGAACGAAAGCACTCACCGAGATGTCTTTTATGCTCCTTCAGCTTGTCTGACCCTGGCCATACTGTGCAGCAGCTCCTAGTTGTTAAGCGATGGCAAAGCCATCAGTTTGTTTGACGATGGCTATGTCAGACCCTTGAGGCGTGAACGGCCCGAAAGAAAACCTGTGTGCTGTATAGAAATTCCTGGTCAGAAAGTGCAATGAAAAACATGAGGAGAGAATGTTACCGCAGGTCTCACAGTCAATTGGCTGGAGGGGAACAAAACCCGGACACGTGTAGATGTGAAGATGTGCTGGATCGCCTCGTGCGGACCACACGTATGCGTGGCCTGCCTTCGTAGTTAGAGCCGCACAGGGAAAAAAAACGAGGATCAGCGGGAATGAACTCTGGAAGCTCACCTCAGAGACTTCGGCACAGTCGATTGTGTACCGCTGCAGTGAAGGTTTGTTGTTCCTTCTGGAAAGCAGGCGATAAGCAACGTCAATTTCCATCTATGGATTGTAAACGCACCTTTCCATGCACACGGTGAGGCCTGACCGATGCTAGAGCCGTAATAACAGATGCAGCACGCAGCTGAGAAAACCAATCAGCAAAGGCGATCGTAGATCACCAGCAGGATCAAAAACTCACGAACGGGACACGGGGCTGGCCGGCAGGAGTGGTAGATCTTACCGCCGTAATGAGAGGACACTGCATAAACAAAAGCCGGTGGCGATGAGTAGGCAAACGCAATGCACGAATAATCTACCTTTGTGATGTGCCTGAAGACACAATATCCGCAGACGCGTTGATGGTGTAGTCCGAGGAGAAGCATGCGAGTACGTGGTGGGTGGAGGAAGCTTGAGTACAGGTTCGCCTCATTAGTGGGGAGCATGTGCAGGTGGAGGAAGCCCATCAGCGACTTGTCCTCAGGAAGCATGGGGGAGTAGGCGAATGGCGGGGAACGGTCCGCTGTCGAGAGCATGGGCGGGTGCCAGAACGTGTTGCCAGAGCCGCGGAAGATGTTGTACGAGGAAAAGAAGGGGAAGTCCATCGACGAGGAACACGAGTGCGATGCCGAAGAATAAGAATAGTTATATGAAGAATAAGAAACAGCAGACGATGGCGGCTCGGGTACAGAGCCCGTACTCGTGTGTTGGTGCTTCGTGGTGCACTGCTCGTTGTTGTCCTCAGAATCAAGGACCTCGGCGTGTGCGATGATACGACAATGGCAGAGTGGTGGGATGTGAAACGGGAGTAATCGACCTAGTGATGTTTCCACCAGTGACAAGGAGTGGGAGTCGCGTCAGAAACTCCAAGAGAGAAAAAAGTAGAGAATGAGCGCACCAGTAATACCGCAATCAATGCAGGCTAGTAGTGTCCCGCCTTCTTATGCATGTCATCCATGCGAAGGAACATGTCCGCGTCTATTGTGTCGATAACAAGATAGTCGCCAGGAGATGTTGGGTCTCGAGCAAGCGCGGCGCCTCGTACGATAGATTCAGTAGAGAAAACTTGAGTGTCGGCATGAGGGCGTGCTCGAACCCGCCAGAAGTTAAGATGTATGTCCTTTGCCAATCGATGGCCGGTTGGAGCATCGTATGGGTGAATGAGGGCAAGAGGGTAGGCGAGATCGCCTATCGTAACCTTGAAGAGAAATACGAGGCGTCCAAAGATCTGCTTGTTCCCGTGCTGTATGATCACGCAATCGTATCGAGGGCGGCCGAAGAACATTGGACTACATCGTAAGTAATCGGTGTGCATGCACCAGTCGACCATAGATACATAGTCGACTTTGACGAAACGATACTCAACGATCTGGATGTAAGTTATAGTCCATTAGCAATGTCAGACACATTTATGCATTCTTCTGTGACGCACCTCGTCGTCCGGCTTCAGCTGTATACGTTTACCTCCAGGGAGCCTTTCTGCGGGTACGGTCGAGTTGATATAGTAGCCGACCTTGATACGGAAGCGCTGGAAATTGTTATCATCAGCGTGATGGCCTTCGACTACAGCAAACGTCGATTGGGCCTGGGACGACCCGATGTAAATGCCGTCGAAGGTTTCGCACCGCGCCACTGAGCCGTTCTCTTCAACCTCCTCGGGATTCGTGAACAGGAGCTGATAATCGTCGAAGCTCTCGATCTGTTCGCGAATCCATGAGCAGACCAGTTGGTCGTGCTCCATGCGGAGAATCTACATAGATAGAAGTTAGCTCAGAGCGATTCTAGCACCATTCAGAAGATCCATGTACCTGCTGGGCGAAGTTCTTGAAATTTGTATTGAACTGATACCAGTCTTTGAGCGGCCCGTGCATCTTCTCATTCGGTTTTGTATCGAAGTTTCGTGTGACGCCTTTGGCTAAAATGTCGTCGAATGAGTGGTCGCGGGTATGGTTTTTGATGAAGTTCCAGTTTTTGTCTGATGTCCTCTTGGTTTTCTTAATATACGCCTTTTGAGAGTGTTAGCGACAAATTTATCTGTGAATGAGAGCGAAACCCACGTCTAGAAGCTTTGATAAGATCAAAAGGGCTTCTCTCCCACATTGAAGCGTCTCCTCTGTGTGGACGTCGAGGGTCAGCCACATGTCGAACTCGACATATGCTCGTATGCAGCGAAGAAGAAGGTACGCGGTGGAATGGTTTTCTTTGAGAATGACGCTTTGACATGTAAACGTCAAAAGCTGAAAATGTTAGAGACGTTCATAAATATCCGGATGCAGGGATCTACTGTACCTTTGAAATATCTCGATGTTTCACGCCGTCGTTGAAGGAGATGTCAACAACATTATCGAAATGGTTAAGGCCGCGCCATCGAGGAATAGAATCGAAACTGAGAATAACCGCATTAGAAAAGAGAATCAGGAAGAATGTGAGCGTACTTGTCGTCGACTTGAGCAACTGCCTCTCGCCCAATATTGCTGAGAGCCTCCTGCAACTCTCCCCAGAGATGAGCGCCAAACATCCCTTCATGGTTCGCGTGTAAAGGGTCGAAGCTGAGGGCACGATGTACGTCGGCACTCTCGACGGCGTTGAATGCGTTCTAGAGAGATGCAGATTGTTAGTGCAAAGGTATGGTAAGCATACGAGCCACATAAACATACATCGATATCGCGCAGCCCCTCGGCCATCAAAGTCTCCTCCCCTTCCATTCGAGACTGGTTCCGGGCCTTTTCTAACGTGGCGATCACGCCGTCTCGCGTTCGAAGTGGGTATACAGGTCGGTTTGCGACGTTAGAGAGTTCCTCCCGCGGTATAAGGCAGATGGGGCACGGGTACTTGGCCTTGACGCCGCGAGTAAGAGCCATAACAGATCTAAGTAATACAACTAAGTACGGTTTCGTGAGATATTGATAGAGACTCACTGTTCTTCGTAGTCTGCGGAAAGTATGAGGACACGGGGATAAAACTTACGATGAACATCGTCCCAGCATCGAATCCAACACCCGGTCTTGGAGTGTGCGGCAATGTCTTCGAGGATCTTCTCGAAGGACTTGTGCCACACAACATTCTTGAAGGCGGCCCAAGGCGGTTTGTTGCGTTGTCGTTTATCTTCTTTGACCTTTTGTTATATCAGAGTCTGATCGTATTTACGCAACATGTGAGCACTTACTATTGGTAACCATCCGACGACTCGACCACCACCAAATCCTTCCCCATTGCGGATCGATGTCGGGAGGTTTGCTATTCGGGCGACGACCGGATATCCCTTGGCTCGTCCGAACGACGACAATTTTGCCTTATCCGCGTACAGAATGTACATCAGCGGTTTCCCGTCGTCAGGAATTTGATCCTATATATAAGTTAATGAGATGTAAGTAGAGCTTTAATGACGAAATGAACACTTACCTGTAGATTCCAAAACGCGTCGGCCGTCCATGGTTCGTCAATGAAGCGAACAAACTTTTCTCCGTTCCATTTGGAGAGCCGCTGCGCGTCGAAGTTGAAATGCGGCCCGATGCGAGGATCCTTCAAGAGATCACAGGCCCAGCCCCACAGCGAGCGATGCCACATGTCGAATGTTCGTGGTTCGGGCTCATCCTGGTATTGGACAGAAACCTCCTCCTTTTGCCACTGAACATGTTTATTCATGAGTGCAGGTGCTTACTACAGAACAACAGTAATAGTAAACGAACAGGGGTGATGCGATGTCCAACAGCGTTCCAAATCTTGCGGAGTTCCTTCTCGCTTTTGATGTTGAAGGTCTCGCGACCACTGCCGACGCGTTGCATGAGCTTGATCAAACGACTCGTTTGATCCTTGCTCAGCGACGCTTCAAGGGCGAGCTCGGCGACTTCAAAGTCGAGTCTCGACTCGAAGGGACGCCATGGCTCGCTCACGGTGGGAGGCGGAGGCGGGGGAACGAAATGGCGGCGTGTAAACTGGGAGAGTGGTGTTGTTTCAGTGGGCAAGCGACTGTGGGGGTGGTATTCGACCCGAATATCGTCGGTTTCACGTTCTGATGGAGTAGGTTGCCCTTTGGACAACACATCAGCACTATCAGACTCTAGGTATAACAGCTACATTACCGCTGTGGTGCTCCGGCGAGTCGGGCTGAACGTCGCTCATGAAGCCAGTGACATCGTGGTCAGATTCCCAAAGATCGTCTACGAAGTCAAGAAAGCACGAGCATTTAGGCAACACCCGGCATATAACATGTAGAAAAAGACTTACCTCGAGGTATAAAGCTTGTACTCAGAATCGGGATGGATGAGGAGGCGACTGGCTCGGTGCGGGTACGATTTTCTTTATGGTGAATAGAGCAGTCAGCGAGACAAAGTGATGATAGAGGTGATGCCACGCACCTTGTTGGATCGAGATAGAGACCTGGGTGTCGTGCATTATCCTGAGCTTGCGGATGGTGCACGCCTTCTCATGGCGGGAAAACCCCTGGGGGTGAAAGTCGTCCGCGCAGTACTCACAGATAACGCGTCCGTCAGCCGTATACTTCAGCTCTCGCTCGTCATTCGTCCCCTTCGCGTTGCCCCTGGAATTGCGAATTGGACCCATTACGTCTGTGATGGAGGCTCTGAAAAGGATAGAGGTAAGCTGAATAGATAGCGAGACGACCTGGGAGAAGTTTCGTACCCGGAGGGCGTCGGACGGGTTGAAAAGGGCGTGGACGCTGTGTTTGATGGCGAGGACACGCAGAGCCCGCATTGCAAGGCACAACAATGACCGTGGCAATGCTCTGATCAGCGATTGGGATCGATCTAATCTTATCTCCGCTGAACGCGAGTCGTTGCAATGCTATTTTGATACGCCAAGCCTCAATGTAATTATCGACGTCTATTCTAGTGCATCGCAATAGGCGTGAGAATGCTATCACAGCCGAGCGTCATTGTAACGGATTTAGTAAATTTCCGACATCGGTAGGACTTACTGGCCTCTTTGTTTGCACGGCTCTTACTTTCCCTTTCGCCTAGAGGGGGATTGTCAGATTGTTGATTGGCCACGCCAGCGTTGGCCTGTGCGGCGACTCGATTCTGACGGGCTTGAGCAGATCGCTCAGCAGCCGTCAAGGCCTTAGGAGGCATAGGAAAGCACTGCAAGAGCAGATGAGAGCAAAACAATGAGGGACCAAAAGACGCGCTCACAAAGGGTTTACAGAGGGGAGAGAAGGGGGAGATGGTGGTGGTTGGGAAGGAAGGCGGTGGTTGAAAACGGGGTGGCAGCGGGCAAGTCAACAAAGAGGGGAGATGCAGACATATGATTGTTGGTGCCACCATGGTTTCGCGCGGCAGTGGATGGCGGGCTGGACATGGTGACAGATAGGGGCCACTGGTTGGTGCTTGTCTTCACGTCGGTCAGGCGAGCAGAAAACGGTGATAGCATGGTCAATGGCACAGGAAGATAATGTATTGCGAAAATGAGAGAGTTGAATATTCTGCTTCTGACGGACGGACACCTATCAATGTTTCCTCCTCACATACCGCCCATTTCCTCGGCTATATTCAAGTTGACCCCATCAGCTCTCACCACACCACGCAGAAACGAAAAGATAAACTTACGAAGCCTCCCTCTCAACGGCACGCCTCTTGTCCCTGTGCATCGCGCTCGCGCGAGCATTAATCGCGTCCACCTCCGGCGTGCTCGGAAATCCAATATCCCAGTAGCCTGGTGGTGTCTTGGCGCGCGGCCAGTGGTACCGGTGTTTTGAGATCGCCTTTTTGTGTGCCTCTATTTCGTCCCGCTTGTTCTCGGCTTCGTCGTCCTCTGAGGGGTTGCGGAAGGAGTTGCGATGTTTCCGGTGCGACGAGGACGCTGCTCCGAGTCCGTGCTGTTCCTGCTGTCTCTGTTCCTTGCGAGGGGTTGTCGAGGGTGAGCGCCAGAGTGGCTGCTGCAACCTGCGCGGCATCGGGCCGACATTTTCATAGTACTATACACAAACAGATTATTGGTTAAGTTTAGTCTGACGGAGCATGTGAGAAGAGACGCACTGCACGACAGCACTCGCAGTCACCCGCATCCATGTGTCGGCGCTCTTCACGGTTCCGCACAACACTGTCGTATGCGTAGGCGCAGCCATCATTGGCGTCGGGGTTGATCATGAATGCTGAGTTGATGGTCAATGCTTTCTGAGTCCTAAGGGCGTGTGAGTCATTCTTAGGGACGCATGAGGAATGTTGGAGTAGGGGCGCACCGAGATGGGCGGAGGAAACCACGGCGTGTCGGAGAGTGATGGTGCACCGTGGCGCGCGGAGGCTGAGACTGTGGCTCGGATTTCATAGGTGTCGCAGTGTTATGTGCTAACGTGGACTGGTCAGTGAATGGAGAGACAGATGGTGTACGAAAACTGAGGTACCAGAGATTAGTACGTGATTGCTCGAGGTAGGTGCAGGGGAAATGCCCAGTCGACGTGAGACATTGACAGCTGACGAGTCTATCAAAGGCACAGTAAGTGATAGCTATCAAAGAGAGATAGACGAGGTAGGAGAGACGCACCACCCAGAACCTTGGGCTCCTTCTCCTCAATCTGCACCGTGACTTTGCCTTTATCCTCCTTGTTCGCCAGCTTCTCCAACCTACGCATCACCCTCCGCACCTCTTCGTGCTTGCCTTCATTGAGGGTGTTGACGAGCCATTTCGTGAAATCCTTGTATCCATTAAAGGCCTCCTGCTGCTTTTCGACTGCCTGTTTAGCTTTCTCTTCTGTTTCCTCCTTGGCATCGAGGAGGACGTTGTACTGTTGACGGATGTGCGTGAGCTCGGTTTGGAGCGAGGTGACCTTGGCGCATAGAGCAGCATTCAACCCAGCTGCAGTCGTGGCATTGGGAGGCATTGGACGTCGTCTAATGAACAGCGATGGCGAGTCACGGTGTTGGAACGCACGAGCACTAAGTCTCGTTTCCCACGGTCTTGGAGGTCAACGTTCAACAATCCTCGCCGTCGTTCGGCTAATTTCCGCATCAGTGATGCGGAAATTAGCCGAACGACGATGACGGTGGTTTGTCCTTGCACAGCCACTCTGCTGAGCGCTGAGTCCGCTCAGCCCCAACTTGAACTCTCAGGCAGCCCTCCACACTCCAACGCGGACACGCATAGGAGCAGCACACCCCGCCGCAGCCAAGGACCAACCCGTCCCACCTTGAACGCACCGGTCGTGCTCGTAGCCAAACAACGACGGCGAAAACCAGGCCAGACTCAGGCTTACGTGCACCTCGGGGCTCCTCGCACCCTGGCTCGGAGCACCCTCTGCACGTCTTCCACGCCCTCTGCCCGTCCTCTCGCGTCCACCTTGTTCGGCTCGCCCTCAGCCTGAGCGTGCTCTCGCCTACCCACTTCGCCGTCGTGCGTACCCACCTGACACTCTCGCGTTTCCACCTCGCCCTCAGTCAATTCAAGTTGCCCAGTGCCCACGGATGTCGATGCATCGCGGTCCCGTTGTACTGAGAGAACTTTATGGAGAGTAGAGTACTGGGCCATCCAAGTAAGTCTTACAATTTGGGCTGACCTCACCGCTGTTAACGTTCCGCGTCATTCCTCAATCATTCCTCCCTTGTTCACTCATTCTTCCGCGCCCTTCACGCACCGTTCTGCGCGCTCTGCGCACCCCCACTGCTGGCGTACCCTCTTGGCACCTCCGTTCGCTTGTCACTCCGCTGAACGCGCTCACACCCCAGGCGTGCCCGTCAACGCTCATTCGTACGTCGTAGATGTTGTTTGCTTCTATTTGCACCTTGGACCCAGTGGGTCCGACTCATTGTCATCCGTATGTTTCTTCAGCACCATCTCGCCGCCTCACCTGCTGTCTCGCCCTCGCCACCTCGTTGTCTTATCCGTTGGCGATCATGGCCGGTATACTCAATGTTTCCCGTGCGACTGTTCAGTACATTGCTAGTCCTATGGTTTTGTACTGCTACAAGATGTGGTTCTCGAGAATTGAAATGAATCCTCTCACTTGCGTAGGCAACTGACTCATTGATCCTTGACTTGCAGACTCGCTCTCGCTGTTGTCCTCCTCCTTCTCATCATCAGCTTCATTGCCCGTATCAGTCTCCTTCGTGCCATCACCCTCGTTATGGGAGGATAAGTTGACGCCCGACTCGGAAGTATCACTGTCATCAGAGTACTCTGTCTCTGTGATGTCCGCAGCTGCGTCAAGTTGTGCTTGGTACTCTGTATGTGTGAAGCGGGCCTCTGCTTGTGTTACCGGGCGGCCATCCCACGGCTGGCCAAAACGCTCCAGAGGGAGCCCCAGCCTTCGTCGACGGGCTTTCTCGTCATCAAATCTACTCTGCTGCATGATAGCGTGAGTTGGGGCAGCTGGCAAGTATGAATACGTACATGTTTTTTCATGTATATCTCTATCGGTTCCTCGGATTCAGAATGCGACCCGCTGACATGGCCCGTACGCTTGTCATACTCCAACCAGGTCTCCTCGTCTGGGTCATCGCTTGGCCAGTCACGAGGATCCACACCTACTGGCCGCTCCCCCCACTTGGTGACGTTGGGCATCTTGACATATCTCGGCGAGTCCATGGTGTGAGTGGGCGTCCACAATGTGGTCAACACATGGGTGGTATATTCCTGTCCATTACATGTGAATGTACTCCACTAACATGTGAAACATGTAGACTTTCGAGACGCGTTGCACGCGTGCTCATTTGGAGTTTACCTTCCCTCTCAGCCCTTTTCACCCTTTTGGACTTGAAGTGCCAGTGCCAGTGCCATCCCCACTCCAAGTCCATGTCTTCGAAGTCACAGAAATGCCCAGGTTGCTTTCGAACGTTCGCACGTGGATACCTCAACCACTTGGCCCAAACTTCCAACCCTGAATGCGTCAAGGTTCGCGACCGCCTCGACAGCTATATCCCTCAAATGCTGGAGTTGGATGACCTCTCGTCTGCACCGGTCGATGCTCCTCATGGTCTTTCAGGCTCAGACCATAATGTCACACCCAACATCACGGTGGGAATAGATGGTCCCACAGCGGAGGTAGCATCGTGTAGCGGCGGGCCAGATAGTGTTGACATTCATATGAATGAGGCCAGTGGTGCGTGTGTGATGGTTTGTCGGTGCAACTGTGCTTAAGTTGCTGACTCCTATGGCATTGTAGAATGTGTTTACGAGCCGGAGGAGGATGACGGAGATGATGGCGGCCCAAATGTTGATGTAGACGCTGATGTTGATGTTGACGAAGAACTGGCCGATGAAGTAGAACAAGAACACGGCTGGGAACCCCCTGTTTCTGCCGCCGGTGATCTGTCTTTAGTGGGCGAATTCTCTGACGAGCATGACTCAGACCGTGCCCCTAGCCCTTCCCAGGCAAACACAGCGCCGGCAGCTCGCGAGCATGCACAGCGCCCTCTGCGACAGGAGCCATATATCACACCATTCCCTACGCCTTCTGCAGCGCAGCCTATAGATACTCAAGGGCATGCGTACGATGCATACACCACCTCGATCAAGGGCTGTAACGGGCAGGCTGATAATGTCTGGGCGCCATTTGCTTCGCAAACAGACTATGAAACAGCTCGTTGGGCCAAACTTCGTGGGCCGGGATCGACTGCATTCACGGATCTCCTGAAGGTTCCAGGGGTATGTCCTGCCCTTTCCCTCACAGTGTCCATACCAACTCAAGCATCACGATAGGTTTGTGACCGCCTTGGGCTGTCCTACCAGAATAGCCAGGAGCTTAACAAGATAATCGACACTCAAATACCTCACCGTCGCCCTCGGTTCAAGCAAGATGAGATAGTCATTGCTGGTGAAGCATACGACGTCTACTACCGTGACATCATTGAGTGTGTCCGCGCTCTCTACGGCGATCCAGATCTTGCCCAGTATCTAGTGTTCCAGCCTGAACGGCACTACACTGATGCTGATAAGACTTCGCGGCTGTATCACGACATGCATACTGGCAAGTGGTGGTGGGAGACGCAGGTGAGTACCTGCCATATGTGTCCTTCGCATTACTCACAGCCGCTCTGGTGTGTCTGCAGAAGCAGCTTGAGGAAGAAAAGCCTGGAGCTACAATTATCCCCATCATCCTATCATCCGACAAAACCCAAGTCACCGTCTTCCGCAACAAGTGCGCCTACCCCCTCTACATGACCATCGGAAACCTGCCAAAGGAGATTAGATGACGTCCATCATGTGATGCCCAGATTCTCCTCGGGTACTTGCCGACAGCACGTCTGGATCATGTCACCAATGATGCTGCTCGGCGCCGCTGCGTTGCAAACCTGTTTCACGCCGCTATGGAACTGATCACCAAGCCGCTAGTGAAGGCCGGCTTAGAGGGTCTTGTCATGGCCAGTGGTGACGGTGTGCGCCGGCGTTGTCATCCCCTGCTGGCCTGCTATGTTGGCGACTATCCCGAGCAGGTGCTTGTCACTGCAACAAAGTATGGTGAATGCCCCAAGTGCGAGGTCTCTTCCAACGACCTTGGTGACGCTGATCCCAACGCCCCATATCGGGATCTCAAGGAAGTTCTCGATGCCTTGTCCCTCTTTGACGGCGATCCTCGGGAGTACGCACAAGCCTGTCGTGACGCCAAGATCAAGCCCATATATCACCCCTTTTGGAGGGATCTGCCATACTGCGACATTTTCCAGTCCGTCACTCCTGACGTCTTGCATCAGCTTTACCAGGGGATGGTCAAGCACTTGATTTCCTGGTTGAAGTCTGCCTTCGGTGAAGCAGAAATCAATGCTCGGTGTCGGCGTCTTCCCCCCAATCACAACATCCGTCTGTTTCTCAAAGGTCTTTCCTGTCTCCAGCGCGTTAGTGGTGCCGAGCACGCTCAGATCTGTCGTATCCTCCTGGGGCTCATTATTGGACTCCGACTTCCGGATAACCTGTCACCTGTCCGCCTGCTCAGAGCTGTGAGAGGTCTCCTGGACTTTCTATATCTCGCCCAATACCCCTCACACTCCGAAGAAACGCTCGACCTTTTACGCAATGCCCTGGACGATTTCCACCAGAACAAGGATATCTTTGTCGACTTGGGCATCCGTGACACATTCAACCTCCCAAAGCTCCACTCCTTCCTTCATTACCTACGCATGATTCGACTATTTGGCACAACAGATAACTACAGCACCGAATATACCGAACGTCTCCATATAGACCTCGCCAAGGATGCGTACCGTGCTACTAACCACAAGGATGAGTATGCCCAGATGACCCGCTGGCTCGAGCGTCGCGAGAAGATCATGTACCATGACCGATTCATCCGCTGGCGCTTATCCGGGGGTACCACCACAGTGCATTCACTCCGACCACGTCTCCCATCCCTTCAATATGTCCGACAGTTCAAGATCGCGAAACATCCGTCAGCGCGCCGTGTTTTCTTCACGACTCTTGCAAGCGCATATGGTGCTCAGCATTTCCATGCCGCCCTAGCCCGCTACATTGTCCTCATGAACAATGCCGGCTCGTCAATCACTCGCACCGCCCTCGAGAACAAGGCCGCCAGTCTGGTGCTCAACACTAGCTCGGTCAATGTTTTCCACAAGATTCGTTTTATCGACATCGACTCTGATGGCAATCCATCGCCTGTCACGGCTGATGCGATCCATGCTCGGCCTCAACGTCAAGACGCTCGCCACACCGATATACCGTGTCGTTTTGACACGGCACTAATCACTCGAGAGAGGGACAGTGGCACAGAACGGGCAACTGGTGTTGCAGGTAAGCCTCATTACTACTGCTACATGTTAATGTGCTACTTAAACTAACACACTCTGCCACCATGGGGAAAGGATATTGCGTTGCTCGCGTTCATGTCATCTTTTCCATCAACGACACAGCCCGCTCACGCATGTTTTCACCGGCCACCAATGCAGGTGTTCCAAAACACCTAGCTTATGTCTCATGGTACACCGCCTTTGGTGAGACCCCTGACCGTCATCATGGTCTCTATCCTGTTCGGCCTGAAGTTCGGAATGGTGAGCATTTAGTCAGCATAATTCCGGTTAGCAGCATAGCACGTAGTGTGCACCTATTCCCCAAGTTTGGTCCGGTCGCTCCTCGTGATTGGAGCAGCAGCAACGTCTTAGATCTATGTCCCTCGTTCTTCGTAAACCCCTTCACTGATCGCCACGCTTACATGTCACTTTTTTGATATTACTCTACATGTCTCGATTGGAGTCACTTGGCTGCCATTGGTACAAATTAATGAATGGTTTAGTGTATTGGCTGTATTGGTATGAGCGAGATGCCATTGGGCCAACTTGGCGCCAATTTGAAAATGTGGTTTTTCCTGATGTGGTTGGCGGTGTCACACGAGACTTCATAGCCTCGGTTACCGCATTAGTGCAGCCTACGGGTCACCCCAACAGTCCTCGAACCCTCGACATGCCTGAGCCACCATGTTCTCTGACAAAACAAGCGGTTCGCGCTGATTATGGTGAGCGTCTAGTACGAGTTTTAGTGGAGGGAGCTCTTCTGATCATGAACTCAACCATGTTAACTAGTACGTGTACTCTTCATGCAGCTTAGGCGTAGCAATTCCAACGGTTATTCGTGCAATGGTACCATCATTCATTGCCATAGATCCCTACTTGTGGTGTGGTGCTTCCCACACAAGAGCTTCGATGGTGGGCTCCCGTGTGGGGCAAGTTGCTCCCTCAAAGGCAGCGTGCAGCGCAGCGTTTGGGGGGCTCGCTGTATACGCTCGGGAAGAAGCCCCTAGGTCATTGTTCCAGAGAGACATCTCCCGATCTGCGTGCCAGGACCTGTTATCTTGACACACGCTTGTCCGCATGCCAGCGTGTTCTTTATCAGAGGGTAACAGGGCTGTGGCCATGGCTGTGAATGGAAGGAGCGGTGTCACATTTAGCGCTCACCGATCTCTCCGGCGCTAATCTCCAATGCCTTGCTGTGGTCGTTTCGCCAGCTAACTCATGAAGTTCCATACTGAGTGCTATAAAGGTAGCGAGCTTAATCTCCGCCCTGGACCCTTGGCCTGATGCGTGTGTCCACCTAAACCATCAGACCCTACCCCAAAGACAAGAATAACTCGGCGTCTAGTAGGTACATGCTGACTCCCGAGCGCTTGAGTGTTCGGCATAGGCCATTCGCCGTGAGGCGTTCCCACAGCAGGTACATATCTCCTGTGCGCGCTCAGATCTCAGACTCGAACCACCATGAGCACCAGCCAGACAAGTAAATCCATCGATTTTTGCCCGTTATCTCGCTGACGATGGGCTCAGCAACACAGATCAACCAGAACTACTGGGAGAAGTTGACCCAGGTATGCGCTATAGGCGCCGTTTACGACTCGAGAGAGCGCGAGCCCCACTCCAAGTGCTTTGAGGGCACCCGCGTCGAGCTCCTCCAATCGCTCAGGAACATAGTCGAAGAGTCGGGTCCGGAGAATAAAAAGATGGTGTGGGTCTCGGGAGAGTCGGGCTCAGGCAAGTCCACCGTAGCGCATACGTTTGCAGATGAGCTCCGTCAGCAGAAGAAACTCGCAGGAAGCTTTTTCTTTTCCAGGAAGCATACGAAACGCAGTACCTTTGACCTTGTACCCCTTACCCTCGCCTATCAGCTTGGCCTACACCATCACCGCGCCCGGGAAATCATCACGAAAGCAATTGCCGACGATCCGGGTCTCCTTACTCCCGAGAAGTCGCGTCAAGATCAGCTAGAGAAGCTCGTCATTGAGCCTCTCAAACAGCTCGCGCTGACTTGGGGAAAGACCAAGGGGATGGCTCTCATCTTCGACGCACTCGATGAGGGTACCACCAGAGACTCGAATACACAGCACTTTAGGGACTTCATAGCGACCCTCTCCGCTCTTCTTCGGAACGCCTCCCTTCCTATTTGTAGCATTATCATCTTCAGCAGGGCATATCCTGAGATCAGAGTGGTCATGCGCAGTCGTTATCTCTCAGACATAACGGCGTTTGTACAGGTTCAAGACAAGGACTCTAGTGCGGATGTCAAGCACTACCTCCAGCATGAACTGGAACGGATCTACGACGAAAATTTGTACGAGGATGAACTCATGGATCCAGACTATCCCCACTGTCCCTCACCCAGCGATGTCTCTTTGTTATCAGAGCGAGCCAACGGTCGCTTCATCTTTGCAGTGACCATAATCAGACTAATTGAACGGGTCAAAGCTCAACCGCAGGAACGTCTCTCCCTGGTCTGCAGCATGCTGCGCGGGAGCAAGCACCTTGTGGGAGGAGATATCAACCGTCTTTATTTGTCGATTATCGATGGGATTGAGTCTTCCATTCGTACTACTGGACTGGAAGTGCTCTTCCGTATCATTCAACTTGCCGAGCCCCTCTGTCCCATCGAGCTGCGCCGTTTTTTCGGAGAGGATGTTTACACGCCTCTTTTGCCTTTTTCAGCCATGATGTCGATTCCGGCTTCCAATTCACTCGATCCAGTTCGGCCCTTTCACACTTCGTTTAGCGATTTTTTGCAGATACAGATGGAGCGCACCGGGCTCACCGGTCCCGAAGTGCACAGATTATTGACTGACCGTTGTTTTAGCGTCATGGCGGGTCTCCTGAAGCGAGACATCTGCGGACTTGCAAATCCCTCGCTGTTCCATACCGAAATCTCCGACTTCGCTCAGAGACGGGACAAGAATATTCCTCTGGCTCTGAGATATGCTTGCCGACACTGGCTATACCACCTTCGTCAGACTACGCCGGATGACGAAATCTCAGGACGTCTTCTAATGTTTGTAGAAACGAAGGTTCTCTTTGCGATCGAAGTCTATGCTCTGCTTGGCGAACTTGCGGCTGGCGCCAAGATACTCAGGGCTGCTCGCAAACATGTCACGGTAAGAGTGGAATCGAGCTTTGAAGGATGTCACTTTCTAATTCAGCGATTCAGGGCTGGGCTGAATCGCTCGTTCCCCGCAATGGCGACATTCTGACTCTGCTCCATGATAGCTGGCGCTTGACTCTCGACTTCTTCGATCCCATCAGTGCATCCGCTCTCCATGTCTACGAATCAGTGCTCGTTTGCTCTCCCGCCGAGTCGCAGATACGGCGTGTATATGGGCATGTACTTGCAGAAGCAACGGTCTTCGTCTTTGAGGACGGATTGGATCCGCAATGGAATAAAGTGATACGCATCGTGCAAATTGATGACAAGTTTGGTGAACACAACGGTGGGGCCTTCCGGCACGTCCACTCCGTCGCTGTGTCTCCAAATGGTTCTCAGGCTGTGATTGAGTGCAGTCAGGTGATAGTACTACTCGACACAGCTACAGGAACAATCATCACATCGTTACCCAAGGAAGAGCTTGGTAGCATCAAATTCTCTTACTACAGTGGCAGTTGTATATGCCACACTGGTTCACGGATAATCATGACTGCCCCATCCAAACCGCTTAGGTGTCTATTGTGGCAGCTCTCTGACAAGTCAATAACATCTTTCGATCTGCCGCTAGACGCTTATCCTTTTAGCCTCGCCTGTTCTTACGATGGACGCAAGATTGCCATTCTGGGTACCAACGTTAGAGACACGTATAATGACAAATGGCCTTGCGAGGGTTTGAAGGTCACCGTCAATATATATGATGCAGAGACCCGCCAGCAACTTTCTCACTGGATACATCAATCTCAAATTCTCATCGACCCGAGGTTGGAATTCTCGCTCAAAGGTGATTGGCTGATGGTGGATACCCAGCGCGAGGACGGGATTTTCATTTTGGATACCACAAACGGTCAGCTGCTTTGGCATTTCCGCTGTAACGGCCGCGTCGCCGATCACCTCTTCAGTCCTTACGGGGACTATATCCTACACGCATGGAGGTGGGAAACCTCGAGCCCCTACAGCTTTCACAGCATACCCGAGCGCAGTGCACCAGACTTACACTCATGCTGCGGCGCCGTCAGAGGGTGCAAACCAACTGCAAGCGAAGAGCGAGCGGCGTTTACGGATCACATACCAGAGTGCGTTGTCGACGATGACAACAAAACAATAGGGACACGAATTGGCGATAATGTTTTCATGCATCCCTGGTCAGACCGTTCAGATTCAAGTTCACATCACACAGCACCAGATAGGAGCCTTTGGCGGCGTCTTTCCGAGGGGTGCTTTCACGTAATCGAACAAGGGCACGACTTGCTCGCAATCGTTGATATGGTGCAAGCGAGCGCTCAAGGGCATCCGCGGCCTGTTCACGTTGCGGAGAACGAAGATACGTCTAGAAGTTGGTGGCCAGATGACTGGTCTTCCGTTGAACGCTCCGATCAGGGTGACATGATTGCCTTCGAGCTAGAGGACAGTGAGGAGGATGCTAACGGCGACTGGTCCACTCGCTACCATATCTATGACACCATTTCTATCACATACCAGTGCGAAATCCTGCTAATGGACCTTCTTGAAGCCACTGGAATGGAAAATGGCTATAGTCCAGAATTTCCCTGCTTTTCACCCAGATCTACGTACTTTGCGTTAGCCGTTCCGAACGACGCAGGTTTTGCTTTCGGACTATGGAACTCCCGGACAGGCGAGCACCTGGGAAGCACATATATGGATATAACTCTCGACGGCAAAGATTATCTTACCCTTGTGTCCAGCATTCATTTTTCGGAGGATGAGACCGTAGTGGCAGTGGTTTATGGTTTTCCTGAAGACTCGATCGAGCATACCGACCTTACAATTGCCTTTATATCTCTGGAACAAGGCAACGTCAAGCACGTAGCATTAATCCCAACTCCGGATGAAAAGATATCGTTTCTGAACGGGAGAACGCTAAAAATCATATCTGTGACTCGGGATTCGGTTGACTGGTGGGGCCGATACGCGGGCGATTTTACTGTGTATCATCTTCAGTGGAGGAGAGCAACATCAGAAATTGTCACAATATCATCTGTGAAAACGAGAGCGCATGGGTTGGTCTCGATCAAGCATACCCCAAGTTTACAGACCATCCAGTCATCAGGAAAAACCTATGCGTGGTAATTCCCCATAAGTGTCTCATATTTCCTATAGTTGTCCAAAATCCGCCTAATTTTGGTAAATTTTTCATAACTTGGGCAAGCAGAAAACTTTACAAAACACTGCAGCCCCCCCTTGGTCGTTGTGATAACTTTGCTGAAATCTCTTGGAATTTTGATAACTTTTATCGTTCTCATAGCCCAGGTTTCCCCACATTGGCCTCTGACCAGTTTGAATTAATCGGATAGTATTAATGGCGATACTACTAAGATCAGTGTAAAGTAAGGTAGGGCATTAATGAATGTATGTCGAAGATATGGCAGGTGTAATGCGAGAACGTATCAACACGAGAGCTACTCATCCGCCATCTAATCCCAGCCTGAGCAGACTTGCAAGAGAATCTCCTTTACCTCTTGTATTGCCGACCAGTTTTGGTCAATGAGCCACTGCAGTACGTACTCACGATGAGTGACAAGTATGATAGATGAGACAATGAAAATTACACACAGGCATCGTAAATATTGTTCATGGCATGGCGGTACTGCCTCAGTTTATTCTGAAGTAAGGGATCCATCGAGACTCAAAGGTTAGACTTTATCAGAATAGTCATAATAGTTGATACAGGACTCACCTTTGTGGTCGACTTGACGGGCTTGTCGTCATCTAAATCAGCTACCATGTCCACCACCACTTGCACCAGCACCAGCACTACCCCACGTCCCCGCCCCAAACAACGGCGACTCACTCCTCGCCACAGGCGAGGGAAGCTGCTGCATCCCCGGCGCCGGTGCCACGCCAAATGCCAGAGAAGTCGCGTGCGAGCGGTGTGCCTGCACCTTGCGGAACATGGCGACAGACATGCATTGCGACGTGTCACTTGCCGCGCTGTTCTCTCTCGGGCGCGGGCGCGCGGGTGGCGTGAGATTGCGATAGCTTCCGCAGCCCGCTTCCGCCGTTGTTGTAGCTCGAGAACAACTCTGGTCTCTCCGTCGGTGTTACCGGCGACGCGGGAGAGGTCGTGCGGACGTGTCAGAAGGATTTGTTGAAGTCGCTGTCCCGCTGCTGAGGCTGCTGGTGGTGAGCAGGAGCAGATGTTGTGAGGTGGAGCAGGTCGTTCTCACTTGGGTAAGCCAGAGAGCAGGGGCACGTTTTCACCACCAACGTACTCACGTTTGTCCTGCAGCGACGATGTTTTGGACTTGCGAGCAGCTGCCAAGTTTGCTACCTGTGAGCAAAATTAGAGCATGGTAAGCAAAGTATTAACTCACGCATCACCTTTGTAGGCTTCGACTTGACATCCTTGCTTGTTGTTTAGGCATAGATAAACGACTTGGGGGGAAGGGCAGGAGGTGAGTGAGCAGTTGAGATGGGTGCAGAGAAGAATGAGGAAGAACGTCGTGGCAAGGTTGAACCAAGAGTCCAAGTCGCCGTTGCGCAGTTCGGTTCCGATTCCCGTCGGTTCCAATGTATGTGATGGCTACGCGTAGCTAGTCCGTGACTAGCAAATATGACACACATATTTAGTTTGGGATTAGGGGTTCGTTTACTCAAGCAACTGACAAGCCAAACACAGCTTGCGTAGCCCTGCATACTCTGCCCATCCACGACCGCCGCCGCCGTCGTGTTCGCCACGGCGACCATCCTGCTTGTACCCGCCGGCATCTGCACGACAATCGACACGCTCCCGCCATCACGCGCCATCGTCTACTGCACGCCGAACGTGCCTCTCCCGGCCACTCAGGCTGCACCCCCACCTCCTGCTGCTACACCCACTCCCGGTGTGCCAGTGCCAGCGCCCGTCTCTATAACACCAAAGACGTGGGCCTTGCTCGCCACATCCAAACTTGTGAGGGTTATGGTCTCTATACTTACTGCACGGACTACTACGTAGCTAACGGACTCTTATTTAAATTTATACGTGGACTCTTCTATATACTCGTATCGTACACCCTCACGTAGTGTACTACTCAGTTTCGTACTTAGTGATTTCGACTCGCGCTCAGATTACGTAAGCGCGGCCTTACAGACGCGCGTCGTCTCTTTCGTAGTATCTCTTGTAGCGTTAACGCCAGTGCTCAAGCGCTCAGGCCTTGTACATTCGTTTACTCGTTATCCACTTCTCATCTCGCCTCGTCTCACTCTCGTTTCGACCCGGCCCGTCACAAACTCGAAGAAGTAGGGCCCAGGCTGCCCGGCCGTCGCACAGGAATCACGCGCCATGAGCGAAGCCGTGCCTGCAACCTCAAGCAGCCTCGTGCCCTCGAGCGGTACGTAGACGCCCACAAAATGGGGTCGTGCTGTCCCTTCTCACTGGGACATTGGAAAACGCGTTGGATGAAAGTACAACATACTATGTTAGTTCATTCAAAGATACATACTTGTACTTCAATGTCTGATAGTCTACTATACTGTAAGGTAGTAAGTTACTATACTAGCTGCTTTCTCTGACTAAGATCAATGCTTTAACCGGCACTGCTTGTCTGAAATCCATGTTGCTCCACTCACCCGAAATTTACTCAACCAAAACCAAATTGAAACTTCGCAGAACTTCTTGGGATTTTAGTTCATTGTCGCGTTTTTTTGCTCATTTCCCACACACTGAGAATTTACGCAAATTGTAGACATGTTTCCCTGACTTCCCTCTTTTATTGGCCAGAGGTTTTTCCTGATGGCCAATGCTGCGACTGGGAAGACCAATGGTTCCGCATGAGGTTACACCCAAAATCGGACTCCGAAGGCGCAATGGACGAAGTTCCTGAACGAGGAGAGTACATAACCGAAAAGGATAACCATGAAACAGCGGGCCCTGATGTCCTTTCTTGGTCAGACCTATGTCTTGGTCGAGACGGATGGTTTCGAAAACGAAATCGTCGGCTCTTCTGGCTTCCAGCACGGTACAGACCAGTTGATTATCTTAGGAATGGACTCAAATTGGCTATGGAAGGCAACAAAGTTACGATACAGGGTCTAAAAGGCGATCGCACCATCACGTTACGATTACTCAACACGCAGATTGATTACTTCGAGTAGACTCTTGTTCCTTGAGCACGTAGTTGGGTAAATAGCAGGTGGTCCGAGTTTACGTGCGCGATGTAGATGCGACTCGCTTTCCGCGATAACCACTGTCGTGCCATTGCGCCATGCTTGTATGTTTTCGCCAAAATCGCAAATCGAAGGTCAACTTCTAGATTAGCGAACGAACATGGCTATCAAATTGAGCCCGCGACTCAAGCGCAGTACGATTCACATGCCACTTTCACCAAAACAACACGTAGGTCGAAGAAAGCGAAATCTGCGACTAGAATGTGGAACTCGTCGTCAGGATCCCTATCGCACGTTGTCTACAAGAGGCGAAGAAGCGAAAGGGATATGACAGAGCGACAATAGATTGATGACGACGAAGACGAAGCCAGCTATACATGAAGGCACCCACAGAAGAACACTCGTAACGGACTTAAGTCATATTATTCACATCCGTCGTACGTATGCCGACGTTGGGGAACTCGAGGGCTAGATCAACACATAGAACATCCGGGATAGACGCCTACGTGGGAGAGGTAATGCGCGCACGAGCGAGAAGGGGCATATGTCAACGCGACAGAAGCGTTTCAGAGAAGTGCTCCCTATTCACCTCACTCACGATATCGCACTCTCGCTGTCCACTGCGACGCCGCCGCTCACGTCCATTTCGAGCTCCTTCAAGCGTGGGCAGCACGCACCGATCATCTCCAGGACGCTGGTGCTGAGATTGGACATAGTCACCTTGAGAGAATCGACCTGAGCGACCGCATCCCCTGCCTTGTGGATCCATGTCTCAAGGTCGTCGGGTGCGACGAAGGCCCCCTCCTCGAGCTGGACCTATAGCTCGTCAGGTCTATGCCAGTCTAGCAGGCACCTTAGCGCTCTTGGAGCGACGAGCGATAACGCCTGGATGGGGACGTGATATGTCATGAGGCCGGGAGATTACTGATGAGGAAGAGTCTCGAGGGCGAGGGCGACGCTGGCGTATGTAGATGGCTCGACGAGGGTCTTGCACGAGAGACGGAGAATGGAGAGGTTCGCGTAGTGATGAGAATGGAGAAGGATATGTTTCAATAACGAAGGGGACACGGGAAGGGAGAAGCTTCGCAGAGTGGGAAGGCAAGGTTGGACGGAAAGTGGGGATATGTGCGTGGAGGATGAAGAGTGCAGCTCACGTAGAAATGCAGCAGCACAGGGTGCATCCGAGATGATGAGGCTGGCAAGGGAATGTATGTAGGGTATACCGAGAGCGACGCGGATAGGTTTGAAGTGACTATCCTCTACTAGAGAAAGATCGCGTATGTCGAGTAGCTGGCTTGGTGCAGGCCGAGTGCTCCGGAGCGCAAGGTGATCACCAGGCAAACTGGCCGCGCGATACCTGTAGAAGAGGGAGCTGCCTATATGTTTGAGAGAGCGCAATCCATCAAGATGAAGAAGGCTGAACGGGACATGAATGAAGGCGAGTGAGCGAAGGTTGCGAAAGCGCAGGAGGTTGGGCAAGATGAGATCCAGATTGGGCGGACACTCGCGGTGCCGGGCGGAGGTCTGGCTTCCAGGACCAAACGGCGCGCATATACGCACTTCGTGGAGTCCGTGGGCTACCTGCAAACGGGAGAGAAAATCCAAGGCGGGTTTGGAGTGCTACAACATCGTACTTCTCCGGGGTGGGGGATAAGGAGAATGAGAGGGTACGAAAGTACAGAGGCTGTGCGAGAGTTCGGAAGATAGAACGTGTGAGTGTTGAAGCGAAGAGCGCCTCCTGTGGCAGATGGCGAAAGACCTCAACCCAGAGTTCGGGGGAAGAAAGTGGTGGCAGTCAGAGGGTGAACCTGGTGAGCGGAGTTCGAGAGAGAGATCATAAATATTTTCGCTGACAATAGTCTTGGGAGACATTTGGCGAGCGAGCTCTGGGCCAGGCGGGGTCGTCAGCATGACCATGGCATAATCTCTAGCCGTTTCGCCTTTACCTTCCTTGAGCGGATTGCGGACTGGTGTCGAGACTCTGGAGCGCTGGAGGACCAGAGTTTGGCAGGCGAGAAGATTGAAAACACGTGGCGGGCCATCCCGACTCCTGAGGTCATGTGGACTTCATCTTCCCCAACATCTCGTCGTCTCTCCACTGGGGCTCCGGTCGGAAGCATCTTGTCCAGGTTTCTCCTTGCCACCAGCGAGCGCTTGTTTCATGCAGGTACTCCTCTTGGTTGAAGTAACCACATGGGCATCAATATGCTCACTTTGCGCTTGATCTCTTTAGAGTATAAAAGCAACTGCCTGTCTATCTTGAATATCACTGGCTTCCTCCGAGTCTCGGGGTGGACATAGGGTGAGATTCCCGACTCGCCGCATTTCCAACTCTTCAGCGTTTGGTTCGAGCAAGACCGCGCTTTCGGGACGTACTTCCGGCCATATTTTGGTACGAATGAGTGCCTTCAACTTAGACTGCCTTGGCGTCAGGTTATCGGAAGAATTGTGATAGGAGCTCACCCTAGCTCACCGTACACGAGCTTCGCCGCGAAGAACACGGCTTTAGAGCCAGTATTTATAGTTTCAATGTCTTGATTTGTATATTCTGACCCTTCCGAACCAACGGCTATCCTCAACCTTAACGGCCTTCTCTCACCGGTTCGTCTCAGCAGATACATGGCTTGATCACACGATGGGCCATCCGCGTACGTGTAATTGAAGCCTCCACACCAAACATGCATGTGTCTATCGGACAATAGGTTTCATTGGCGTTCTGGAGGTTCGGAGACATTAGGACCATAACATGATGTGCCTGGGCAAGCGTGTCATTCTCTGACGTTCCATGCTGCGTATATATCAGTGACGGCATGAATCACATTGCATTGGCGATAACCCGGCTTCAAAGCTGTTGGTCCGGCCCATGCTTTCACGCCTATTCCTTTCCTTTCCGGCAGTATATGCTGGACCTCACGGCATCTACCTGAGTCCTTACACTTTACTAATACATCGATGGAGGCTGCCTTGTCCGGACAAAAGTCGCTGCGCCTCCCTTACGTCGACATCTTACTACCCAATGATCGGTATGAGCGTGATAGGTGAGTACTTGAGTGCTTGTACTGCTGACAGGTACCCCGACGACTCGACGATGGCTCATGTCCATGGTTGACAGGCTCAACCTACACCACGAGATCATCAAACAAGCTTTCGGACGCATCCTCTTCCCGCCAATAAGGCTTGGGGGCAATGATCGAGTGCTGGACTGTGGTACTGGCTCAGGTAACGTACATTGGCGATAGCGACCCTCTTACGTTCAAACTCACATCCAACAGGGGCCTGGGTAACCAACGTCGCCAACAACGTACCACCCACCGTTCACCTGTACGGCATCGACATCGATCCATTCAGCTTCCCCGAGAGACATCCACCCAATGCTCACTTCCTCGTGCAGTCCACCCTCGACATGCCGGCCGAATGGTCGAACACGTTCACCCTGGCCAATCAGCGCATGCTCGTCAGCGCGTTCTCCCAGAAAGACTGGCACAGATCTGCACAGGAGACGTTCCGGGTGCTCAAGCCAGGCGGGTACGTGCAGCTGCTCGAGCTAGACGCACGCCTCCACCAAGTCCTTGCCCTTGGCCCACGCTCAAGACGGCTGGAAGAGGTTGCAAATGCGATCTGGCACGAGCGCGGGATGTTGACGGATCCGGCTTCTGTTCTCCCGGATGTATTGACGGAGTGTGGGTTTGAGAACGTGGTGATCGAAACGCGGGACGTGCCGGTGAACAGGAGGAGCGGGGCAATGGGTGCGTTGCACTTGTACAACATCAGCCAGGCGTATAGGGAAATGGGGGAAGCTATCGTGCGAGCCGGGGGGTACGGGATTGTCAGTAGCCTGCGCGAGTTTACCGACCTTGTGGTCGCAGCTCGAGAAGAGTGGGCTGAGAACGAAGCTGCCGTTGCAACGTTCGTGATGGTTTATGGGAGAAAACCACTTTTAACGTTGGAAAGCGGCTAAGATGATGGTTGGTTGATGGAGTCGGATGGACGATGTTAGTTAGTTCACTGATGGACGAGACACGCCACCAGTCATTGCTCATATACTTAAAGCTATGGTAGTGTCATATTCATATGCAAATGCAGTAGCATACTCAGATGGAGAGAGGCGGAGGTGTCGTAAGGACGACATGAACATGGCACGATGCGGGGTACGGGATTTACCGAAATCCCACGTGGGCGGTGACGCTGACACGGACGTCTTTGGGCTTCCGACTAACTTATGACTACACTTCCAGAGCAAGTTGAGCAACCCTCTCGACTGGAGGTCTGGGGAAAATTCACCACATAATCTCGGTCAGATCCACAGCCAAATGAATACCTAGTCAATCACATAGCGCTCTCGTCATGTTTTGATACGTCTGCCTATCACGAACCGCTCTGGCTTTCCTCCGTCCTCGGGCTTCTCCCCGGGTTGAGCTCGTGTAAGTGGAGCACCTCTGAGACGTGATCTCTTGAGTGTTTGTTCCGTGCGGGGTGCGGGACGAAGCCTTTTAGAAGGCATTGTTCCGACGTCATCACGGGTACCTTACCATCCTGCCATTGCTATCAGACGTTTGCGGCCGGGGGCGGGAGATGAATATACGTGAACCTTCTCCGCGAAGGACACGGCTTGAAGGTCAGCAAATATAGTGTCACCGTCGCATTTGCATGCCCTGATCCTTTCCAGCCGCCTAATTAAAGCTTGACGGGGTTCTCTCGCCGAGCAGACACGATACTTTACCACACGGTGGAGCGTTTGCACGAGTGGGACTAAACATGCCGTGTCAAGAATGGATATGTTTGTCGGAGGAACGCGATAAGTATCTTCGGCGTCTTGAAGTCTCTGAGACGGCACGCCTACGTTTAGACTCCCGGTACCACATCATGATGTACTAAGGGCCGCATGTCACTCCGAGATACTTGGGTTTCCTTGTTCTGCATACTTGACGGTACATAATCCGGGTCCAATACAACGTTGCTTAAAAGATGTCGGTCCAGATATTCTCACAGCCTTTCCTTTTCCAACAACACTGTACCTTAGTTCTTCTCTGAATCCTACAGATTGTCTCGATGGCTGCTGGTACTGGACAACCAATGCCCGAACACTCTCATACAGACATCAACGTTCTGACGAGGAATCAACATGAGCGGGATAGGTCAGTACTGTTAGCAGGTCGACTAAACGCTCGGCTGTGCCTAAATGTCTACAATATACAGACTCAACCTGCATCACGAAATAATCAAGCAAGTTTTTGGCCGCATTCTCTTTCCACCAATCAGACTTGAAGGAAGCGATCGAGTTTTAGAGTGTGGGGCTGGCTCGGGTACTTACAATTGCAGTACTGGGTTACAATTGCGTTCCAACTCACCCACCAACAGGGGCCTGGATAAACGATGCCGCCCATCATGTACCACCCAGCGTCCATTTGTACGGTATCGATCTCTATCCCACCCATTTTCCCGAGAGGCACCCATCCAATGTTCACTTCCTCGTGCAGTCCATCTTCGACATGCCAGCCGAATGGTCAAACACATTCACTCTAGCTAACCAACGCATGCTCATTGGATCATTTCTCCCGGGCGACTGGAGAAAATCTGCACGCGAGACATTCCGCGTGCTCAAGCCGGGCGGGTACGTGCAGATGCTTGAGCTGGACGCACGCATCCACCAGGTGCTTGCCCTGGGACCGCGCTCGAGACGACTGGAGGGAGTTATCAATGCAATATGGCGAGAGCGAGGGATGTTGACGGATCCCGCTGGTGTTCTCCCAGATATTCTGAAGGAGTGCGGATTTGTGGACGTGACAGTCGAGACGCGTACCGCGCCAGTAAACAGGAAAAGCGGTGCGATGGGTGCATTGCATCTATATAGTATTAGTCAGGCGTACAGGGCGATGGGGGAGGCCATCATACGTGCTGGAGGGTACGGGGTTGTTAGCAGTGTGCGGGAGTTTACGGATCTTGTCGTTGCAGCTCGGGAGGAGTGGGCCGAAAACGAAGCTGCCTCTGCAACATTTGTGATGATTTATGCGAGGAAGCCTCAGTGAAGCATCGAAATATGGACAACGTCACGAATTTCTTGTTTCGCAGTACTATGGATTATCACAGCCATGTGTAATATTTATAAGACAATACCATACTGCCAATGAACTACGATTTACCGGCGTCTTAATTGGCAGCATTGACAAGACAGGAGTCCGTGACAGGTACTGTACTGACCTCCCGCGACACAATGCCAAGCCAGCACGAGACCCCGTAGCCCTCAATGAGATGTCCGTATAATGCAAACTGACGGGATACCTCGTAAAAGATGGCATTGGAAAGCGCGCTACTTACTCCTTGCTCGGACGATGATACACCTCAGTGAGATCGGAGAAAGAGCTCGCAGGCCGCTCGCACTCAGCTCCAAACGGGCCGCGGGCGATGCCGAAAGCCACGTGCACATATTCTCACACGTAAGAACAGGCTGAACCGCCGAAGACAAACTGAACCTTCATTGAACCTCCACCATCTTAAGCCTGTATGTAGTATGTGTGCCAGGGCGCTGCCACCGCGTCTTAATGGTTTGATTTGTTCGTAGCGGCATACAAATGCAGACCTTCTCTCTCTCTCCACCATCTCAAGCTCATATCCTACCGAGTCTCGGCTTGGCATCATCGGGGGATTTGTGCCCGCCAAAGTCCCTCAAAGTACCCGTCCCGACGTTACCCCCCGTTTGGTAATGGTTCTGCACGACTACTAGCCGCACGTGGACAATCATGAGTAGTAAGTAGTATATTTGCTCGTCCCGATGTTTACCCCCGCTTGGTAAACAAACTTGCGCCAGCTTCTCGTTGAACAGATTACAGCAGGTGTATATGTAAGTGAAACTATTTTACGACGCAATAACTAATGCTTCCAGCCATGCCAGTTACTGAGAACGCATTCTTGGACTCGGATGCAGTGCCTCCCAACGCCAATGGAGATTGTATATAATCGTGTATGACATCGCTCATCACTCCATGACCTTCGAAGATGCATGCCCAGTCTATCGTCTGTTTCCTCCTAATCTCTGCAGCCGTGCTCGCTACCGACTGTGTCAACGATCCAGATCCCGTGGTCATTGACTATCTGCATTCTTCTAGCAGACATGGCAACAAAAATTGTGACTCGTACGTTCATTTGCATGTGTTCGTCCCTCAAATTATCGGTGCTGACCAGCCCGTTCCCTTCTCGTTTTCTTACTAGAAATGACGTTTCCTGCCTGTGCAATGACTTTTTGACGGACGGCAACGCTCAGATTTTCTATGGCCACTGTCCAATGGAGTCGTGTCCAGAGATAAACCTCGACCGGGGAGTGAGTGCTGTGACTGAGACATGGTCGACGATGGGCGCACCTTGTGAGTGTTTATGCTTTCACGAAAAGTATGGCAGATGGAATAACCCCCGTATGTTGCATAGACACGGAGACCTCAGTGTCGGGCACGCCAGCCTCTTCATCGATCACGCCAGCCTTTGCGACGGCCACGGCACCTGCTCCCTCTTCCAGCAGCACAGGGGCGGCGACTCAGTTACTAGGCCCACAACTACTCCCGTGGGTACTGTCGCTCCTACCTCTTCTAGCTGGGAGACTTGCTGCCTGACTCACAGGGGTGAAGTCACCTCTGCTCAGTATTAGCTCTTTATCATCCAATAAATCTCCCTTTGATCTCGATGGACGTCACCAGTGCACACGTTTAAACTTGAAGTCATACGATACCATGTACCAGAGTGCAGGCTTGTAATCTCAGCGCGAATATCCCGTAACTAGAATATGGCCGTGCATTTATGCTCCTAGTCAGTCTGATAGATCTAAAGCGTTGTATCAAGTAAGACGCGATGAGCCGCATTCGCATGAGAAGACAGTCGTCTTGAATCAGGAATCGGGCGCTACAGCCGAAAGCGTGGAAATAAGTATTATGGCGACCTTTGGAGATCTGAGCGCTCAAACCTCTTCAAATACGAATTATGAGGTGTAAGTAAAGCGCAAGGTCTCGCAAACTCATTCCAGCCAAAGTTATAGCGAGTTCTGGCTTGTATGTTGTTTGTATGCCGAAGCTTGGAGATTCGCCGATCAAGTCGAGCGTAGAGCCCCTGTCTGCTTCCGATATCGATCCGGCCCTTTTAGACGCCCGCCGGCCCGGGCTCCGACGGAATCAATTTCTTTGCGCGGAACCACAACCTACCGCAACCCACTTAGCATCACCCACAAGTACGCCATGTCCCAATTTTGACAAGACAAGCGATGCCTTTACTTAGCTCGCTAGCTAGAGTAGCGCCAACGGTCATCTAACAATCAGGCACCCGAACCCTACGCACGGCACTCCTTCATATCTGATCTCGTCTTGTGCATCGTCATCACTGCCACCAGGCCCACGCTGTGCAACCTGCTGCCAGAGAGATGCACTAGACTGCTAGAGCACCGCCCGTCGCCCCGCGGCGAACTTTTATCGACCGTCATGGCGCGCTGCTTATAGTTGAAAAACTCCCTCATATAGCAGGACACCTCGTGAAACAAGGGAACGCCCAGTCTGCTCTCCCTCCCGCTCTCGCCCTGACTCTGTGACGATGGACGACTCGAGCTCTCTGAAAAGTCTCGCGGCGCTGTTCCCCGAGACGTTGCTTTATGGTGAGCTGCATATATGCGCTTGGATGTGTCCGAGGTAACCGAGGCTCTGGTGTAGGCATGTTCTCCATGTTGATCGTGGCGGACGTGTACGTGCTGCGCGCGTCCAAGTTGAAGCAGAGAGCGCACAAGGCTGCGCTTGTAGTGGCGGGTGTTATGTTTGTTGTTGCCACCATTGTGAGTTCTCACTTTAGTATATGTTTTGTTTTCTGAAATGTTTTGTGGATAGCACGTAATTGCGACGTTCTGCTACGAATATTTCCTAGAGAAGTGCAGCATACTGCAAGCGAACGGGCAACCATTCGACTATGCAGCGGACGTCGCGACAGTGATGACCGAGATACAGATCATTATGTTTCTGATACAGATGCTGCTAGGGGATGGGTTCATGGTGCGTACTTGCTTGAGATCTCGTCCGCCTCGGGCTGTTGTTGAGATGAGTTTCGTTTAGCTCTACCGGCTGTGGAAGGTGTGGAATAGTGCCAAGTTGGTAGTTATCCCGGCGACGGTGTTGTTCGTGGCCAACGTTGGTGAGTACTTGTTCCTCGGACGTGCTTTCTCGTTTGTGACTAACGTACGCATGTTGCCGATATGAAGCATTGGGCCTCGCGAACTTTGTCTTGCTAGGATGGTTCGAGACTTTTGGCGTCTCGAACGTGGACTGGTATCCAAGCCACCTCTCGAAATACGGTGACGGGTTTAGCCTTGCTGTCTTCATCGTCAGCTATATCGTGCATCTGAGCTGCGCAGGTGAGTATTCATTTGCATTAATAACCCAAAGCGCTCACTTGTTATAGTCTTGATCGCGGCCAAAATCGTAGTCGTGCACTGGAAGCTGAGGCGTCATTCGGGCTCCAGCGTCTCCTCAAACACACTGCCCATCGCAGTGGTCGTGCTTGAATCAGGGCTGATATACTGCCTATCCCTCCTTTTGCTGATCATAACCTGCGTATGCGCGGTGGAATATACCGAGATTGTCCTAAACGCCGTAAGTTTATTGTTTCACACTTCCCCTTGACGAAACTGATTTCTTGGATTCAATGCAGATCGTTCCCCTGATCGTAAGTCGTTCTTAGTCCTGATGGATCTACGCTGTGCTTACTCTCGCTCGTCGACTTAGGGAATCACGTTTTCGATTATCATGGTCAGGATGGGCCTTGGATTATCCACGGAATCATCCATAGAACCCATCGACGGCCGCAACACCGAGGTTACGATGATGCGCTTTGCCGAGCCTCCCTCGGTTCCGTACTCTCAAAGGTCTAGCTTTGCGAAAAGCTGGCAGGGTGATTCCCCGCGACTGAGAGAGAATGTGTAACTTCGACCTCGAGGTCCGTAATGATATGTATCGGTGTTGTATGTAGGCATCCTTCATGTGCTAGTGCTGCGCGCCCCACGAAATGAAAGAGCATGGGTAAAAGTCGTAGTATCTTGGTCAGTCTTTACTAAAGCCATTGAATAGCTTGTGAGAGTCTGACTTCGGCGCACACAGCGTCTTCCAACGCGCGTCGAGGCGGCAGGGCGCTCAGGGGTGGGTTACATCATCAGGTTGACAGGTGGTCCGCGTGAGTTCGGACAGCTGCACCCAGAAACTCCACCTCGATCCATTCACTCTCGCTCGCTGCGCTCGTCTGATGGTCACGCTCACATACTTTGTCTCGCACGAAGATCACGCGCCAACGCGTTCCATCCGCATCTCATGCAAGCTGACATGTACTCAGGGGCCTCCACATCCAGGAGACCGGGCGATATATAACTAGGGCGTGAGTCGGCCCCGACAAGATACATCGTTGAGGCATCCGAGCCCAAAGGAGCTTCCCATAGAACATCTACCATGAACGGCCCTTCTTCTCAGAATCTGAAAGCTTTCTTCCCTAAGCCTTCCTTGCCTCCCACAAGTCTCTGCCCGCAGAGGTTCCCTGGCATCGACGACGACACAACAGAGACGCTGGTGAAGCTTCTGCGCGAGAACCATGTCAAGTATCACGTTCTATATGGAGAGCGGAAGTTCCACAAGTGAGTTTGCGTTCATCTTCACGATTGTATCCTTTCTGAGCCCGTGATGCAGCCACATCGCCCATCGCTTGCTCGCCCTATGGGCCCTCGGAGCCCAGGGTTCCATCATCCAGGCGTACTACGAGACGGACGGAGAGCTCATGCACAAGTCGCTCAAGTCTCCTGCGGAAATCACGGAGTCGAACTTTTTCGAACACTTGGGAGATGTCGAGTACGCAGCAGTGCACTGATTGTGGCTTCTTACCTCTAACACCCTTGGGCCAACAGCTACTGCTCCTCGTATTCCGACTTCTTCGCCAAGGAGATCCAGGTGCATGGCACTGTTGAGACGCTGGAGAAGTTCGTCTTCTCCGATGAGTACAATGTCGACAAGGGGTTCATGCTCGGCCAGTACTGGGCTGGAGTGCTTCATCCTATGATCCACGTAGGATACGGTATGGAGTTTGGTATCCCGGGTCTCGTCGCCGAGGGTACGTCTGAGCGATACTTTTACGCATGCTTTCCTGTTGACATAGACGTTTAGGTCTCGCCATGGGAGCAACCAGCGACCTCATCAACTCCGACATCCTCGGAAAGTCTTTCTTCAAGAACGTTCCTGCGCCAGATAACGTCGCGCTCGCCGCCTCCTCGCTCTCGTCTCTCTCCCTCCGCAGTGACCCATCATCGGCGCAGGCAATCCACGGCAACACCGACACGACCGTGTTCGACGTGCTCGCCAGCATCCTTGCGGACGACCGCCTTGCCACGCACAAGTCCAAGGACCTCTTCACGGAGCTGGAGTTCACTATGAACGAGCGGGGATCCCTCGTACGCGAGCGCGCGGACAAGTGGACGATTGACGTGTCGAAGCCAGGCGAGATCGAGAGGAAGATAGAGGAACTGTTCTGGCTTAACACGTTGATATACGCTGTAGCTGGGTGGTCGGAGGACAAGGAGTTCAGAGGCGACTTCTTCTAGTGCGTGTTCCCCATCCCAAGTCTTGTAGTTTACTGACCCGCTCGCCATGAGCAGCATGCACCTCGTCACGTCCGCCCTCTTCCTCCCCTCACACGTCGCCTACCTCTCCCCGCGCTCGCAGATTCTCCTACTCCGGAGCTACCTCACCATGTCCCTCCTCACGTACATCTTCCGCGGCCGCCCTCCCGTCGACTCCCCCGCCATAACCGCCTTCTGGAACGGCACCACCACCGCACACAGCTTAGTCACACCCACCGGCCCGCTCTCCGTCCCGCACACCCCGGTAAGGGCCGTGCCCGCGGACGCAGCACAGAACCCGAACCCGTGGCTCCCGCTCGTGCAGAGCGCGATCCTGAACGAGAATGACCACCACGCGAAGATCGTGCGCGCGCTGCTGCACTGTGCGCAGGTGTACGGATCGCGCCCGAAAGGGCACTGGGCTGGGAAGGGCGGCTCGGATGCGATCGGGGGGCTTGAGGTGCTGGACGGGACGCTGTTCCTCAGGGCGGCGGAGCTGACGGCGTGGTTTGAGAGGGACGAGAATCAGGAGTGGGGGCCTGGGCATCAGAGGTGGGCGTTCGAGGGCTTTTATGGGTAGAGCTTGTGGGCATTGGCTGTCGGTTGACTGTAGGTTATTGTGTATTGTATCAATCAAAGCAATCCTCCACTCAGTTACACTTCCTGGAGCAAACCTCTGTGATACGGCATGTGGGATCAATCGATACGATTGACGCGCAAGCTGCTACGCGGTAATGAGTACGACCTGCTTCAACGGTTTCTTGCGATAGACTCGTTTACGGTAATAGTGACAATATCATATCATGGTACAATAAAAATGAAACTGAGGTATCGAAGCGTGACATGAGCATGAACGAGGACACCTGTCTCCTCTACCATTCAGACAAAATAAGGCATAGCCTATCCGAAGAGTATTAGCCCGCCTTTCTCTAGGAGACCGACAAAGGATAAGGAAATGGCGGGCGACTTACCATCTTCCGCGTCTGCATCCCCTTATCCCGTTCGTTCTCCTCCGCAGCACCGTATTCCGTGAAGATCTTCTCACCGTCCTCCTTGATTGTCAGTATCGACGCCATATTGCCACAGCGGTAGCAGTAGTTGGGCGCGCTCCAGACAGTGACGAGCGCTTCGTCGAACATGTATTTGTAGCCCTCTTGAACGAGTTGGTGTGCGCGCGCTATAAGCGAAAGGCCATTGACGTGGTTGAACTTAGTTGAGGGCAGAAGAGAGTGAGTTCGAGCGGGCAGATAGGAAGGCAGGACGAGGAACGACGTACCTCTGTCGTCACGCCACCTCCGAATAGCCATCCTGCACCGCGCGGGCTGACGGCCCAGTTGTCGATGTCTTCTGGATCTGACCACATCAGGTCTGCCGGGTTGTCAATCGGACGTAGCGATGAAAAAGGGTAAGAAGAAGCGTACCGCAGAACGCGCCCTCATGAGGTATCTCTTGGGCTCGCGATAGGACCCGTATCTGGTCCAGCGATCGGATGTCTGGCGAGAGCCCTCCGTGTACGCACAGGATCTCGCCGTCTATTATCTGCCAAGTGTGTTGTCAGGATTCCTGGCTCGACAAAAGACATGTAGAAAGGAGAGGAGGAAAGGGCGGGGAGACTCACGGCAGCCAAATTGAGGTAGTCGAACACGTTACAGCAGGCTTTCCAAACAGCTGCACTTCCATACTTCTGCTGACACTCGTCTAAAGACGATGTTGTTAGTATACACAGACGGGGAGGATGCGCATACACGCACCATAAAAACCATAGACTTGCGTGATCTGCCGACTTTCATGGTTTCCGCGCAGTAACGTTACTTTGTCTGGATACCTGGGGCATGATCAGAATGGAACAAACATACGGAAGACACGAGCATTCACCTTGCTTTGAGAGCGAACAACAACGACACTGTCTCAAGGCTGTAGTGCCCCCGATCCACAAAGTCCCCCTACACGTTCCAAGTCCATCCATGCCCAGCGTACCACCACCGCCATCCATCGTCCACCATCGACCACCACCGAAGAAGATCCGAGGAGAAACAGAAGAAGTGAACGTTTAACATCAATCACCCCCGCCCAAGACAGTAGGGAACACATACGCGCCATGAATATGTAGCTCGTCTCGGGCACCCGCCCGCCCTTTCGCAGCAGCTCGAGCAGGTCCCAGAACTGTCCGTGTATATCCCCGCAGATCGTGACTGGGCTGCGCACGGGCTGAATGTTGGATTCCTCGACGAGGAGCGAGCGCACGCGCTCGCAGAGGAGCTTCATGTCGCCCTCGGGTAGGTGCTGGCACTGCATCAGCTGGGCGATCCATTCGTCGGGGTTGTATTTAGGCATTTTGCGGAGGTCTGTGGTGCCGCACAGATATAAGGGTGGTGACGGTGGGATTCGAGACGACAAGAGCAGAGTGGACCGGGGCGGAATTAGGTTGTCGCTGTCGCGCGTGCCGATCTCCGCGGGCGCTTAACTTAAGGGCAACCTTTCTCGACTCAAGACCTACTGAAGTCATGGGTTATGAACGAAAGCTCCGTTACGACATGCAACGATAATTAGTGGTGTGTACGATATGACATATCAAACATGTAAACCTGATGTTTACGTGTGCTGTACTAGATAAACGAGCGACAATAGCTGGAAGAGAAAGGACAGGAAGTTCGTAATAAACGTGGGTAACAACGCACGACGTAGGCAGTGTTAAATATCAAGAGGAAAGCCACAATTGAGTATGTACATGGCAGTCTGACGCTAGGCATCAGACGTAGCCCAGAAGGTCATTGCTGTCTCAACACGTCAAGTACCCATCCTTCGGCTAACGCATCTTCTTGCTAGGCTTTCACGCCCGAGCGCTGAAACCAAATACGTGGACTTGACTCTTCAGACGGTCAAGGTTTCCCGCTTCCCGTCCAGCGGCATGTCGTTGCGCTCATCACGCCGGGAGCCGTGCCCATCCACCGATATGGACCCCTCACGGTCGTCCGAGTTCTGGCTATCCATCTCCTGCTGCATCTTCCGCAGCTCCGACAACGGGACAGGGACCGACATGCCGGTCGCTGTGTCCTCAGTGTGTGCGAATGCGAAGGCGCTCTGGGTCAGGAACGGAGGACGTCAGGGACAGTCAAGAGGCGCTAAGAGGTACATTACCCTAGGTCCTTCAGCGTTAGTCGTGGCTATGGTGTCCATGTTGCCGAACATCTCTTTGCGCAGCTCTTTGCGGGACAGAAGTGTGTCCAGTAACGTCTATAGGGGACCAACATGTCAGTATGTCGCAGACATCGACCATATCACGTCCTCACGTTTGTATAGATTCTCCCGACAGGGATAGCGAACATGCCATACAGCTGTGTCGTTGGCCACGCCAGGAAGCTGACGAGGCAACCGATGGAAAAGATACTGGCAAAAAGACCCGTTTGGATAGCGCCGCGGATGAGCCGGTTGAGTACGCTGTCAGTTCGCTTGAAGCCCGTCTTTGAACGCGCCAGGATGGCGGCGAGTGTCCCTGGTCGTATAAGACACGTGAGTGCAGGCGTCGAATGGCAAGGGAACAAAGTCTGACCGGTAATGAATATATCAGCCATCACCTGCGTGATGAGCCATCCGGTGACAATGTTGTCGATGGCTGCAAGCTGCGCCATGCTGCGATGTTTTCGTAAGCGCCATACACACGTCACTGAATATATTTCTAAACTGAGACTCACATATGGATCATCCAGGCGCGGATGCCGCACATGCAACCCAGAATAAACGATGGAGCAACAAGGAGGAGACTGATTCCGAACAGCACGTTGCTCTCTGAGAGCTTCCAGATGCTGCGAAATTTTGGGTAAGAAGGCTGACGCGTAAAACGATAGACACCAAATGGAAACTCACCGCCAGGCAAGGTAAACTTGGGTGACGACGGCAGCAAATGCTGTAGCAATCGGGGTGAACGTATACGGCCAGAGCGCCTCTACAAGGAGGGAGCACAATGAGTCAGCAGTAGGGAGTTTGGGGGCTCATGAACGACGCACCGCCCAATGCAACGGGGTTCGCGAAGTTCTGTACCCTGCGAAACTGGACCGTCAGGAACAATTAAATAAAGCTGTACCAATCCACTCACAAGTAAAACCACGACATCCAGATGACTCTTCAAGTCAGCGAATATAACGAGCCTTTAGTCACTCGAAATCCGGGAGGAAGACAGTCGTTGGGAACTCACGTCGCCGCATGAAAAGTATCCAGTGCGAAAAGGAACATGATCATAGCCCTGTGCGTTTGGTGAGCCTCGGCACTTGACTCTTCGGGGGAACCGAACAAACCTCAAAGCCAGCCGATCACTGTAGTCTATGGCCATTCATTGAGTCAACGAAGACTGCGAAGTTGAAGAAAATGACTTACAAGCACGCCAGTAGCACAAGAACTGGTACGTGACCAGCCCGTACAAGTACGTGTTGACTGTTCCTCGTTCTTTAGCTGATGTAACCTTCCAGAAGTGCGAGAACAAACTCACAAAAGACGCCTATCAGCATCAAGCCTATCACCGTGATCAGCTAAGTATAGGCCCGTCCAAATCCGACATATCAAAGAGGCACTCACCGACGGATGTATCATACTGCCCCATGGTTCCTTCAAAGCGATGACGAGCAAAATGAGGGAAAATGAAGGAAATAAGGCTGTTGGTGCGGGGTTGGAGTCAAAGCGGGCAAGCACGGCTGGCGCTACCGTCCGCGTCTTTATAAATTGCGCACGAGCGCATGAAGTTCTCGCGGGGGCGAGGGCGTTGCGTGACCCGCACTCGGCAGCCTGATTAAGATACAGTTGTGTTCGCGTATGTAATGATAAATTGAATGAATAAACGACGGAATGGGAGAAACAAAGCGCCTGGGAAGTTTCAACCCGTTCTTCAGAATCAGATCTTCTCGCGCACTCAAATCCCGATTGGGGGTCTTCCGCGACGAGATAGGAAAGACGGAAAGGGCCGCCGTGCGCCGCATATCAGGCGGGCTCTCTCAGGAGACGAGCCTCCACAAGTTCGGAGCTGAGTGTCTTTTAAAAGCAATGATAACCGAGACAAGAAGCTGCCTGGAAAAGACTGCGCGGATTGATACGGCTGTGGTCCAAGGATATGGCTCAAGGGAAAGGCGCAGAGGGATCAAAAGGGTGGGATGGTTACTGCCGTACAAACCTGCAGCCGCTTCCTAACGGGCTGATTGCCGGAAGCGTGCATAGGGCGGAACACGGGCATCAATGTTCGGGCCATGATGGAAGCTTCAGTGGGAGAACACATCCACCTTTGCTGCAATGACCAAACATGCAACTCCAATAGCAGAGCCGGGAGGATGAAGGCTAAGCGTTCTAACGGCGAACAGCATGGCTACAACTTAACAAAAGAGAGCGAGAGATGCTGTCGTAACGGTCGGATTCCTGAACACTTCTAGGTTTCAAAAACGCATTAGTAAACGAGGGAAGTACTTACATACAAGGGGGCAATAGGTTTATGGGCCCGTATGGATCCATGGGTGTCGGTGGTACATCGTGGATTGCGAGGGCTTGCCCGTGAACACCATCGGCGCTGTCAGACGCGTCGACAAACTTTGTGATCAGTCGCGCTTGTTGACGGGATCTGCTACCCCATGATTCGGCTCGCTGACAGGAAGCCGCGGACCGCTGTAGCTTGCCAGGCAGCGTTCAACTGCCACGCTCCCCTGACGTAGTACGACATGTTCCTGAGAGCGGGGATTTTCGATTGCGCAAAGGCTCCCAGAGCACCCCAGAACAGTCGGAGACTTCGGCCTATGGGAACTCGCCAGATAAAGAGATACTGTATATCTGGGGCGTCGTAACTAACGCGACGAACTTGTGTCATTATAGCCCCGGAAGATTGCAAACAGTGTCGCATGGTAGCTGAGCTCACGTCGCGGGCCCTGATCGGCTCGGAAAATGACATGTTTTCAACAGATCTGTAGGTCCGTGTTGGAGCGATGAAGGTTCTGGACGGGAAAAGGAACCCCTCACTGATTGGTTGGCAAAGGCCAGAAACGAGAATTCTGATATTCTTCTATCTTTCATCATGAAAGCCGGGGGTAACCCCTTAATGTGAGATCGACGACGCCACGCGAGGGATCGAGACTATATCTAACGCCCATATGCTGTCATCCAGGAGTTCAGAACGATGAAGCCAACGTAAAAGATGCTGAGGAGAATGATACTGCGCAGAGCTTCGCAGAACCCACTGTGCGAGCTGAGATTCTTGGCTTGCTGGGATTGGTCCAACTGTATAATTGGATGCGATGAGAATGCCGAGTCTCATCGGTTGCTAGACAGCACCCAATCAGAAAAGAAAGTGCAATGTTCAGACCAGCGTCAAGCAATAAAGATTGTTCTCTCTGTATTGAATGTTGAAGCCGCGTACGAGTGACCGAGAAATAGAGATGGTCACTTTGAGCACGTGGCAACGGACTGCTAACGTCAAGCATCCTGGACTCCGCTTGATTATATGGTCCAATGCCAATACGGGGAAGGCTTCCACTGAAGGTGTTGTTTGTGACGTCCATACGCTGCCATACGGGAGCATCAGCAACTAGCAGAAGTGAGCGATGTACCGGAGATGTTGCAGCGTGGTGTCCACCTGTCAGCTCCGACGTCCAAAGCTGCCCATTCAAACGATGACATCGGCGGAGGCTCTCTTTGCCGCTATCAATGAGGGTCGCGCCATGCTCCTGTGGCAGACCAGAACTGACGCGGCCCCGATGTACAGGACATCACCCATTCGATTCATTAGAATGTATGCACGTCAGACACGCAGACTCGCCTCAAGTAGAGGAAAACCGCGGTGATCGGTATGCGTCACAGTTTGGGGTGCAGCGAGATCGGTATAAGCAACAAACGTTAGGCCCCATTATTACCACTCGATCGTTTCAATACACATTGATGCCGAGTCTCGACCACGCTACCTTGTGTGTTTCGGTGAAGCGATGCATAAAGGAATGGGGAAGGCGAAAGGGCGATAGCGGGCGCAACTGAAAAGCCTGCATGACGCCAAGGGGCAGTAAGTACGTGATGATCCGAGGGGTGGCAATTCTAAGCATATACGCGCCGGTTGCGACGACTGTTTTCCGAACAGCGGCTTGGGTGTGTTCAAACTGAATTTGATGAATGTCACTGGACCCAGCCTAGTACTGTAAAGGCGATTCCGAATGGTCAATCAGACAGTCTCCTGGCAGATATTGACACGTGCTTAGCCAGAGTGTCTTTGCGCATCATGGCAATTACTGAACCTAAAGTCAACAAAGTCAATAGGGGGTCTGGGTTATCGTCGGAGGAACAGCTGAATTGAGTAACCGCAAACTGACCGACTGAGCGGTGTAAAGGTTTTGAGAGGTTCATAATCAGGCCTGCTAAAGTATTTGCCCATCAGAGAAAGGTTGGAATCAGTGGATGCAAGCGAACACTGCAGACAAACTGCGATTTTTCTGTTACAAAAAGTGATTGAAGAAGGCGGACAGATGAAAGCCTTTTTCACCCATCTTTTGCTGTGCGAAAAGTTACTGAAAAGTTAAATTTTTGCCTCGGAGTTTGCATTTCGTTGCGGAGATTAGATAGAAACACGTCCAAATCGGGAAGTTAGAGTCCAAATTCGGTAACCCGTCCATTTTACCAGCGCAAAATTGACGCAAATGTTGGCTAAAAGAATACCTTTTCCTGTGCAGAAGGGGGTTCCAAAACTCGGAGGAAAAGGCTTTCATCTCGCCGCCTCTTTCTCTCGGTTTCATCCCGGATAAAATCGCCGTTTGTCTGCAGTGGAAGCTCAAGTAGACCATAACGCGGAGTTCGTAGTCCGCCCGGCAGAATGCTACGAGACGAGTTGAAGTCTTGCAGGTGGATTGAGGTCACACCAGGACCTTTTCCTCTGTCATGAACTTGAGTTGTTCTGGATGATAAGACACAAGGAAACAAGACAAGGAAGACATCTAGGGTTCATGGTGGTGGGCGAGTCGAAGCCGAGGGCGAGTTTGCCACGTGCTGCGTCGGGGCGCCCAAAGTTCCCTGACACGGCGCGCGAAGCTTCTGTCAGTGCCATCGACGCGTCTCCCGTCCATGTTCGAGCTCCCCGCAGTTACTGTCTCTTCCGTTCTGGTCACCCTCATTGCGCTCTTCATCAGCTACGCATTCTTCAGCATGTTCGGTAGCAAGAAGTGGGACCCGAAAGACAAGCATATCTACATCACAGGTGGCTCACAGGGCCTCGGTCTCGCGCTTGCACGTCTCCTAGTAAAGCGCGGCGCACACGTTTCGATCGTTGCTAGGAACGCGGAGAAACTGGAGAAAGCAAAGAAGGAGATTGAGGTGCGCCTTTTATCTCACCTTCCTTACATTGGTACTTTAATATGTATGGTAGGCAGCGAGGGCTTCTGACTCTCAGCGTGTTCTTTCCTTCTCCTTTTCTCTTGACAATGCGTCAGAGAGCGCAGCTGCTCTCAAGGCTGCCAGCGATGCGCACGGTGGACGTGCACCAGATGCGGTGTTTACATGTGCGGGAGCATCAAAACCAATGTTCTTCCTCGACATGGAGGAGCAGGACCTGACGAAGGGCATGGTGGATGGGTATTGGGTACAAGCATGGACTGCTCTCGTACGTCTATCTCCTTCTTGACGGGATCCAGGGATTTACGAAGGCGTCAGGCAGCAGCGAAGGCGATGGCGAAGCAAGGAGTGAAGGGCAAGATTGTGCTTGTGAGCTCAACGCTAGGTTATATGTCATTCGTGGGGTACGCAAGCTATTCGCCTGCTAAACACGCACTTCGAGGCGAGTCTCTTTTCTTTAACTAAGCATGTCTATTCCCTCCATACCGTCGAGATTGTCACCATACTTGCACCCTCGCCAAAAGTACGAGATCTAAAACTCTCTTCCAGGTCTCGCAGACACGCTTCGCTCCGAGCTTCTCCTATACGGTATTGACGTACATTGCTTCTTCCCGCCTACAATGTTTACTCCTGGATACGACGAGGAATCGAAGTCAAAGCCGGCCATCACGAAGAAGATTGAGGAGACCGACGACGGACTTACAGCTGAGCAGGCTGCCCTCGGGCTCTTCCACGGTATATTCCGATTCCCTTATCCTAAATTCAATGGTGACGATGAGCGGTCGCAGGAGTGGAGAAGAACCAACCTCACATAACGGCAGACCTGATCACATCTCTCTTCCATGCGTCGACGCGCGGTAGCGCACCAAGGAACAACGCGTTCGTCGAGACCATCCTCGACTTCGTTGCACTCGTACGTATCCCATTCTCTTCTTGAATCAAGCTTACCCTTTGCTCAACGGTACTCTCGTCTAGATTGGTGTACCCATATGGCGGAGCGGTGTCGACAAACAGGTGTTGGCTCACCGCGAGGAGCACCAGGGATATCTGCAGAAGAAAGGATTCTTCTCCTAGCGACCTCATTTTCCCAGAGAAGAGATCATCCGTACCGTATACTCATAACCCGTAATGTAAAATATACATATTCCCTTGTGCTCTGACAGATGATATGTTTTGACATACTACACGGCCTCGTGTGATGCAAGCAAAGCCCCTGAGTTGGTCGCGTCTGGATTCCCTCCCTCATCTTGACCGCGCTCCTCCACCCCACCGTCGTACTCATATCCCCAGATTCTTGGCGTTGAGTTCGTCCGTATATCTGGGATGAGAGAGATAATCTACATACAAGCTGGTTCATTCGCGAACTACACCGGTACACATTTTTGGAACACACAAGAGAGCTACTTCACGTATGCGGGCGACGATAGGCGAGCAGATAGCGAAGCTGCGGAGGGCGAAGAACCAGTGGTAGATCATGCCATATCTTTCAAGGAAGGAAAGGATCCTTATGTGCGCAACTTGCCCCTTTCTTTTACACCATGGACTGCTAACGTCCGGTTGGTCGGTGTCGTAGGGCCAACCTTCCCTCTGCCCGCGGCTGCTCGCTTTTGACTTCAAAAGTTCGTCTCTATCTGTCGGTCATTCATCCTATCTCATTTGTATACTTCTTCAAGGCAACTTTGGAACACTCTCATCAACCACCAACGACGACAACGACAACGATGACACCGATGGTGGCCTTACGTCGACATGGTACATCCTCGTCCCCATCCCTGGTTACCAGCTGATGTCCACCGAGGGGCGGCCCGATTGCACAGATCAAGAAGCAGCGCGTGGAGAAGAGCGCGTACCATCGAATGCTGGATGAAGAAGGAGAACACGAAACCGAGGCTGTGGCTAACACCAACGCGACTAGTCATCGAAAGATGCATCCAGCCAATGACCAGGGGAAGGCTCAGAAGGCACAAGACGCGGGAGAGATACGGTACTGGTCAGACTTCAACCGCGTGTACTTCGATCCGCGGACAGTTCAGGGTATTCCTGGAGGGCTTGAAGGTACGGAGGGTGACTGGGATGGCGGGCGCGAAGTGTTTGCAAGATACAACGAGGTGCGTTTTTCTCCTCTCTTCGTTGCCATTTTCCATACCATCCTATATCGCATCCTGCGTTCAATCTTGGGCTCATGATGTCTGATATTGCCCCAGGAAACCGAGCTGATGGATGGTGCACTGCGTCTGTTCGCGGAGGAGTGCGATAGCTTGCAGGTACGCCCGTACATGCTCCTCTCTATATCTTGGACTCAGCTTGACCATAACTCACAGGGCCTTCAAATGATCCATGATACATCGACATTCGGCGGTTTCACTAGCGCATTCCTCAACGCGTTCCGGGATGAATATCCCAAGTTGTCTATCCTCTCCTTTCCAGTCTTGTCTGAGGTTGACCCGATAGCTGGTGGGCCTTCGCCAGTATGTTATCAGCTCTCTTAAGGTGTTTTGGCCACGGAAGCTGACTTTCACTGTTATCAGGAATCAACCCGTCATCTACTCAGTGACACACTCTCCCTCCGGGACCTCAGCGAGCTGTGTGACCTCTCCATCCCTGTACAGGGCGCGTCGCGGTGGCCAAATTCAAATAACCCCAATTTGTGCTTCGACGTGCGTCTACTAAATTATTTTGTACGTTCATGAATATTCATCATAGATCGCATTCGCAGCCCCAGCGCATATACGAAGCTTCTGCTGTGTTGTCAGCCCATATAGAGACTGCCACACTTCCACTTAGGTGTGTACTGGCACTCGCGCACCTACTCTGTTGCGACTGAAGGACTGTGAATGATACCAGGCTGAAACAAGCTAACGAAGACATCTCGTCGATTATCGCGCATCTCAATTGGCGTCAACGAGTACCGTTCGCTGAGCTTCTCGGGTCGCTTCCTCTTTCGGAGCCCGCGTCGGACAAGGACTTCCAGAAGGGACTTGTCAACTTCACCACTGCTCAAAAGTACTCGGTGCGTCCGGAAGCCACCTTGTTTAGGATTTGGGGCTAATTGATGGGGGGCTGGTGTAGCACGATGAGTACATCCTCGCCAGGCGAGACACCACACGTGGCCTGAACGCCTCTGCCCGATCGCTTTACGAGACTTGGTGCGAGCCGCATCCGCCACCCTATACCGTGTCTACACACGCGCCGGCCTACCCGCTTCCGACATCCTTCCCCGCTATAATCCAGCCTCCGTCACCTAATCGGCGTGAAACGATGGCGCTGGCATGTTTACGCTCCGCACCTGGCTCGGCGCGGATTGTACGAGACTACGCCGGCTTTGCGAACAGGCTTTGGAGAAGTGGTGCGGTCGTGGGCATTGAGCGGGATGAACTAAGAGAGATCGGGAACGAGCTGAACGTCATTGGAGAGGGCTATGAGTGGGAAGGATACGCGGACGGCCAGGACGGAGGGGATGGAGATGGACTCGGCGAGGACGAATAAAATAGACTGGAGATGGTGCTGTGGGATCTCGTTGGCTCAGTGAAAATACGGTGCGTGGCTTCGTGATTGCTTTGCCATACTTTGTTGATTGAAAACATCAGGTTTTGTAAACACGTACCGTCTCGCTATCTTGCCATTCCTGAGTAGGGTCTGGAATCAAACCCTTTTTGTCAGACTCGCGAGCAGTAAGGCGCGTATACGCTAGCTGCGTATCTCTTCTCTTCGCATTGGCTGCGCAGCGGCAGCAAATTAACTGGATGCGGTGCCGGCTGTCATGCATGGGTTACCATCCTTATTCTTATCGCCATCTCCGGTCCATGCATTGTATCAAGAAGAAATAACGTCGCGGAGTTGTCGCGGGTAGTACACAGAGCTATGCTTGAGCATTATGGTCAGTCCATTATCACTCACCTTGCAAACGCCCTCTCCATGGCTGATCTTCTTTTCATGCTTGCGACTTGTTTCATGCAACCGAATATAACCGAACGATGAGTCTCTCTAGGATCAAGTGTACACTGAGGTGCGATCAAACCATTTGGTATCTAAGTACGGTATACTGGGAAAAATCTCGAGTTACGGCGGGAAGATAGGAAAGGTTGTTCGCGGAGTAGTGTCTGGAAGGGCGCGAAGCCAGAGCGAGGGCCAAAAAGGCTCGGCGTCAGCTAGTGAGTCGCCTTTTAGAGCGCGTGCTGTGTTGAAGAGAGGGTACTTTGCCCCATTAGATCATCATCATTACGGAATTTGCGACCGATGTCGGGCCTCGGACGCAACACATATACTGCCCCCGCGAAGGATTGAGGAGCTTTTCGACCTCGATCCGCACCAGGATCTGTCATTGTGGGACGCCTTGCGTTCCGGTCTCAGAAGTGACCAACACATACGAGGATCGCGCGAAGTCTTGGTAATATGTTGGTCATCTCCCCTAGCTTTGAACAAACACGAAACTTGTCTTAGGCTTCTGAACTTGAAACCCCTCGCCTGGCCCTGCCTGATTTGCCTCCACCCACACGCACGTGCCACCAAGAATCATTGCTCGATAATCAAGGAACTCCATGACCGGAATATGCTCCTCGATGTGTGAGCGCCTCGCTTCGTTCGCTCGTCTAAAACGTCACGTGTTTACATTTTGTTTTCTGACGACCACTTTAAGTGATTCCGTTGACGAAGGGCGGAACTACATACACGTAAAGCGGTGACGTTCAGATCCGACCAGGCGCGGATGGTCTCCATCTGAATCATCCACTCTTCTTTGCTTCCTCAATGACCAACTCCGACGACGTATATTTAAGGAGGCTGGAAATGAAGGAAGTAGTTATCATCCGACATACGCAACCCCATCTTACAGTATCATGAACCCTATCTCTATCCAGAAGGCCGACAAGTTTTTCCCCGCCCCTTCTGCAGCGCCAACAAGCCTCTGCGCTCAGCGGCTTCCGGGCCCTAACACAGTGGGGGCTGGCGAGGCGGTCAAGCGCATCTTGAGGGACAACCATGTCAAGAACCACATCTTCTTCAAGTCTAGCGGAAATCACAAGTAAGCTCCTGTTCATTTGTTCCGTGCATCTGACTTCGAGGAGCTGATGGTGGACGAATAGCCACATCTCGCACCACACCCTTGCGGTGTACGGGCTGGGTGCTTCTAGCCCGATCATTGAAACATTGTACGACACGGACTTGAACGTACAGCGCGGTATGCCCCAAACCGCTGAGAAAATCACGCTGGACAACTTTGGCAAGCATCTCTCTGATGAGAAGTAAGTGTTACTTTTCAGCCTTCTGTGATTCTGCTAAGCACCGGTATCTATCTGTTGCAAATAGCTACTACCCTCGATATGTGGAGTTCTTCGCCGAAGAGATTGATAAGCACGGAGTGCCGGCCACTCTCGAGCGTTTTATGTATTCCGACGAGTTCAACGTGAACGTCGATGGCACAGGGCACGCCATGCTCGCACGCAACTTCATTCCGGCACTTCACGCCATGATTCACTTTGGATACGCCGTCGAGTTTGGTATCCAAGGGCTGGTCGCCGAGGGTACGTGTGATTGTTCCTTCCAAGCGTCGTCATTGGCGAGCTCAGCATCGCGTTTGGTCCTTAGGTTTGGCTATGGCTGCTGTGGACATTAATGTCCCTAACACCCAGTTCCTCGCGCCGCTGTGGACTAAGGTCTCTGCCAAATCCTCGGTGGGGGCAATCACCGACGAAGTCTCGTCTCTCGGTGTCAGCGGCACTAGCGGCGTCAATGGCACGCACAAGAGTACCTCCGAAACGACGGTGTTCGACATCCTCCCTCGCGTTCTCAAATACGACAAGTTCGCAGCGACGAATTCCGAGACCCCCCAAAAGGCGATTAAGGTGGCATATGAGAACCACGGTGATCGTATGGTCGAGTATGCTCTCGACTGGAGCATCGATCTATCAAAGCTTGGCGAGCTGGAGCGCAAGATTGAGGAGTTGCAATGGTTGAATGTGACCCTTTACGGCGTTGGCGGATGGCGCGAGGGTGAAGGCTTGCAGGCTGATTTCTTCGTGTACGTTTTCATCGAGTCTGCGCCTGTCACATGTTAACGGTCATCCGCTCAACACAGTATGCACCTCGTCACGTCGTCCCTTTTCCTCGGACCAAATGTTCATCCCCTGAGCCAGCGCTCGCAGGAAATCTTCCTCCGCGCATACTTTGCCAACACACTCGCCCTGTACCACATGTTTGGCCGCCCACCCCTCCACATCTCCGCGTTTTGGAAGAACACCACCGCTGCCGAGGCTTTTGTTCCCGGCTCCGACGTGAGTGCCGGATACACGGCAGCCCAGGTCGACGCAAAGGTCCTCGCAGCGACTAAGGGAAATCCCAACCCTTGGCTTACGCACGCGCAAAGCGCAATCGTGGCCAAGGACGATCACTACGCGAAGATAATCCGCGCACTATTACACCTCGCCACGCAGTTTGGCGACCGTCCGACGGGACACCTGGCGAAGATCGCGCCGAACTCGGGGCTTGAGGGACTTGAGCAGCTTGACGGCTCGTTCTTCCTCAGGGTGGCAGGTTTGACGGCGGAGGCCGTGTATGAGACTCAGGCTTGGAGCTTTGGCGGGTTTTACAAGAACGAGCTGTAACCGTACTAAACTAACCTCTATGTATCTTGTACGACGTGTACCTAGTAGATGGTAATTCACCGATAACCTCCCTCTTCGTATTTGTTGGTTGAAGCTGAAGCGCTGAAATTTCAGCTCAAAGCTAACCTGAAGTCGGAGTCGATTCTTCCTGTTTTTATTCGATTCACTTATTTATATTCGATTCACTTATTTATTTATTTGTTCAAAAAAGTCGGAGCATCAAGATTATCAGCGACTCAAATATGCTTCCACTCGATCATCTCGCTTCTTCCAGAGAACTAGCCAAAAACCGGAGGTATGGCGTGGTTAAAGAAAACATCAACAGTGTAAACTACTTGCGGTACTGACCATGTACTAAAATCCAATGCAATCCAATGCAATCGGGGTAGAAGCGAAGGGGAAAAGCAAGTTATAGAAGGCATTATTCAGGCAGGTATTCTACTATGATAGATGACCTCTCTTTAACCAGTGTCTCACCGATCAATCGTTGATTCGCGGTTCTAGATCTGTGTTTGCTCTGCGCACCCAACCAACATTCGTGGCTGTGCTCGGACAACGCCGATGCGCCAACAGTCAATGAACAGCACGATGCGTTTGGCAACTGCTCAACTAGGTGCGTCCTAAGGCCTAAGTTTCGAGTTGATGTCGTCTGTGTCAGTGCCCTTGACGTGATGTATCTGCCTCAGCTCGTATTCCTTGCTATCCCCTTCTATCAACGTCTCTGATACGTGCTCAGACGCTGGGAACGTCCTTGGCATGCGGATGGAACCGGGAGATTCTGACAGGCGTATGTCCACGAACTTCAAATTGACGGCCATGAGTCACTGTGAGCGCTCGTCCACGCGCTGGGCGCTGAATGATTGTTGTCCATGGATAGGGGCATGATGCATGATGATCTCCAAACCACGTGTGCAAGTCAACACGCACACATGGGGATGTGTTTATAAGACGTGACGTTTGAGGAGACCACCTAGTCCTTCACGTAACCCACGTCCATTTCTCGCCTACTCAACAGCCATGACCTCGCCCGTCGTCCAAGACTTTGAAGCCTTCTTCCCTGAGCCATCGACTCTGCCTTCGACATCCTGTCCCCAGCGACTTCCTGGAATAACCGCCGCGTCAAACAAAGCGATCGTGTTCGTCATGCGCGACAATCACCAGAAGTACGATGTGTTCTGGGATGACCGGAAGTTTCATAAGTGAGTATTATCAACCCGCGAGAAGAGCAAACACATTTAAATAGTACACGTTTCTAGCCACGTTACGCATCGAGCGTTTGCCCTGTATGCGATGGGCGCTCAGGGGCCTCTCATCGAAGGGTATTACAAGGCGGATGCGAAAAGCCTGCGCCCTGCTTTCGCATCCCCGGAAGAGATTACAGAGCAGAATTACTGTGACCATCTAGAAGACGCAAAGTGCGTACTTGCGTCATCGGAGCTGTTTACGCTCAAACTAACCAGGTTGCTTTCAAGATATTACTCCGCGTATGTGAACTTCTTCGCCAACGAAGTCGCGAAGCACGGCGCTATTGCGACGGTAGAGAAGTTCGCCTTCTCTGAAGAGTATAACACGACAAAGGCGTGGGGATTAGCGCATCTCATGGCTGGGGTGTACCATCCGATGATTCACATCGGGAACGGTTTGGAGTTTGGCATTCCTGGCCTCATAGTCGAAGGTAAGCAATCATTCCTGTATACGCACGAATATGATCCTTACACGGGGACCAGGGCTTGCGATGGGTGCAGTGAATGATGTCTTCAATGTCGACCTTCTTGGTCCATCATTCTTCAAGATCGTTCCGACACTAGACACCGCGACGCAGGCAATCACGTCAAAACTTTCCTCACTTCTCCTCGACACCAAGAAGCCGAGCTCTGAGCAGCCAAGGTCATTGGAGACGACAGTGTTTGATGTACTAGCCCGCGTCCGAAAGAACGACAGGCTCGCTCCGCACAAGTCGTCAGATATCTTCACGGAGACAGTTTACACGCTTGTCGAGCGTGGTGGACCTATTCGCGAGCTTGCAGATGCGTGGTCGATTGACCTTTCAAGGCCTGGTGAGGTTGAGAGAAAAGTGGAAGAGCTGATCTGGATGGCCACACTCATATACGGTGTCGGTGGCTGGTCTGAGAAAGAGTTCCAAGCGGAATTCTTCTTGTGAGTTCTTCGTCATTAGCAGGGATAGCGAAATATACTTACCATAAGCGCGAACAAGCCTCCATATCGTTACCTCCGCCATATTCCTACCCTCCTACACTGCCCACCTAAGCCCGCGGTCCCAAGTATTGCTTCTCCGCGCGTATCTTGTCATGGCCCTCGTCACATACGTCAGCCGTGGTCGACCCGAGCTGCGCATTCCCGCGTTCTTCGCCGGCACCATCCCGGGTTCCACGCTGACGCCAGGGAATGTCTCTATCAGCTACACGCCGGAGCCCGAGACCAAAGACGCAGCCGCGAATCCGAATCCATGGCTCGCGCTCGTGCAGAGCGCCCTCGTGCACGAGGCCGACCACTATCCAAAGGGGATTCGAGCACTCCTGCATGGTGCGCAGGCGTACGGCGCTCGGCCGAAGGGCTACTGGTCTGGAGAACTCGAGGGGATTGAGGATATGGACGGGACACTGTTCCTCAGGACTGCCGAGCTAACGGCGTATTGGGCGAGGGATGAGAATCAGGAGAGAGGTATTGGCGGTGAGAGGTGGAGCTTTGAGGGCTTTGGGGTGTAATTAACCGATGAACTAAACCGCTGTGCAAAACTGCAATATTACCTGTTGTCTAGTAATGACCAACTGTGTATAGGAAGATTAAGAACACGCGCTTCTTAAAGCTTTCTCACTGTGCAGTGACCGCGCACGTGGTAGAGATGAGTTTTGTCGAGTCTCCCCCGGTCATCTAGGACTTCCACCATCAATATCATGAAGTTGAATGGAATGTTAAGACTGTGTCATTCTTTCTGCAGTGTTTTTGTAAGTAGTCTAGCCTTTCTACGCATTGATTTTCTCGCACATCGATGGGGCAAGGGGATAGTGGGGTCAATGACATATTAATGGATGAGTCGCACAGGGCTAGCTCAACACAGGGGCTTATGCTATAGCATTGTTGCGCTTTCATTGTTCTCGCGCATCGCATCGTTTGTCTCCTTCAGATTAAAAAGAATGCGACAACCCACAATCGCATGCATATTTGGCTGTATACTTTTCCGGCGCATTAAAAGGTTAGGTTAGAAAGTATGTGTTCATTTGGGTGATTCACGTACATGGCGACAAACTCTGCTGCAAGACTCTAGGAACCATGACATAGACTAAGTTAGCCGCCAAAATCAAATGGGTCAGAACCGGCTTACTGGAAAGAACCGTGCAACAAAATTTGTGAAAGAAGTCACTATGGTAGAACAATAATCCGTCAGGATCTTGAACTTTGACTGTAGGATAATGTGACCTACCAAGTATGAGGAGGATATATGCGAAAGTATCTCGAAACATAACCAATGTCAGGGGATGGTGTGAGTATTGAGTAGTCCTCCTCCACATTACGAGGGTTAGGCATAGCTGAGCTACGAAAGTTGAGAAAATGCTTCATCAGAGTCAAGAAGGATGCAGGTAATGATGGGTACCTACCGCACTCAAATATCACAATACACAAGTATTGGGCCATAAAATTTTTGTTGAGTACCAAGCCGCACGGATATTTGAGAGGAACTGAAACAGTGATATCGATCCAGTATGTGGAACATTGAAAAGGTTGGAACGAGGATAGAATAGGCTCTGGCGCTCACAAAATTGCGGTAAGTTCGGGTTATAGCCCTCACCAACTCGTAATTGAACAACAAAAGATATCACAATACAGACCTACGTTATTTCAGTGAGAGTACAGCGTTATTGTTTAATAGCGCTCTGAGCTCACCAAAGCCAACGAGAGTATACCACATAAGGCCTTACGGCTTTTGTTCCATATCACATACACCCGAACTATCATGATAATCTCGGCGGCCAGGATGGAGGCAGCATTGAATACTATAAAGTCACACGTTCACGTCAATGAGCGAGTCGGAGCGAGGTGCATGAAATTGTGTGACCGACTTGTAGTTGCCAGTCCCCAGTTTCCACACTACAGTATGGCATGAGGGTCATAATCTCCTCCCTCATCTTCTCATACTTTTACTCACATTTTTAGGTGCTAGAGGACCACATCAAGTCAGTTAAAAGCGCAACGATAGCGAGGAATTATCGGCGCGCACAGTATACCAGTAGAAATGATCCCACGAAAGGACAATACCGAGCGAGGAGAAATAAAACACGAAGGAAACTCCAATTTCCGTTGGATATAAGCCTCGTCTTGAGATGGTCGGACAAAGACCATATACAGATTAAAGGCCATTACTCACCTCATACTTGAACGTTAACAGATAGTCGTACACCTATAAACCCGCATGATTGAAGTTTGGATAAAACGCAGCACAAGGTCGCCTTACCACAGCTACCAAAGCTATCACTACTCCGATGAGTGGATCAGCTGCGTGCACGTCACATGACATTGGGCAATGACCGCACCTGTAGAGTACTTGGGAGTTGACACATCCATTGACTAACAGCAGTGACTTCGTTCTATAAAGAACTCACCTTTGCGAGCTGGACCTGATTCTCATCTGGTACGAAATCAGTGTTAGATGCCATAGTCCAATATCGTGTGTCTTTAGTTCCGGTCGTTGCACAAACCGAACCGTATATAACTGCTTCTGAGATGTCATATTTTTAACCATCGAGGCTGAACCTGTGTTTGAAAAGCCATGAATTCATGATGAAACCCTCGCTGCTGGGGAGAACTGGTTACCGAAGCCGGGAGTATTTGTCCTTACTCTGTTCTTTTGGACGATCCCACTAAAAATACAAGGCACATTATCCCTGGTGCTGGGAAGGCGAGAAGTGATGCCGGGCTTGACCAAGGAAATCTGTAGTCTAAATTCGTTTGCTGTGTGGTTTTTTCTCGAGACATGGATAGTACATCATGATTCCGGTGTCGCACCAATGATAGTAGCTGTATGATGACCATGAATAACAACTTCGCGAGAATTATGTCCAAAAGATGTATGTGAATACATAACTGTATTGGCACAATTTAAACCTGAGAATACGTCCTAAAGATATCATTATCAAGGAAGAGTGCATGCCGCGGCCAACCAAAGGATGAAGTTGGGGTGATCGCCGCGACCAGGGGCTCTCCATTCGGGAACAGACGTTTCACCACGCCGACTGAACCACCCTTCGAGGGAGGGTAATGACAGCGCGCAATGTGCACCGCGGCCAATATTGGACAGACGAATATAACTCGGAAGAGATGATCAAGGAGATGATAGTTGCGGTTGTTGGATATGATACGACACTCCGGCGATATCCGACAGCTTTTGCTTTGATCTTGTGCCTCAGATCGATGCGTCGATGGTGCAGCACTGCAAGACTTATTAAAGGTGTGAGCGCTGCGCTGAGTGTTGCTGATAGAAACCGCTCGAGAGAGGGTTTCAGTACGTGGCACGCGTGCACCACAACGGTCACGGTGTTCCATCACGTGCGATACGATAACCTGCTCCTGACCATGACTGCTCTCACTCTAGCGCCTATCCACCAGCATTCCCCGTCAAGTCTCCATCGTCGCCCACACTAACTCATGGCTGAACCCACACCTCCTCCCTCACGAGGCCGGGGCCGGGGCAAATCGCGCGGCGGCCTGGGCAAGTACCTTCGCGCCCGTGGACGCGGACGAGGCGGCGGGCGCCCCGCCGAATTCCGCCAGCGGCTAGTGCTCGACTCGGAGCAAGCCCTTGAGTTGGATGAAGAGGAGCAGAAAGAGTACGAGCAGGAACTGCAGCGCAAGTACGCGCGCAGAAATATGGGCACGAACGCCGATCGATACAAGGAGCCTGAACCGGAGTTGAACTCGGAGGGTGGGTACTTGCCATCGCTTGTGTTGCGTTGTGGGTTGATGAGAGCTGAAGTGGTGAACAGGGGAGGAGATCGTTGAGCCGGAGGTGGATCTCTCGGAGTTCCTTGCGAAGCAGCGGCTGGTGGACGCGAATGAGCCAAGCGGAGATGTATCTACATCGCACCCACGGCATGGTCAAGAGCAGGACGATGACGACGATATCGACCATAACCTCGCACACATATCATCGGCGGGCGCCGTATCCAGTGCGAAACCAGCAAAGGGCAAGGTCCAGTCGATGCAGTGGGACCCTGCGCTTGACGAGATGCTGAAGGAGAAGCAAGCGGCTGAAGCAGCCAGAGGTGTGCCTCTTCCATCCCTCATATTCCGATGTGTCTTAACCGAATCATCGTCGCTGTGTTTTAGATCTAAAGACACGCTTCCGAGCGAGGACAGATAAGCTACGCTCCAAACCCACACCTGCGACTTCTTCCCATAATGCGCGACGAAAGCAGGGTATGCCTTTGTGTCCCGCTCTCCCCTTGTACGAACTCGTTGACCGTAATTATCAGGTGCAAATGACCTGGTTGAAGCACCGCCCTTGCCTACGGATGACGCACCACCGAAGGGCCCCAAGGCCGAAATGGAAGATTTCCTAGACGACCTGTTGGGCTGAAGGGGCCAATACGAGCATCATCTCATTTGGATCCCTCTATTTCGTCCGCGGACTGCATCGCGTACCTGAGTTTTCCAGATCACATCTTCACTTCGTGCTGTACCGAGCGCGGCGGGCGGTTATGTATGCTTTTTTTGCGCCTGCGCTGTGGTCACTACTCTGACCAAATGATGCTGATCTTGTTGTCTGTGTTTATAAATGTATCCAGATTCGTGGCTGTACAATATGCAGTCATTTACTCAGAAAAATAATGACACATGGCGTAGCATGCGTGAGCCCTATTCGAATTAAACACTGGCTTGGCAAGTATTATGCCGTGCGCCGCTTCAACACTATGACTTGAAGCACAAAGAAAAAAAGAAAGCATGAAGCAGACATCTGAACGATCTCAATTATTCCAAAGATTGTATAGCAGCTTTAAAGCGGGGACACTACACGGTAAGCCCTAGTAAAAGGCGAGGGCTTAAATTGTTGTTGCATCCCCAGCTGCTTATATTCCAATGTTCGCTTTGCATTGCCATCAAGCGATGGTTTGATTTTGCTTTGGATGGCGGGGTGCCCAGTGCCGTAAGCGCCTAAGCGACCGGCGCGTCGGCAGGGTTGGCGAAATAGGGGTCATAACGCCGAGCTCAACGGCTCATTCAGTTTCTCAGTGACCGAAGGATTGCGCTCTCGTTCGTGCATGGTTTATACGCGCCCCACGGAGGGAGTGGAGGAACATCAAGCCAACAGTCTATTGCGGGAAACAAAAACAGATCGTAAATCGTAAGACAGCTCGTCCGCGCGTGACTATCGTATCAATGGAGAGGTATCGCACGTCAAATGCAAGAGAAGAGCAAGAAGCCAACAACAACAAGAATTCAACGGGTATCGCAATCCCTAGGACCGTCGAAAGGCCGAGCACATACACGATACGGTACGATAGATCTACTAGTCTACTTTTTGGAGGAGGGGGAGTAAAGAAGGGCCTGTGCAGTTCATGCACGAGAAATCGGAGGAGCCCGTCCGACGGCGGCTGGACAAGCCCCGAGCCCGGCTGGCGGGCTGAGGAGCTAAGAAACAGACTGGTGTGTGATGCTGATACATCGAGGGAGTCCTGGGGATGGGAGTGGCGGTCTATCGAGAGTGTAAGGGTGCGACTAGGGATACAGTAGGGGGATTATGTACGCAGGGAGGGCGAGGGCGGCGGGGGAGCATTCAGAGGCCGAGACGTGTTTGAGGAGTGCTCCAGGATCACGCTGCCCGACCTTCGCAAGAAATTACAGATACAATATTTACGGGAACCCAGGCAGCAGGCCGGTCCGACTATACCGGGAGGTGCTGCACAGAGCTCTGGGGCGTGTAGATTGTCCACTGGACGTCTTCATTTTCATCGTGGGTTTCATGGCCCTGCACCTGGCTTTGCGCGGTACCGTACGCCTGCGTCTCCGTTGCCGCGAGGGTTGCCTCCGAATTCGAAGCAGCGCTCAGAGCCGAGAACGAAGAACGCGAAACGTTGGCAGAATTCGGCGAAATGACCATCACGGGCGGGAACGGCCGGTGATATGGCATGACCGTGCTCCCCACAACGCCGTGAGCGTCGCGCTCGACATCGAGGGCGCGCTGGCGAGACGCGACGTACGTGTGCGCCGCCGACGGCGTGTCGAGCTCGACGGGGGCAACGTGATTCTTGAGATCGGAGAACGAGTCTGCGCTGAACGGGGGGCTTGCGACTTGCGTCGTTGTGTCGCTGGTGGGCGAGGTGAGCTCGCTGTAGCCGTAGCCATCGTGTGGGTTGGGCAGGGGCATAGACTGCAGATGATCCAAGGTCGAGGCGGAGAACGTGGGAGAGATAGTGCCGTGTTTGAAGGAGTAGGGCGTGCCGGGGGAGGCGACGGTGGGGAGGGAGCTTGAGGCGAGGGAGAGTTTCGCGGATTTGGACCATCTACAGAAGACTGGTGAGTCGAAAAGCTAATAGTGAACAAGAGTTAACTCACCGGTCGGATCCATAGCTGCTTGGTGCCTTCTTCCTCTTGGACAAATCCCATCCGACGCGCTTCACAACAGCGACAAATGTTTCCTTGTAGTGCCTCCTCGCCTCCTCCGCCATTCCGAATAGCAAAAAGAACAACAGCGCACATCCGACGAATAGCCACCTCGTCATTTCGACCGAGCGTCTGTACGTCGCGTCGCCCATCCACATCGCCGCAGGCACCTCGCCGACGAAGCCAAAGTCGTAGTGCACATACGCCCAGGAGACGTACTTGCCGAGCTCGACACCGTCCGTGCTGAGGTACATGCTGTAGATGCTTAGCGGGATCGTGGCCGCCATGTCGACGGCTGCGAGCACCATGAGGCGGAGGTAGCGCGACTTGTTGAGGGATGTAGAGCTGGAGGAGAGGATCTGGGAGAATTCGAGGCGACGTTTGTAGAATGCGCGCAGGGTGAGGCCCGAGTAGATGAAGGATATGCAGCCGAGCACTGTGGGCCACATGAAGACGAGGAAGTAGGCGGGCAGGGAGTTGTACACGGCAGGATAGCAGCCGACACCCCCCAGGATGTCGAAGCGGTGGCCTTGGACGACGACATCTGTGACCCTTTTCAGCGGTTGAGTTTTGGGATAGGGGCGGGGTGCTTACGAAGAGCCATAACAATAGCAGGAATTCCGAACGAGATGGAGAGGTCCACAAGGAGAGCGCGGCGTTTCTAGATATTAGTGAGATAATTGATGAGAAATGGTATGGAAGATGAGCCTACCTGGCTGTTGCTAATCGAGACGGTCTTGATGACCGCAATCTTGTACAAACGCCGACTGATGCAAAGTGCGGACGCGGGTATGCCAACGCTGGCTCCCAGCATGAACTTGGTGGCTACAAAAAAAGTCGACCGTTAGAGAACGAAGCGCAGAGAAGAGAGCGATACTCACAGATATCACACCAAACGGGAGCAACGTTCAACGTCGAGTCGCGCCAGACGACAGCGTTGACGAACTCGAACAGACAGGAGAGACCAGCCCAAAAGATGTAGGCGCACGTGCCCGCGTTCTGTGCCCGCACATGCCATGGAAGAGGGATGAAGACGAGGAGGAAGCCGAGGAAGGCGCAGATGGGGAAGAGAGGATAGAGGGGGTCAAAGGTAGGAGGCGAAGGAAAAGAAAAGGGAAGGCTCATCGCGACCGCGTCCAGAGAGCAAAGACGGGGGCGAGAGAATAGAGAGGCGATGAGGGTGCCGCTGCATTATATGTACCAGGCGATGAGTTTGGCGAGCAACCAAAAGGGTTAGAGATTTGCCCGACAATGGGCGGGACTGTTTGGCGAACCGACCTCGAGGCGTCTGCAACAAACACCTCGAGGTCGGCTAGCACACTTTACGTGACGCGTCTATTCAGTTTTCGCACGAGACGCGTCTATAGGGGTCGCGCCTCCACCGTCGTCCGCGGGCAACGGCAATTCAGCAACTCGGTGAAGAATTTGTCGATAATCATGTTTGACTCTCGCGCTCAAGATACTAGTCCAGCTAAGAACGTAGAGGCAGCCATAAATTGAGCATGGGTGGATGTACGTAGGGCAAGTTCGTAAGTATCGTGGTTATAAACGTCCGTGTGGGGTATCAGTGCGATATAAAATCAAAATGGTAATACAATGCTAGCAATACAGCAAGAATAGTCGTGCCCAGGGTATAAAACGCGTCCATGGTCGTGAAGCTTTGAAGCCTCGTCAATCGTCAAGAAGAGTCGTAAGCTGAATAAAAGGGGTGCGGGGCAACGCTGTAATCGCTGACTAAAACGTCACCTGAAATAAAATAATGTCCGACGCGAGCTGCCGCTCCCGCTTGCTTCCTGAGCTTCGCACCGAAGGCGAGATGGCGAGAGTGAGCGGTGGTTGAACGTTGATATAGTGCCATGCCGTCAACCGGCGCCGATAGATAGATGCGGACACAGTCCAAGCGGTGATATGCAGCTCTAACAAGGACGAGATAAGGAACGGGAAAGATACAGGAACCATGCGCACTGACCATACCTGTTACTCTCCAACGATAGAGAATAACGAGGGAGCAAGTCGCCTCAAGCGACGATACATAAACCGTAACAGGTCGTTTCCATAGGATCGAACTCAAAGTCGACGGGTATCCCAGAGTTGGGAACCTCCGAGGTGGGGATGATGAGCGTAGCGAATTCGTCCATGGATGACAATAATGATATAGCGTAAAGCGATTGGCAGAAGAGGGCGTGAGGGGTGGCGACGATAAAATAGGTCGTAAACAGCGTCAAGCGGTATCGAGGTCGTGAAGTCGTGAAACGGGTATGCGTGAGTGATAAGAAAGCAAAGCAGAAGCGACGCAGGCTTTTATACCTGCGGTCGAGCCCCCATTGTTTCTTGCGGACAATGCGAAGCGGTTAGCAGTGAAGCGAGAGAGATAGGGGCTTCCATTGTTTGCACATACGTGGGAAACGGAGGTTGAATAGGCTTTGCAGCCAAACACGTTCGGCATCCCGGCCGTCCGGTCCGAAGCCGCAGCGCTGCTGCCTTCACGTCCTCGGGTTATTAGATAGCGGACGTGTCTCTGCCGTCTTCATTAGTCTTGAAGCACGTTTACTTACTTCAGCATCGCATAACATCTCCCTTTCTGCTTTCCTACACCCAGCTGAGAGCATCATCAGCCGGTTGGCGTTGCTATGATAGGACGAAGATAGGTGAATCAACATTGAACTGCCATTGGATACGATATGGACAGCTACGTGGACGCGGACGCGGCATCTCGCTGGTTGAACAACTCCACGACAACCTTCGTACCCTCGGCGACCCAGTCCTAGCCAACGCCGACAACCGTCAGCACCACCACACGCGTCCATCGCCATGCAAGACTCACCTCCCCAAAGTTAGCCTTCACACTCGGCCTCTCCAGCACCCTCCCCACATACGCCCTAAACCTCGCCATCTCCGGCGCATCCATCAGCTCCCTCAACTGCACCGCCTCCTCAGGCGGAAACCGCCCAATCCCGCGCTCATACGCGATCTTCGTCCGCCCCGCCGCAGGCGCAAACACGCAATCCGCCGTCGTAAACTCCTCGCCCACCGCGTACCCCTCCCCGCTCTCAGGCAGGAGCGCCTGAATCGCCCTGGCGCCCTCGTAGATCTCCCGCCACGCGCCCGGCCTGCCGAACGCGAACCAGTGGAAGTACGGCTCGAGGTAGCGCGTCTGCACGGTGGTCACGAAGAAGCGCACTTTGGCGCGCTTGAGCGGGTCCGAGGGGAGGAGGCCGGCGGCGGGATGGAGGTCTGCGACGAGCTCGACGAGGACGAGCGATTCGGCGAGTTTGGTGGATTGGGGCGAGGGTTGGTCGGGCGGGACGGTGGGCCCGCCGTAGGTGATTGCGGGGACCTGATCGATCGCGGGTGAGGTGCGTTTTGGTGGTGTTTCAGAGCATGGCAGATGGGGATGGGGAGCTTACTTTTCCGGCAGGGTTGATGTTCTCCGCGAACCAGGCGGGCTTGTTGCGCAGGTCGACTTCGTAGAAGGTGTGCTCGGCTTTGGCTTCGCTCAGAGCGATGGCGACCTGTCCGGTACATGTGAGTCTCGTTGGAGTTTAACTGAGTGGGGGACAGCTAAGTCATACGATCATGCTGGTAGAGCTGTGCTGTAGACAGCTGCTATTAGCCATTATCATTCTATGACTTGAGTATGCCTACCCTGTGGCCATAGAGTGTAAGCTGTTCGGGCATGTTTGCGAACTAGGATTCGGCGGAGGTTTCGTGAACACGATGGAGATTTAACAACTAGTACCGTCACTCATCGCGACCGCCTTTATACGAAGGCTCAGCATCGAAGCGCATCTGACCCGCAAAGTGGGGCTGACTGGCATAGCCTTGAACCTGTCTTTGACAATTCCTCGAGAGCGTTACTATTAGTGCAAGTACTTCTGACGTTGCGGTGCCGGAAGCAGTGCCCGACTCCGGATTCTTCGGCCTTGTCCGCATGGTTGACTTGACAGCTGACATTGGGGACTGCTCTAGTATTGCACACTTACTTGACACGTAGAGGAAGTCACCTTGTACCCTCCTTGAAGGTGCACAGAGGGTGAAGCCTCGTGCTAAGTGCGTAGCCTCGTGCTAAGTGCGTGTCAACGACCGCTCGGTGGCCAACACTGCCGGGCGTAATAAACAGCGGTGAGTGAACCTAGCCTCTTGCTAGCCCCCATACCTAAAATCCTTACTCTCGCTCTTGAATTCTTTAGTTGTCAGCGTAGCGATGCTTCAACTTCCTCGTGGTAGCCTAAAACATGTCTCACGCTTCAGAAAACCTCTTATTGAATATAGCCACAAGATCCTTCGTCCCCTCCGCAATCCATTCCTAGAGCACAACACGTTAGCAAGTGCGTCTGCGGTGCTCCTACACCAAGCCATACTCACCTCGCCATAATGCGCCTGCACACTAGGCCTCGCCATCACCCTGTCCAAGTACCTTCTAAATCTCTCCAGCTCAGGCCCGTCCATCGCCTCCCTTAGAAGCGGCGCCTCCGCGGGATCGAACCGCCCAATCCCGCGCTCGTACGCGATCCGCACGCGCCCCGCGAGCGGCGCGAAATCGCAGTCCGCGATCGTGAATTCCTCTCCTACCGCATACCCCTCCCCGTTCTCGGGCAGGAGCGCCTGAAGCGCCAGCGCGCCCTCGTACACGCCGCGCCACGCGCCGCGCTCGCCGCGGAGCCACCACCGCGCGTAGGACGCGAGGTAGCGGGTGACGACAGTGTGTGTGAAGAAGCGCACTTTGGCGCGCTTGACCGGGTCGGAGGGGAGGAGGCCAGAAGAGGGGTAGAGGTCCGCGACGAGTTCGAGAAGGATGGTGCTTTCTGCGAGTTTTGCGGATTCGGGGGAGGGCGAGGAGGGCAGGACGGAGGGTCCGCCATATGTCATTGCTGGGACCTGTGGTTTTCGTGGGTGTTATTTTCTGGGAGTGGCGGCAGTAGTGAAGAGACGATTGATGGGACTGACCTGGCCTGCGGGGTTAATCAAAGTGGTAAACCATTCGGGCTTGTTGAGGAAGTCGATCTCGTAGTAGCTGAACGAGGCTTTGGCTTCTGTCAGTGCGATCGCAACCTGTGCGACGGGGAATGGTATATTCATTAGCTGGGCGATGAGCGGCATTTACGTACACCCATGCCATTTGAGCTAAGCTGTGGTATGTGCGATATCATAATCAGTACCAATGATACCGATCTACTGGAAGATTGGACTGACTTTGTTGTTGTAGAATGTCAACTGTTTGTGCATGTCGAGAGAAAGGGTTGGTGACTATGGGGAGAGGTGGCACTTCGAGTTCCGGCTCTTATACGGTTTGAGAGACGAGTCGATAACCCCGAAACTTGCAGCCTAGATGATTACCCATTCACCGAGAGACCTAAATTCTGGGTGATTACAGAGACTTGCTTGTTCAGCCTGAAGACAAGGGTCAGATGACTAAGCACGTATGACATACGGCAGAGCTCCTTGATGGCGAAGTGGCAACTTTCAAGTTGGAGCTGCTCCGCGTCATGCGAACGTTGCAGCTCAAGGGTGCCATGGAATCATTTGACGAAAGAGAACAAACATCGTAAACCATCCTGACACTGGTGCCAAGGAGCGGGCTCGTGCGACGAACAGCGACGAACAGGACATCGATACCAAGCGCACGGACGATCGATACATGGATATTGACTTTGACGTTCAAGTTCTAGCGGCCCGCCTGTTTAATTAAGTGATGTTTTGGTGCCCTCGGCAACCGTTTCTTTATACAGTGACTTTGAATACTGGCATGATCCTCGGGAACTCACCTCATCAAAGTACGCTATCTCACTAGGCCTCTGAAGGATTCTCGCCATGTACGGTCTGAACGTTTCCATCTCAGGTACGATCATCGCATCTCTGAAGAGCCTCGCATTTTTGAAAACCCACGTACCGGTCGCGGAAGCGAGTCACCGGCACTGTGCTGATGAAGAAAGCGCACTTTCGCGCGCTTAATATGGCCCGAGGGGAGCAGACCAATAGCAGAGTGGAAGAGGTTCGCGATGAGCTCGACGAGGACAAACAATTCACTGAGTTTTGTTGAAGACGGAGAGGGTTGTTCAGGTGGCACGAGGTCGGCACAACGAAGGAGGAAATTTGAGCAAGATGGAAGTGAAAGATAGCTATTAGCTAATTCTGTGAAACGTTACAAGCTGATACTCGTAAGGGGGCGGACTGTTGACAGGGCTCTGGATTTCTTCTGCCGGAATGCGGGAACAACGAAGCGAGGGTTTGGTGTTGAGAAAGGGCTGAGTATGTCTTAATGTGGCGAAATGTTGACGCCGAGGATGCTAAGAAGCAAAGAAGACGTAATACGAAACTCCGCTATGACGCGTGGGGAACGGCGGGACGCGCTCTACAGTGCAATCCATAATATCCCCATCCCAACCATACGCTACTCTACTCCTCTCCCTCAGGGGGTGACTGGCCCTCCTCTCTCTCCCTGAACCCTCATGCCAGTCATGGTGCTCCCCAATGGCCTTCGCAAGCACCTCAGCCGTACCGCAGCACCCGATATTGTCTCTCCACACGACATGTCACCCCTAGAGGACACCGACAGCGACAACGCCCTTGATCATGTTCAGAACGGCAAGGCTCATTTTCTCGACAAGAAAATAGTTTCCTCGCCCTCGGGTGAGGGGTCAGACAGCGGAAGCAGGAGTGGGAGTGAGACAGAGTCGGAAGAGGAGGCGAGCGAGAAGGACGAGGCTGAGGGTGCATCCTCGCCTACACCTACCCCGACTTCTCATCCCCTTCCACCTGAGGAACTTGTCACTGGGCAGAGCGTCCGGAAAGGATGGTACGAGTTCGACCTCTCGGTCATCGTTGCCCTCGTGTCCCCTATCGGCAACTGGCTCACTGGAGGAGATCACGTCAAGAACTTGCTCTTGCTTTTGATGCTTATATTCTACCTCCATCAGATCATTGAAGGTGAGTCCCATATTCTGTCCTGATTGTATGCACCTCATCTCCTCTTAGTCCCTTGGAGTCTATACCACGCATCACGCCCCCGGCGACGAGCCCCTGGCCCACCACCCAAAGACGCATCCGCTGAAGACCGCTACCGCTATTTCGCATCCTCAGAACTTCACAAACTCGAAACCTTCTACCTGATCCTTACCGTTCTCTCCCCCTTTGGCGGCGTCTTCCTCCTGCGCTCAGTCGTTCTCAATCTTGCAGGTGACCATAGCATCTCCTGGTTCAGCACCACTCTTTTTGTGCTCGCCACCGGAATGCGCCCCTGGAAGCACGCCATCGAGCGCCTCCGCCAGCGCACCTCAGACCTGCACGACATCGTACACAATACCCGAGTGCCTGAAGACGACATGCAGAAAACGCTCGACGCGCTCGCCGCGCGCGTCGCGGTGCTCGAGACACAGCTCGAGCTCAGCCGCAAGGCGCAGATGGGGCTCAGCGACGACATGTACTCACACCTGGACGACACGCTCTCCGTCGTGGAGCGCAGCGCGCGCAAGCAGGACCGGCGGGTCGACATGCTGCGTGCGGCGCACGAGACGCGATTCGCGAAGCTCGAAGCGGGCGTCGAAGAGCTGCTCGAGCGCAAGGAGATATCCGCCAACGGTCATTTCATGCCCGGCTCCCTGCTGGTGTCGACCGGCTCCTCCATGGCAGAGTCACCGCTGGTCGCGGCGCTCCGGGAGCAGCTGAGCCCGATTCTGCCTGCGTGGGCGGTCGGCGGCGGGAAGAAGGACTGTTCGCCGCGGACGTCGCCGAGGAGCCCGAGGAGCCCCAAGACGATGCGCGCGCGGACGCTGCCGACGCTCGAGACGATCCCGGAGCGCGAGGTGTTCCGCGGGAAGGCGGATGGAAAGGCTAAGGGGGGCTCGCGATGGATTATTCCGATTCCCGGGCTGGGCTTGGTTCTGCGCATGGGCGATCTGGCCACGCTGCCGATTCGGGCTGTTGTTAACTTTTTGCTTTCGGGGAGGATATGGTCGCCCAAGTGAGGGTTTGATTGGATTGCGTGTCTGTCGTGCTTCGATCCGAATCATTTCTTGTTGAGGATCGGTTATCTTTATCTCTTTCTTTATTCTGCGCTGCTGAGGTCGACTTTTCTGTTTACGCGCATGTCTCTTCTCTGCATCCACCGACTGTTTCGTGTTTCTCTCTCTGCTCATTGTGTTTTACTTGCATGGTAGCCATAGCCTTTTTTTCTTTCTTAGCCTAGCTTCGCATGTGCTGCATAGTACTGTACCATACACGTTGTAGTTATAAGGTGAGCCATCGTTGTTGCTGTCCTCTATTATTATCCCCTTGATCTCATCGAGCGTCTTAACCATGCAGGTTCCGGCATTTTTGTTATGGACAGACGATGGCCCGTCAATACAGACGATCACTTGCTTGCCTTCTACTGTAAACAAGTTTCCGCACATCCTAGTTTCGTCACCGCAAGTCCGGACCGCCGGAGAGTGTGTCCGAGCCGAGCACAACTGCCTCCGAAGACCTGCCGTAAAGTTCACAACCCTTTAGACCTTCCATATCCGGGCGTCCCTTTTACCCTCCCTTTTGCGGACACCGAGGAGACGTGCCTTGTACTCCGAACGAGCACTTCGTTTGTCCCGTCGACGCGGGTCGGGCACTCGCGCGCTGTATTGCAGTGCACGCGGCCCTAGGTTCTTGTATTTCCCGCTGAGCCTTTTCTGCATCTTTACTTATTCGTTGCTTGCGTTTATGGTTTAACGCTGAACGTTGACTTGTCCTGATCTTCCCAGGTTTTGGATGTGGCCTTTCTTCTGTGATTTGACAGGGGGCCCTTGTACTATGCACAGCGCGTGGTGTGGCGGAGTGGGTGGTAGGGTGATTTAAGAGTGGGGGTGGGATGGGAAGGTGAAAGGGAGATTACTATCCATCCCACTTGAGGCGGGCGCGTGTTTTCTGCACTTCATCTCCCTCCCCAACCTCCATCTCCTCCTCCGTCTCCTCCTCCGCCCCGTTCTGCTTATCGCGCCTCGAGAAAGCTCTCTTCTATCTCTATTCAAATCGTTCTTTTTTTCTGTCTGGGAATAGCACGCTACAATCGCCAACAGACTCTCATCTCTAATCTCGTGCAAGACACGCTCTGGTACAGCATCGTCAACTCGCAGTTGCATCTAACAGCAGTTACGACAAACAACATCCCCACGAGACATGCACGCTGAAATTCCGGTAATTTCGATCCTCGCTGCGCTCTGCTGCCTCGCGCCGGCGTGGTGGTACGCACGGGGCGCCAACGGCGGGTGCGTCGCGCTGTGTGCGTGGCTTTTTGCGGGCAACGTCGTGTATGCGGTGAATGCAGTTGTGTGGGGTGGGGACGATGGTGTGAGGGCGTCGGGGTGGTGTGATCTCAGTGAGTCCCCTTTCACCTTTCTTGTTTTTTATGTTTGGACATGAGGAGGTGCTGATAGGGATTGCACGATTTTAGGCACGTCGATTATGACGGGTTCGAGGATCGCGATTCCGGCTGCGTGTTTGGTGGTGGGCTCGCATCTCCTGAAGCTGGCGTCTGCGCGCAAGGGCGCACAGCCCGATTTGGGGAGGTTTAAGGTGTTCTTTGAGGTGGTGATGTGTGTGGTTCTACCGGTGATTTATATTGTCATGCGTGCGTATGCGGTCCCTTTGCACGGCTGGCTGGGATAACTGATCTTGGCCTGTTTGTAGACCTCGCTGTGCAGCCTCTGCGCTTCGTTATCTACGAGGGCTATGGGTGCCGCCCGATTACCTCTTCGTCTGTGCCGAGCATCTTCCTTGCGTGGACGCCGGTTATCATCATGTCTATAACCGCTGTTGTGTATGCAGGTGGGTTTGATTGTTTGATGTGCTGCCAGCGGCTCCTGACTGTCTCCACCTTGAAGTCCTTGCGGTCCGTAGGTTCTTCGACAACGCCCACCGCCTCTCGCCCGAGTTCTCTGCGGGCCCCCTCATTCTTTCGCCCATCGTCCGCCTCGCGGGCCTGTCCATCGTTCTTGTTCTCTTCAGCTTCATCCAACTCGCAGACGACATGCGCCTCGCCGTCGCACCGGGGCTGGCCCCCGAGTTCGAAGGCTTAAATGCGGTGTCTGGGCTCTCGGTTATCGCACAGGTGTCCTCGATCTCGAGCTCGCTCAACAGCGATTTGCTCCTGAGCTGGGTCATCACGCCGCTCCAGAGCTTTATCGTTGCGGTGTTCTTCGTCCTGCAGTTCGACTTCAAGGAAGTAGGGAGGAAGGTGTGGGCCGGCGTCAAGTTCCCCGAGGTCCCCATGAAGTTCAAGGGCGATGATCTGCGCCCAGACGCGAGACGTGCGTCGCTCCGGCCTCCCGCCGAGATTGCCATCTCCATCTCCGACTTTTCGCACTTTGACGCAACAGCGACGAAGTCATCCTCCGCGTCGACCGTCGTCGATATCGCGCCCCCCGCTTCTCCGCCGAAGCTCAAGCTCAAGACCGTGGATTCGAACGATTTTCCCCTACCGCCCGTGACGACACCGTACACGTACCCGCGCCCGCCCAACCCCACGACGTTCATGCGCCCGCAACTCAAGGCGAAGCAGTACTCCCCCGGCTCGCCGCCCTATCCGCGCTCGCCGCAGCTCACGAACCCGAATGCGCTGAAGCCGAAGCAGCAGCAGCAGCAGCAGCCTCTCCCCAATGGAACGCTCAAGCCCGGATTCAGCTCGCGCACGCGGGGCGGCAGCCGTCCGCCGTCGCTTGATCTGTCGCGCGGGGAGTCTGCGGTCGCGGCGCAGGGGCAGAACAGTTTTGTCTCAATCTCGCCCTCGCCGTCGGTGGTGTCGGGGTACTCGATGACTGTCGCGTCGTCGCACAACTCGCTTGAGGCGGACTTTGATCCGAGGCGGATCATTGTGTCGCCTGGGTACGGTGGGCCCACGCCTACGACGGCGAGCGCGTCGGCGTCTGCTGCGCCGAGACGGGATACGTTCGGGCGGAATGGGCGTAAGAGTGGGTCTGAGCATGGGCATGATATGGTTTAGCGCTGCAAACATTGGACAGTGTCTGCGGAGGATGCTCATCTATAACGCCTACCTTCTCTCTTTCTGATTTTACGTCGATACCACCGTTTTCGTAGATCCTCACTCATCACGATGCGTCTCTCTTTACCTAGTATGTAGCTTATTAATCGTGTGTCTTGTAGCATTAGAGTCTACGCTTTGTAGCATATATCCACTTTCTGTCGTTCCTTTCTGTGTTTGGTCGCAATAAACAGGGGCTTTTGCTTTGACTTTGTTGCTTCTGAATCTGACGGGATATGTGGCGAGTGCGTCTATCGGCAGATGCCGTGTGTCGTTGCCCAACAATCACGTCTCTTTGCGCCGGTCAGATTGTATAAAGGAATCCTGTGGGCGCTATCGCTCATTTGGACGTTCAAACCTGCGACCATGTTTCCTCTCTGCTCCAGCACCAACTGCCCATGTCGTACTTGTCCTTCGGCGGAGATACTTATCGCGAAGGAAGTGTCAGGTTGCCTTCGGTTAACTTCATGAATGCCTCGTCGTCTCGCAACAAATTCTTGATGCTCGACACTGCGTTTCACCTCGATACAATCTCCAGCCATTGGACAGCTCGACGACCTTGTTCTCGGTGTCTTGGACGACAGGACGCTACTGGGCGACCTTTCGGTGCCCGAGCCAGCGTGTCATCGCGACGAGCCGTGGATTAGCCGAGTAATAATAGCGACAAGTCGACGACCCTCCGTAGAACAAGGTGTGTCGGTCGCAATGTTCGGGATGTTCGCCGGTAGCTTATTTTGCGCGTGATGGTCTCACTAACGAACTTTAGTGGTCCTGTCAACAAAGAACAAGGGGCTCTTCTGGCCGCCGCCTTCCAGCTCCTGCAGTTCCAGCGAGTTCCTAGCAGTTCCTCCCGCCACTTGGCCGCCACTTGTGACCTGGTGCCTTGGCAGGGCCTGCCGCTGAGCGAGACGTCTGTGGCTTTTGGACCTTTTGGGACGCTGCTTTGTGTGCCTCCCGCCGGCGAGGCGGCCGAGGAGAGGATGGACCTGCCACGCAGGTTCCCCTGGTGGCGCGACCAGCGGGTTCCCACCAGTGACAGGACCGGCAAGGTCCGGGCAGGTCCGTTCGACAAGAATGGGACGTTTTGCGTCGGTTGTGCGGGCCACTTTCCCATCCTCCCACAAACACCCATCCATATGCGGGCGATCGTTTGTGGGCGGAGATGGAATAGGCGACGTCTTCCATCTTGTTGACATTGCGTCGATTTGCTTCCGCCCCTTACCAACGCACATGGGAGGCGAGAGAAGACGGATTCAGATGAAACGCCCAATGCGTCACAAGAGACCGGATGACCCGAGGACCTTTAAGATGACTCTGGGAGGCGGGAGGACGAGTTTCTCTCGTGGCCTTTCTGTTCTCCTACGTAGCCCTTTGCGCGACACCCCCGCCGCCCCCGTCCCCCGCTCCACTTGTACACAATGTCTAGCGACTCACCTGATTGGGTTTTCACCATGTTTGCCTTCTTTGGCTTCGCGTTGGTGCTGATTCCTCTCCCGTGGCATCTGGAATGTGAGTGCCACTCGAAAGCAAAACCCCCAAGTGTCTCTAACAGAACATCATTATAGCTTGGAACGTTGGAACCTGCCTCTACATGGTCTGGACGGGCCTGGCTTGCCTGTGCCAGTTTGTCAACTCCATCGTTTGGCGTAGCGACGTTATCAACCGAGCGCCTGTATGGTGCGACATCTGTACGTCGAGCGTCATTCCCCGCGATGTATGTCTGGCGCTGATCAGTCCATGATTTCTAGCCACTCGGATCATGATTGGTTCAGCTGTGGCTATCCCTGCCTGCTCCCTCTGCATCAACCGGCGCCTGTATCATATCGCTTCCGTCTCCTCCGTGACGAAGACCCGCGCTGAGCGCCGCCGTGGCATGATGGTCGACTTCGCCATCGGTCTCGGTCTTCCTGTCTTGGAGATGATTCTTCGTGCGTACCTTGGAAGAATTGCGTTGGTGCATCGCTGACGACGCTACAGAGTACATCGTCCAGGGTCATCGCTTCAATATATTTGAGGAAATCGGCTGCTATCCATTCACGTACAACACCCCTCCCGCCTACGCGCTGGTCTTTTGCTGGCCCGTCGTCATTGGTCTCATTTCCATCGGATACTGTGTTCTCACCGTTCGCGAACTCGCTATCCGCCGCGCACAGTTCCTGGAGCTGCTGTCCGCCAACCGTAACCTGAGCTCGGGCCGCTACTTTCGGCTCATGGGTCTCGCCAGCATCGAAGTGCTATGCACCGTCCCGCTCGGCGCGTACTCGATCTACCTCAACGTTACCACCGAGCCCATCGAGCCCTGGATCAGCTGGGAGAACGTCCACGTCGACTTCTCGCACGTGAACCAGGTGCCCTCGATCATCTGGCGCCAGACGCCGGAGGCGGTGACGTCGCTGGAGCTCAGCCGCTGGTCGGTTGTTATCTGCGCGTTCATCTTCTTTGGGTTCTTCGGCTTCGCCGACGAGGCCAAGAAGCACTACCGCCTGGCATACACTTCCGCCACGAAGCGCCTGGGCCTCTCCACTGGCTCGTTCGGATTGACCACCAACGGGTACGTGTTTTCGTCTTCCCTCCTTTCGCAGCTGCAGCGAGCTGACAATCCACATTTAGAACCAACCCCGACATGATGTGGGACTCCAAGAACGGCGCGATCCCCGTGTTCGTGTCCCGGAACACCGAGCGCAAGCGCGACTCGTTCGCCTCGTTCTCGACCAACATCTCTCTGGGCGACTTTGGTGGCGCGCTCGACGACGTCAAGGACGCTCCGCCGTACTCGCCGGCCGAGTCGTCCGGCTCCGTCCACGCGCTCCCCAAGCGCCCCGAGCCGACGCTCGACCCGTCCTCGGCGCCCCGACACAAGCCGGATACGCCCGAGCCGGTGTCGCAGCGCAACTCGATCGAGGAGGTCGTCTGATCTGTTTTCGTGCCGTTTTCTTTATTCTTGGTTTATTTCTGTGGGATCTCTTGTGGTAAACCTCATCATCGACAAACTATTCCCATGTTCCATTTTCAAGTGTCCGAACAGCCTTGAATCATATCCATCCAATTGTGCTTGCACGTTCTCTCATCATCGTTCACTCTGTATCCCTAGTACCCATACCTTTCTTTTTCCGCTCCTTTTAATGCACAGAATACCCCAGCTATAGGCGGACCTTCCATCCACCGGACCCACTCACCGTTGATTACTCTTATTGTTACTGTATTACAACTAGACTGATGTAGCCCCTACGCAAAGTGAATTTCGTACGCGTCTTGAATAGACTAGCCATCTTGAGCATCATTAACAGTATCCGCTGGAAATTCTCGACGAGCTGCACAGCGTAAAGGGCCGCCGATAAGATTTCGGGCCTCGCGACGATGTTGCTCCGAGTGTGGAGCAAGTTGCTTCCCCAACAGCGATGGGCAAAGGGGCAAACTGTTCCGTGCGGCAACTTCGAGATGCGTGCAAACGGAGGTGATGTTATTTGGTGGCAAAAGGGAGAAACGGCCAGAGTGTACAATTGTATATTACATTTTAGCAAAGTAGTTCTACGTAGGAAAAGCAGGTTCTCAGCCGTGAACATGTCAGTCGGCTGGACTGAGTTTCGGATATGCTACTTATGTACATGAATATCATGGCGTAGATTGGGACAATTCGCCAAGTCAAACGATGGGCAGGAAATGATGGGAGCAATGTATATAACGCCTTTGAATCCAAACACTTTAAGCAGTCGAGCCATTGGCCGGTCCCTCAGGAGCACGCAGGCTCTTCTGGGGTGCGGGGGTGAGAAGAGCAGAAGCCGGGATCAGCGCAGCAGCCGGGTTGAGCTCCAGCCCGAATCCGGGCTTGTCCAAAATCGAGACATCGAGGTATCCCTGGGTAGGGATGGGCTCGTTCAGGAACAGGTTGCCGAACACGGGCTGGACCGACTTGCCATCGGGCGAGTTGGCCAGGTATTCTTGGAAGGGGCTGTTGCTCTGGGAGACGACGAAGTGGTAGGAGTAAGGACCGGAGGCGTGAGGCACGACGGGGATATCGTAGGCGGCAGCGAGAGCGGAGACCTTGAGGAGCTCGGTCATACCGCCAACCCACATAACATCGGGCTGGATGATGTCGATGTTACGGCCCTCGACGAGCTTGCGGAAACCGTACCGGGAGAACTCGTGTTCACCGGTGGTGAACTTGACGGTCGGGTGAGCGCGCTTCAGCAGGGCGTGGCCGTCGAAGTCATCGGGCGAAAGGCACTCCTCCCACCAGTCAATGTTCAAGCCGATGGCCTCGCAGCGCTTGACCAGTTCGATGGTGTAGGGAACGGTGAGGGACATGTAGCAATCGACGCGCAGAGGGAAGTCCGGTCCAACGCTGGCCCGCTGCAGACGCAGGTATTCAATGTTCTTCAACAGACCCTCGGTGCCCTCGTCAGGACCGTAAGGCAGAGCCACCTTGGCTCCGATGAAGCCCATGGACTTGGCGGACGCGGGCTGAGGGCCAGTGCAGTAGAAGTCCAATCGCTCCCGAGTTGCACCGCCGATGAGCTTGTAAACGGGCTCGTTGCGAATCTTACCCAGGAGGTCCCAGATGGCCAAGTCAATGACCGAGATCACGGCGACGGGCAGACCCTTGCGGCCATAGAACATCGAGGCGCGGTACATCTTCTCGAACAGGTTGTTGGTGTCGCGGGGGTCTAGAATATCATCAATGTCAGTTTCAGAGCTCTGCTATGCACATCGGAATCATTCCGCACCTGCGCCGAGCAAGAAGCGCTCGAAGTGTTGGTGGACCAGCCAGCAAGCAGGAGGACCGCCGAAGCCGGTCGCAAAGCCCTTTGTGCCATCGGTAGCCTCGATCTCCACGCAGAACGATCCCAGCACGTTGATGCCCCAGGAAGTGCGCGAGCCGCGGTACTGCGCCCACTTGGTCATGGGGGTCGCGATGTTGCTGTCTATGAGCCAGTGGCCTCCCTTGACCTATTGGAGCTGTTAGTACTCTGACAACTCGATTCCAAGTATTCCATGCATTCATACATTGTGGTAATCGCCGCCGGAGCCGACACCATCAATAATGAAGGAGCGGATCTCCTTGATGCGGGGAAACTGAGATGTTGAACCCATGGTGGTATATGGTGAGCTTCTGGGTATCTATACTCGGAAGAACCAATTCACAGGAGAGCAGGAGATGTGAAAAGAAAGAGAAAAGGAGATCTGGGGAAGTCGTGGGGGTCTAGGACTTTTTCAAGTCGTCGAGGGGAATCCGAGGGGGCATTAGACGATGCGGCGGGAAATCCTGCTGCCGCTCCCCAGTCACGCCTGGCAAACTTACGGTCTTCCCGGTCCGTTCACCGCTGCGGCCCGCTGAGTCCAAGGCCTGGTTTCAAGCCTCCCTGTAGCAGTCGTCACCTCTTCGCTACACCCGTTGGGTTGAACGCCGTGCTCCATTGCGCTTGTGTAAAGCGTGTCGTTATTACCTTCTTGAAAGACCCCACGTCAGCCCCGCGTAGCTGTAGCCAACTTTCTTTACTATGGTGCTTGCCTGACGATGTGGGTTGAACGCCCTAAAAATCATCACCTCTTGATGTCAACCTCATTGCTCGTGCGAGGTCGACTTCTATTACCCGTGTTTACTCACAAAAGTTCGCATTCTGGAGGTGGAGCCCCGGAGGAGGCCCAACGAACATGTTGTGTGTTTGCTAAAGTCAGCGTCGGTATGAGGGTTGAAGTGGAGTCCGAAAAGTACGGCCCGGGTTGTTGACGCCTGTGATGCTGTGATGCTGTGATGCTGTGATGACATTGAAGCATAGAGGTGGTTAACACTGTAACATCCCCTCTTGATCCCCTCCATCAGACTGGATCAAACTCTTCGCACGAATGAGGGCGCGCCCTTTGGCAAATTCTTTGTCGACGACGGGGACTTCCTGTCACCGATCTCTTCGTAAGTTCGTATTTTTTCTCTGTTCCGCATCGCGATACGCTGGGTGTTTCTTGGCGTCAATGACTCGGACAGCCCTGAGTCTGATCAGGGCCTCAAGCTCATATCTACCCTAAACAGAATAGTGACTTTCTTTCACCGATGGACGTTGGCACTTGCGTGAATCAGCTCGTTCTGGCTGGACGCCCCATGCATTCGACAAAGCAGGAAAATAGTTCCGCGGGCGCTTTTATTGATGATTCCCACCCTTTGCTGCCGATTGCCCTAGCTGACTCAGACTTCAATGTTTTCCGACTCGGGCATCGGTGATCTGCGCGCTACACAGGTTTCCAACATCTGACACACATCTTGGGGCAGAAGGCACCAGCGCTACGCTCAGGTTGCCTAGACGCTAGCGCCGCATTCACGTTTATGAATACATTGGCTCAGGATGCCTATTGCAACCTGTCGTTGCTGCGCATGATAATCGCTGATTCCGACAAGCCAGGGAACGCATCTGGACGCTCAGGGCATCAAAGAAGCTACGCGGTCCCCGCGAGTTTGACAGTCTGGCAGTGGTCCCGCTGATAGGCGCCCAACTGGCAGTAGCCTAGCGCAACCAAGGACGCGTAAGTCCCGTGTGTTCAGATCTGGGAATCGCCGGGATGGGGAGAGTTCATGGCGTCAAATAGAGATGAAGTTCAGGCCGTAGAGGGCCACAGCCTGCAGATAAAAGGGAACCGTCGCGTTGCTGCGGATCGTTCAACACTTTCTTTCCCTCACACTCGTACCGTTTTCATCTGATATCATGAGCTCACCTCCGCCAGACGATGTGCGTGAGCACGTTAACCACCCGGAGACTGTCCGTGCTCGTTTGCGTACGTCGATTCGTTCACCTTGGGGGTAACATGCATCTAACGAGGAGAGGGCAGATAATGTCACTATCCCCGTGGCCAAGATGTCACTCGAGACTGCGAAGTCGCTCATTGGCAACGTTCAAGCCGGTATGCACACAACCTGGATTACATCTTGAAGTGTTGATGACGACATTGGGATTGGCGTCTAGGCAAAGTGGTCCCCAAGGAGATCAACATCACCGCTATGAAAATCGTCTCCTCGGGAAAACAGGTCGTTGACGTTGTGCGGGACATCTCTGTCGTGTATCAAGTCGGGCAGGACTCGATCACGTACTACTCGGTATGAGCAGAATCAACGCTTCGGATCCGACTCGTTGACCGATGTCCTGCAGTCATTCATAAAACTAGAGTCGGACAGGCGAGACGACTCCAACCAGCAGATCGCCGTCGTGACCTATGCGATGTCGAATGTGATGTTCGAGCTGCACCACCTCGTCCCGTATGACTTCCTCCGCGACGATCTGAGGGATCACCTTGAGTATCTCCTGAAGCGGATGGAAGATTCGATGAAGGAGTTCGGTGCTTACTCGCAGTAAGTCGCGTGTGTACTGTAGACTGATGCTGAGCCAGTTCAAACTGATTCATCTCGTCTCTAGGATGTGCTACAAGCACAAGAGCATGCGTGCGTCCCCCATTCTCTCACCATAACATGAATAATTGCAGCCGCTAAATCGTGGACATCGCAGTCGCGGTGATGCGCGCCAACCAGCTCAAAGGCCGCCTGCAACAGTTCTGGGACGAGTTCATGGAGCACCGGCAGGGGTTCACGCAGTTCTTCGGCATCCAGATGACCGCGCCGGCCGTCGACTTCCGCAAGATCGTCGACCAGGTCGGGCAGTCGACCCCGAGGGAGAAGAAGGCGGCCGAGTACATCAAGAAGAACGGCGGGCCTGATCGTGTTATGAACGTGCGTGTGCCACGAGAGCGGTTTTCGAGATGGGCAAGCGGTGGACCAGTGGTTTTGACGCGCGAACTCATTGTAGGATCCCAAGTTGTTGGATCAAGTCGCGAAGATATTGGGCGAGAAGATCAACGGCCAGCTCCGGAACGCCCTCCATCAGGACTTGAGCGAGCTTCTTGAAGATAACAAGTGAGCGATCTGTTTCTTTTGGAGGATGGTATGACACTGATAGTCCTTCAGACGGGCATTCGAGTTCAAGATCGATGGCGCCACGCAGCAAATCAGAGATGCGTTGCAGCTCTCTCAGGACGCTATCTTGAGAAGGGTGAATAGGCCCCTCAGTTCACCACGCCCCTGGAAAGGTGCTGACTCGCTGGATAGCTCGACGATGGCCCTCACGAGCTCATCAAAGACGAGGACATCAAGAAAATCTGGAAAGGTAAGCAGCTTTCCCAGTATAACCAACTTGTTTCGCTCATCGCTGCCTTCTAGATAACGTGAGTGAAGTTGGTATCAACCGCATGCATATTCTCTGACCCTGGGTCTAGCAATGGCGCTCGAACGTCAAGAGTAGAATATTCATGGACGGTATGGGCTCATCGTTGTAAAGGTTAGAAGCGAAGAAGCGGATGCTGACGAAAACGTACAGCCATCCACGACTTCTACGAGCCTCGCGTTCGACAGCAGATGCAGGAGGCAGGGACGAATCATCCTGACGAGTGGACGCTGCCGTTCTTGAACAAAGTCATGTGTAAGCCGCAAATTCACATTCAGTGTAATCGTGCAATTGCTGACATTGGTGTACACATAGACCGGCCCGCTATCGCGGATGCGATCGACTCCGACGGCAGTGGTTACATCTCGGTGGAGGAGTGCAACGGCTTCATCGAGTCGAGACCGCCAGGATGGAGCGTGCCTCAGTGGCTGGCCTTGTGAGTTGTCCGAGATCATCGACTCTACCATGCTGCGAGAGGCTGATCCAGATCTACCCTGTGCTTGACAGCTGGGCAATCGTGTGGCTGATGAACAACGATGAGTACGTCTCACATCACACTCTGCCCATTCCACTCGAAGCAAGAATGAGCGTACATTCGTAGCTACCGCATCAAAGTCGACACACTCATCGCTGAAATCAAAGATCTCGCCTCCAAGACCAAACGCGCGAACAAGAAGGCCGTCGAGGACTACGTCTCGTGGATGGATCCGATTGACCCGATCGTGCTGCAGTCGCTTGACTGGGGCGTGTCGGAGAACACGCCGATTGGGCTCAACACGGAGGACCTGTACCGCGTGCAGGAGAAGTACACGAAGTACGAGGAAAACAAGCTAACCGAGAAGCTGAAGGCCGTGGACTATTACATCGAGGACGCAGCGACGGTGGCCATGATCACAGGACAAGATCGGATCGAGCTTGTGCGTTTTCGTCTTTCGTTTTCCTCCTTCATCCGCGCGGTGCACTGATCACGGTCGTCTGATGGGCTCGGTTCGAACAGACGATTATGCCCCTCCTCTATCTCATCCTGCAAGCCCAGCGCACGGTCATCGAAAAGTCGACGAAGCAGGAGATGGACCAGTCCGAGTTCGAGCGCCTGTCGGACACGCTCAACGAGGTTCTGCTGCGGTTCGACTGCCGGCTGGACGACCTCGAGCGCGGGTGGAAGCAGCAGCGGATGGACGTCGACGTCCAGGTCGCGTGCTTCGCCGGGGGCATATTCAGCGGGTGGTATGTCAAGGTACGCACGCCTCCCTCCCCTCATCTTTTTCTTTGACGCGTGGTGTTGACGTGAGGGTGATTTTGTCAGCGCCAAAACCCGCCCAAAGATCTCGTGGGGCTGCTCAACTTCTGGAACGGCACTAACTGGGAGGTGGACGATGACGACGGTAGCGACGACACGGCGGTCGCCGTGACGCTCGATTCGCTCAATGATCGCGTGAGCAGCGTCGAGACGAGGCTGAGCAACATCGAGACACTCTTGCAGGCGATGGCGGAGAAGTTCGGGATCGACCCGAGCGTGCTTCAGCATGATGGGCCGCAGAAAGATGCCGAAAAGAGTGAGAATGGGGACGAGGAGGAGCAACATGATGATGATGAACAGCAGAACGAGGAACAGCAGAACGAGGAACAGAACGAGGAGGAAGAGGAGCCAGAACAACAGGACGAAGAGGAACAGCCAGAAGAAGAGGAGCAACCAGAGGAGGATGACGACTATTGATTCGCGCCCGCAAGGGAACCGTTGAAACGACGTAGTATTTGACAAACGTACTGAATATCTGCTGTAACATAGATGTAGAACAAAATACACGCTCTCTCACCTCAGTATATGCCAGGTATTAAGCGATACGGCACCTTTCGCGCCCATGTTCTCCATTCCTCGCCAAACCGCTGCTCGAGCATCCTATCCTCCTTCTGCATCCTCTTTGTCAGTCCATACGTCATCATCGAGACGATGCCCGTCGAGATGGCCGCTAGCGCCCTCGACACGAGCTGCCGCTTCACGGGGAAGAGTCCCGAGCATGCGACGAGCCACGACTGTGGGTTGAAGTGGCAAAGCAGGAGGCCAGAAACAACGAGGATGATACCAGTGTAGCTCGGGTGGCGAACGAGGCCGTACGGGCCTGAGGTAAGGAGATGGTGGTCCTTGCGGAGGCTCAGCTCGAAGGTGAAGAACCGCCCTAAAGTTCGTATGCAGTAAACCCGAATGAACGCGCCAGTGAGGATGAGGGCAGTTCCAAAGAGGAAATGAGGGCTCGGCTGAGGGACGTTGAATGTGGAGGGGTCATCCGAGCGTACAAGATGCGTGAGGATGTCATTGGAGCGCGGGAGAGAGGGATATTGGATGGCGAGGATTGTCAAGGTTTCACACGTGGTTATGGACCACATAACAGTCTGCAGGAGACAACAGAGGGTGTTCATGTCGGGTTCTGAGTACGCTGCAGAAACGAGTCGAGTTGTGCGCACCTTGAAGACAACATGGAACTTTGGTGAAGCCAGCTCTAAACCAGACGGCTTGAGGCGCTCATCTATGGGAGGTCGACGTGTAGGAGGTGTTATGACATAGTTTGCTGCTAGTGAACCAATCAAAAGAAGTGTAGCCTTGCCAGGAGATGCAGGATTGAACATAACCCAGTGTTGGTAGTCAGTGCAACCTCGAGGGCGCGTACGCGTGAGGCGCGAGTCGGTGTGCCTCAAAGACACGTGGTCGACCACGCAGATCATGACACGTTTCGTGCCATCAGAGAGTTTTCGGTATTTGTTATGTTTTATATCCTAGCGTGGCTCTTCCCTCTTCTCCATCTTCCTCTCTTGAATTAGTGCTCGGTGAAAAACCGAGGTGTTTGTAACGCGAGGTGTTTGTGACATGTTGATAACACGTTTGCTACTTGTCGCATACCTATCGGCCGAAATCCTGATGTTCCATATGTTACAAACTCCTAATGAGCAGATTGATGGTACAGCGCAGCGCTCGTTGTCTAGACCAGCAGAGACCATGGATTTTGACAGCTCAACGTGCTCATTCCTCGCTAAGTTATGCCTTGCTCGAGTCATAAGCTGGTGAAGGACCCCCGAATATCAGCACTGAGGCATGGTGCCGATCCGGACACGAATTTCCTTTTTTGGACACCTAGGCCAGGTGATTTTTCCGGACATTTTAGGCCCATTTTGGGGAGTTTGAGCCGGATTTACGACCTATGCCGGGTCCAGGATACGGACATTTGAGCTGGCGCGTGAGGGAGGCCGGGTGCGCGTCCGGACAAATCAAGGGGGCGGTGCCACGAGGAGTTTTGGTCCACAATGGACCATGACTACCCTAATGCAATGTTGGTCTCCCAATCCTCTGGGACTCAGCAGGCGTGCGGCACGGTCCAGCTGTTTACATAATAACATTCTTACGAATAAGCCCTGCCCAAAATCCGTCCGAAAGTGATCCCGCGCCAGTTAACCTGAATGGTCCCATCCATTAGTAGCATTTTTTCCTAGCCTCACATCAGGAACATCGTGAGTACCTGGTTTAGGCTTGTACAGGCCTGTATCTACTTTGTACGAGGTTGCCGGAGCTGGTGCCAGGGCAAAGTTCACAAGTCAATCAGAGAAACCAGAAATTTCACAAGTTTGCACGCCCCGTTTGTCGCTACAGAATATATTTGTCGCGTATTGACTAAATAAATGGGGTGTACTGCCGCGAAATAAATGGAGCGGGCGTGAGAAAGGAAAACAAAGGGATGCTGCGGACTTAAATCAAAAGAAGATTTCGGTGAGATTCGAACACACGACCGCCCGAACACCATAGCAAGTATACCATTGAAATTGTGACGTTGACCGCTGCACCACGACGCCGTTGAACTACTAGATAACTTTAGCTTATATAACCCACCTCGGCGGGACGGACTTAGTGAAATTCCCTTCAAACACTCGACACCAGTATGCCCTTGTCACACTTGTTGATACGTGTATGAGGCAAGCACTGTATTTTAATAAGTGAATGATGAAGTAGAAGTAGGCTTGATATTTAACTTGTAGCATCATAATCCCCTAGTGAGGACAAAATGCGTCCACAGCTAGGGTGATTGACAGAATTTTCACTAAGTCCCGCAGAGGCGGGTTGTATAAACTAAAGCTATGTAGTAGTTCAACGGCGTCGTGGTGCAGCGGTCAACGTCACAATTTCAATGGTATACTTGCTATGGTGTTCGGGCGGTCGTGTGTTCGAATCTCACCGAAATCTTCTTTTGATTTAAGTCCGCAGCATCCCTTTGTTTTCCTTTCTCACGCCCGCTCCATTTATTTCTCGGCAGTACACCCCATTTATTTCGCATTAAATATCCTAAATAGTCAAAATACAATGTTGTCTTGCCTTGTGGTCTTGGCCGACCAGGCACAAGGCCTTGAAAGTCTCAAAAGTCCGTCCAGAAGGTCACGATGTTCCTGATGCATGCAAGGGCATCTAACCCTTACTTGAAATTGGGATTGTACTGATTGTGTGCGTGAAGTGAATGGTGTATTACTAATCCTCGTCGTCGCCGTCGTCGGCGGCGGTGTTGGTGAGGGGGGCGTCCTCGAGCTATGTAGTCATATACGCAAACATCGGGAAAGATAATATGGCCCTGTGGCGGAATGGATAAGTATCTATGCACATTAACCTTTTTGCGTCAATACCACGAGGTCTTGGGTTCGAACCGTCCTCGTGCCATGTTCACAAAACCCCATTATCACAACAAATAAAACCATATTTGAAGTGCAGCATCTACCAAATCATTGATTAGAGCAAAAAATCAAGCTTTTACTCTCTAAAAACCGCTTTTAGACAAGCCAGATGCCACAATCCGGACATCAGGCCAAAATTTGCCGATTTTGAGGCCAGATCCCAGTTTCCGGACATTTTCCGACCAGCAGCGGAAGGCCAGGTGATTTTTCCGGACATTTTGGGGGGTTTTGACACCCTTTATACGGACATTTTCGGAGGGGTCGGCACCATGCCTCAGTACTGATATTCGGGGGTCCTGCTGGTGAGGGCAAACTAGCCCATTTCTTCCGAGTCGTCGTCTCTGCCCCTTGTTTGACCCTCCCCTATGGACGACAACTTCTTTCACAACATCTCCCGCACTCGGGAAAGTGTGCGCCAGCTCCGCACTGCTCTAGAAGGGCTTCCAGGGACCATACCTTTTGGTAGCTCCCATTACAGCTTCATTGGCTGGGAGCCCAACCCCGAAGATGTCGAGAACTACGGAACCGCCGCCGCCGCGTTGAACCGTGAACTAGAGGTTACGTTTGCGCCGTCTGGACGTGCAGACGACAGCAGCCCCTATGCGTTCCTGTTATTAGAACGTGGGCCCGGCCTCACGGCTGTTGCCGACGTGCTAGCGTCTGCGTTGCAGGCTGCCCCGGACGATGAGCCTCTCAAGAAATGGCTCAACGACTTCTGGCGCACGGTAGCACACTATTACAGTGAAGCTAACAAGCCGGTATGTGGTCCTTCATTCTCTGTTGTAGTCTTATTAATGTCTATCTAGCTCCCCCCTCAACACAACGCTTCTACCAGCAATCCCATTGATCCCTCGACCACTGGCGATCCCGACAATGTCCCTCCTGAGGTGATCGATCCTTGCGACTATGTGGATGTACCCGAGCCCGAGAAAGGAGTGGGAGGGCGTCCGGTTGACCCACGTCTTGTCCAGCTCGCCATTCGCTGCTACAAGGCCAACGACCCCGACAGGAATACAACATTCCGATGCGTTGGCACATCGCACGGGTGCAAGTTAGCATGGAGTTCTCAGAGGCGGATTAAGGTGCGTATTCTTGCTCATGCTGCTCAATGCGAGCACCTCCCGGCCATTTTACGCAGCCTGATTGATAAGGAGTTTGCGGAGAGCGCCCCAACAGCACGACTCCTTGCTTCCTCAACCCCAGCACCCACACCATCCCCTTCCTTGTCACCCACACCCTCCCCTCCTCTGTTATCCACGTTGACAAGCACCTCTTCAAAACTTCGGCAATCTTCAATCGCCCCGGTTGCCAAGAAGGCACGCATTGAGCAGTTGACGCGGCAGCTCGACGCCGACATTGTCCATTTCATCTGCGTTGCCGGCATTGCGCCGGCCAAGGTGGGCTTGGATCAATGGAAGGCGATTCTTGCCCATGCTGCACCTGAGTACACGCCAGCGTCACCATCGAAGCTCGAGCAATATCAGATACCTGCCGAAGCATCCCTCATTCGAACCAAGCAGCTTGAAGAGCTTCGCCAGTCCTCAAACCTCTGCATCACCTTCGACGGCCAGACAATCCGGCGCCCTCAGTCTGTCTACACCGTCCACATCATCACCCCTGCTCGCGCTGTGTACTTCTTCAAGGGGCATGAGGCTTCGGATGAGTCCCACACTGCCATGCATCTCTTTCAGATGCTCGACGAGGTGCGTTCTTTACTCATGTTCTCTGCCCATGTCTCACTATTGCATATCAACTAGATTATCACGCATGTTGGCCCCAGCCGTTTTGCTGGGATATGCTCCGATAACACCGGCAACACTCGCGTTGCACGTCGCAAGATCCAAGAAAAATTCCCCTGGATCATCAACATCCCCGACAGCTGTCATCACATCAACCTCCTCATCCAGGACATCTGTCGACTTGAGGTGTTTGCGGAGGTACGTTACTCTATTTTCTGACACTACTCCATATCTAATATTATATAGGAGATATCAGTCATTCGGCGCACGAACAAGTTTTTCAGCAAGTCAACCTTCGCCAACTCTAAGCTCAAGGATGCCCGAACCAATCACGGTGTGTCACGCGGGTTAGTCAGTGTGGGTGATACTCGGTTTGGTACTATATATTTTGCGGGCAATTCAATTATGCGATGCATGGCGCCTCTGCGAGACATTTGCGAGAATAATATCATCACAATTCCGGTATAAAACCCTGCCTAGTTTTGAAGTTTACCCGCGCTTACTGATTACATAATCCAGGACGTGAACCATAAATTCGCTGATCCGGATGACACACTTGCGTTTCAACTGGACCTGGCAACACTTCTCACCGTCATTGGCCCTGCCGCCAAGGCAACTAAATGCCTTGAGTCTTCCTTTGCCACCGCAGCTGATACATACACATACTGGATTGCCATCCAGGCTTCAATTGAGGAGCTCTCGCTGCGCAAGAATTTCAGGCTGCCGCGGGAAGACGTGGAGCAAATTCGAAGACTGTGCAATTATCAATTTGACCAACTAATCAATAACGCGCCTTCAGATATTTTTGTTACAGCCTTCTTTTTAATCCCGGGTGCGTTCCCGTGCTCCTTTCTTATCTTGTCCCTTACTTATTTATGACAGGCAACCGCGATTCTGGCGTTCTCAGGAATGTGAATCCCCTGGCTGTTCCCCCAGTGGTGATCCGCCGCGGCGGAACCGGTATCTACTCTGCTTCATCTGGATTGGGCGAGAATGAGACCCTCAAACGGATCGGCGCATTCCTTGTCTCCCAGCTCCGGTTGGAGTATGTGGACAAGAAAGAACAAATTTGCTCTCACAATGGCCACACTGCGCTAACAAAACTTAACAATCAGGTGCTTGCATACGCCAATGGCACTTGGCCATTCAACAAGAATACTGCACAGGTCACCAACGAGAATGTTTCACAGTACTGGCAAGATTTCCTCACACACGACGATGCAGATGTCTTGGCGGTGAGTGCCCTTTTTCAGTTGGTTCCCACTGGCATGTGATCTAACAGCCCATCTTGTCCCCAGTACCTTGCCAAAAAGATCTTCGACATCTCTGTTAACTCGATGGCTGATGAACGGACCGCTTCTACGATGGCGTGGATGAACTCCCCACATCGAAACGCACAGAAGAGCTCCACCTTGGTCAATCAAATCCAAATCCGGCAATGGGACTTGATGCACGCACAAAATGTGAGTTCTCAACATCAATTTGAAGCAATAACTCCTATTAACTACACCATAATAGGCCAAGAAGCCGGTGCAGAAGCCTACCCTGCGCTTCTCTGCTCTTCGCCCTGATCTTGGTGAAACAGAGATCACGCACGGCTTGAAACGACCCCGGTGCGAGGACGACTCAGAGACAAGCACAGCCACAGACTCGGAAGACATCCTCGACACAGCTGACACCTGGCTCGATGAAGACACGCTGTCCCCGGAGGAGAAGGACCAGATCAGGTCTGAGGTGGTCACTGCTGAAAATCTCGTCGGCTACAGGGAGGTCAACATGCGGAGCGCGTTTTTGACTCGCTTCCTCGACCTTTTGTCTGACAAACCCCAGGACTCAGGGACTGCTGCAGTGAGGGGTGAAGACAACAGTCGCACTGACAAAGGGAAGATTAGTGGCCCTGAGCCACCTATTACATGGGAGTTTGGTTTACCGTAGATTCCCGTAGCCTAGATCGCGTAGAACTCGAGAAATCGAGCCGTTTTTGTTCATGTCACAAACTTGTTACAAATTTGTTACAAACACGTGTTACAAACCCTTTGGACAGTCCGCCAAGTTTGTCACCGTCGCACAGGGTGCATTTTAGGATAACTAGAGACAAGTTATGTAAAACTTATTTTTTGATTAGTCTGAACACGTTGACCAAAAATGGCCCAAGTCATTCAACAGATATTGTAAACCTATCGATTTGGTGTCTACAAAACATCGGTCCCATTTACGGTGAACTTACTTTGAAATAATCGTTAACGCGGTTTATGCTAACTTCTGGATGAATCAAAGCAGTTATGTAAATGTTATTTAAGAGTTTTCGTGCGCGTATGATGAGCGGGAGTTTAATTAGATGATTGATATCTTTAGCATATGTTTTAGCAAAATATAGCATATCTGCTAATATGTTATCTTAAAACAACATTACAGTATCTGCTGAATAAGGATAAAAGGTTATCTAGGTAGAATCCAAAGAACTTATTTGAAACGCATTGAAAAAAAATTAATTACTTGAAGACCATCAGAAGTGAGGGCTTCAGGCGGCGTTAGCGCAACGTACGAGGGAGGAGTTTTAGGACGGGAGGGCAGTAGATCATCTCGGGATTTTACCGAAGCATTCAATGCCATACGTTGTTCTACGTGTCCGTCATGGGGCTACGCGCCCTCCTTGGACATTAAAATGAAACTTGGGAATGTTGAGAGACAGGCCGTTGACAGCAGTACTTGACAGGCCCCTTACTTATCGCGCTTGAACACCGACGCGGGGAAGGCCTTACTAAAGTTGCGAATCGAGATGGCGACACCTTCGGGATGGGGCAGTGCCTCTTCCTTCTTCTTTCCCCGTAGACGCGCCGATAGCCTATATAGGCCAAGCTTAGGGTTGCGCGCCCAATACAGCCTGCTTTCCCAGAGCGCACCGAGCCACGGCCACAGGAAGATGTCAATCTACGAGGGGAGCTGATTAGGACACAAAAACTGAAGATCAAGAAGAAGGAAATAACGCACAATGGCAACAATAAGAATAGGCAGCAGCGTCAGCCCCGTATCCGTATCCGGCGGCTTGCCACGTCCCTCGCTATAAGATGGCTTTCCATCCACACATTGCCTGATCGCAAAAATGCAGCACCTCGGCGGGAACACGAGCGTGAACACGAGCGCGAGGTTGGCGGACACGATGGCAATGAACGTGGACACGACGGCGGCGGGCGGCGGGCGGCGGGCGGCGACGAAGAAGGCCCATGGTGCGAGCGAGAGGTCGAGGAGGATGTGCACGGCGATGACAAGGCCGACGTTGGTTTTGCTGAAGATGTGGTAGTGCCAAATATTGACAGAGACGATGATCCACGCGGAGAGGTAAACGAGGGAGAGGGAGATGTGCCAGGATCTGGTGGCGGTGGGTGAGCCCCAGATTTTGAAGGAGGGCAGGGGAGTAAGACGCATAATCGAGATTAATTCGGGCAGAGTCCATGGCCCACCGCTTTCATGCAGCTGCTGATGAGGTTTACGCGTTCGCTGGTGACCGGTGACATGTGGTCCGAGGAGTTGGCCAGTATGGAATCTACCTATGTAGCAAATAAATCTGGCAGCCAAGTGATCAGCTGACTGCGATACCCTCAGCTGATGTTGGTACCTACCAGCATCACCGTGGATCGGTTTTCTTTTCAGGCAAGGCGGCCCGCTGTCCCGCCCTCTTGTGGTTCACCCCTCTCTGTCGGAAAAACCAAAACGGGCATCTTGACGGTGGCGGCATTTCGCGTCTCAACGCAACTATATGGGGGGTTCAAATCGTCAAAATGCCATTTAAATGTTGTCAAGACGGCGCCAAGGCGGGAATGCGGTCGTAGCGACGTGATATGATTGGCTTTTCGTCGTCGATGACCCGTTTTTATGAGCGTTGAAACGGCATCTCAACTTTACGAACCCCCCATTAAGACGGGGTTACCATCAAAATGCGTTTCAATGCATTTCGACGCAATTTCGCTTTTTCCGACAATTCGCCAACAAAATCAATAGGCCGTACGCAGCTTGTGAGCGTTGTGGTGCATCTCCCCACTCTGTAAAATCTTAGTAACGCGGGCTGGGGAGACGTTGAACATTTGAACTTGAACTCGAGTCTCCGGTTTGTCTCTTCTGACTCTGAGCCGAGCCGTCTAAGTTCTCACAGATCTTACGATCAACGCACTTCACAGCTCAGGCGCATTTGGCGAGCCCGCCTGTCCATGTCACGTCGCAACGGCACGCGTCCCCTCTTGTCGCATTCAGGGTATCGGTCACCTCAATAGCCGCTCTCACCATCAGCGTTCCCTACAACACCACCCTATTACAGAAGCTGTCATGGCGCCAGCAGCATAGGAAGCATGCGTGTTCATTCCCAATCCACATGCCCGCCGAGTACCCCACACAACAGATACGCCGGTCCAGTAGAGGCAAACGAGAATATGATAAGATCTTAGCTACAACAAGAGATGACAAACAAAGAGCGACGACAAAGTATAGAATGCATAACCACGCTTAACCTAAAGCACTCGAGAGCGTGGTATGAAGCCAAGGTTTCAGGCTCCCAGCTACTGCAATAACGAACGCCAGCATGAAAAGGGCACGCATGTAACGTTGGTGGGTGATGAGGGAAGGAGCTTGAGCACCCATTGCTTTTAGCTTGTCATTTGTGACTTGCGTCAAATCTAGTGCTAATTAGTTATGCTCTAATCAATACACACAACTGCGTCTGCTCACTCAGATCAAAATCATCCCAAAGCTTGATGCAGGGTATGCCATCTATCGTGTCACCAGAAAATGTTGCGGTGACTACCATAGTTTGGCCATCGTCGCCATGTGGTGAGGCCTGACGCTGGTCAATACTCGAACTATTAATCACAGAATAACTAACTGTGGCGGCAAGAACAATTTGGCCATCTAGAAAAGGACGTTGTTAAGTTAGGTAGGATAATTGCTACACATATGCATCGTCACCTTCATGCTTTAGTATCTGGGCTGCTTCGTCACTCTCAATGTCCCAAACACAGGTCCGTCCGACCGATGTGCCCCCAAGAAGACTTCTTCCACTGTGAAGAAAAGCAACAGGTGCTCTCAACGCAATCTTTTGGCTGAATTTGACACGGAAAGAAGTCAAAGGTGCACCGCTGTCAGTATCATAAACATCGAATCCGGTTTTCATATTAGATACGGCAATTCGCCGATAATCCGGGGAGATAGACGTCCTTCCGCTAGAGATACCATGCGTTAGAGCAAGGATGGGGTGGCAAAACTAACGTTACATTGATGTCTTCACTGGGAAATGATGCTGGGTTTGTTGTGATCGTGCGTCCCAAAACCTAGTTGCATTGGGATAAGCCACAAAGGAGAAAAAAGGCGAAGAATTATAGCATGCGCTTACACGATGCCGTGGTGCATGTAGCAGACCAAAAGCGATTGAGGATGAGATGGTGTGGATATCCAGTGCAGGTCACAGACAATGACCGAGTCATCCTTATGTTCATCTACCATTGCGGGGTAGCCCACGCGTCCGAGAGGGTTCCACAACGCTGATGGTCAAAAGGTCAACCACAACAGCTGATTATATAGGCAGCAGATAACGTACCTAGAGGATCATCATTCCTACCCAAGGACCAGACGTGCACCTCCTCGTGGGCGCCCGTTGCCATATTGTTGTCATGAAGCGCCAAGCACTCGACAGGGCGCCGAGTATGCGCTTGAAAGCCGGTTGCAGACAACCCGTCCTGGTCAACATCGCTGAGCCTGCCTGTCGTCGCGGAAGCCGTAAAACCTCATACCTCATGTATTCTCACCGTGGTAACCACCCCATTGGCCATGCCTAAATCGAACATCCATTCGCATCTCCAAATCAACGATGCCACTGGAATCCGCCCTTCAACCACAAATATCAGACGTCCTGATAACGTTGACCAGACTGCAGCCTTGCCGTCCAAGCAGCCAGCTGCAACAAAGGTGTGCTCAGGGCTTATGGCGAGGCTTGACACTATCCTAGTAAAAGGGTTGTTTTTCGCCACTGTATAATTCGGCTTATGTTGCATTCTTGCAGACTGCATGCTGGGAGAGTAAGGAAGAGGTAGAGCATTAAGAGCGCCGGGTAACCCGTCAGGTACCGCAGCTCAGGCACCGGCGCCAAATGTCCATCAGAGTTCCGGAACCTGCCGACATCGGCTGCTGCCAGCAACCCATTAGGCCTTTAGGGATAGGGGTAGTGGCCTTGGGCTGCCTGGCGCTCAATGGTCCATCTCGGCAACAGGATCAAATAGTGCATGAAGCGCATTCGAGCCTCAAGCATCAAGTCCCCCACTCTAATAAAAAGGTGCCGATGCTCACCACTTTGAAGTTGACTTTAGCACTCCCTTTGACGCTTGCGTATCTACCACCGCATTCTTCGTGATACGATTTGGCGAGGTTAGCATCAAGTCTCTGATGTCCTTCTCGCCTTGCCACCGCATCACCCGCAAGGATGACTTGACTCCGATCTTGATGGCGAGTGGTATGCACAAACTCAGCCTCTCTTCGGCGAAGACAGCGCGACCCGGGGAATTGCAATCGGTTCACATATTGGGCGGGGCCATCCGTGCCCGCTCGACGCGCTGGCGACCCAGCTCCCTCCGCATTCATTCTCTTCCTCAAATCCGGAGTGTTGATGCTATGATCAGCTAACAAAGGTATGTACTTGGATTATCTCGAGATCATCTTCTCCACCTCTAGATGGGTCCGTCACTAACTTGATACCCCCTCCGGTCTTGTTATACTTGGGAATGATTGGCATGTCCCTTTCACTTATCCAAGAGGCTCGGATAGCCTGATGATCTCCACGCTCGTAGTCACTGGGTTGATCTCGTGGCTTTCGAACACCGTGCCTGATCAGAGTATCCTGCCGGCTCATTCGCTGGCGTCCAGTTACAACACTCCGCCACTTATCCTAGCAATCGTATTCAACGTCATATCCACCACGCTTATGGCGGGTAGCTATTACGCTTCCGCCGACACTCGCGACAAATCCTCGGTATGTCTCCCTCGCCGTTCCCCATACATAAACTTTCGGCACCAAGCTCGTAATAATGTCCGTACCCCGCAACCGACAGGTCCCGTCCTCCACCCGAACCACTTCACCAACATCGCGCACATACTCACTGAGTCGTGCGCTCTACTTACAGCCGCCTCGCTCGTCTACATGGCCCTGCCGCTCGCGAATCACCCTGGGGTGTACATATTGGTGACACTGCTGCCTCAAGTGCAGATCATCTCAGCTTTGCTGGTGCTACTCCGTATTTCACAAGGCATCGCGTGGGGCACAACGAGCGAAGAGCTCAGTGTCGGCCGGTTTGTCGTCGATTTGGACCGAGTGAGAGTCAGACTGGAGGATGGGTCCAGCGATCGAGGGAAGGAGAGCGCGGGACGGAAGGATGGCACGAGCGTAGGTTGCGTCCCCGCACAGAGCTTGTCTCTCGATAATCGGCGATCTGATGGATATGCTAAAGAGGTCGTTGAGATGAAGCGGTGTTGATGATACCCTGTTATATTCAAGTAGCTGTATGTCGTTGACAAACACAACTTCTGAGATCAAGGATGCATATAACAAGCCGACTGCGTGAGGCTAGACATAGACGGTATGCGATACAAAGCAATAAGGGACGAGACGTCAGTTAACTCTAGTCGATGAGGATTGCAGGACCTTCCGTGTTGATCTCGATCTCCCGTTTCCGGGACTTGGGCATCTCGATCGTCAAGTCTGCTTGTTACCTGGGAAGCAGCGGCTGAGCAACGAACATACGAGAGACACAACGGGACGACCGAAACTTACAGATGCATGCGAAGCAAAAGCTTGCGGTTCGTGCGCTGCATCTCCTTGCTAATGCGCAAAGCGTCTGCGAAGAGCTTTGCGCGTTGGTCTTCCTTCTTCGCTCTCAGGACCTACAGGCGACAGGCACATCAGTGAGAACGCTCTGAAGGTACTGCTGGGGAGTACGACCTCACCTTGTTCTAATTGTCCACGCGTGCCTGAATCCGGCCTGCTTGGATGACTGTGACCACCTCCTGCTCCGCCTCAGCTACATCCCGTCCAAAGGGCGCCGCCATACGTGAAAGCGCAAGAGTCGCGAATGGCTGCAGGAAGACAACGACGAGAACCTCTCGTATGCGGCGATGTGTGGTGCGAGGTGGATATCGAGCGCATGGCGTGTCTGAAGAAAGCCATACTGATCAGAGACACGCTCAAACGCGAGTTTTTGACAGGAACCCACCAAGTCGCGCGAGAGTATCTACAAGACAAACTTAAAGTCGTTCGTCATGTACGCATGTATGAGGTCACGAACGTAATGTCGTAATGTTCCTGCTCGATGTACACCGAGAACACGGAGTTCTCGAGTAGCTGTACCTTGATCGCGCCGTGAGAGAGCGTTGCGAGCGCGCAGTGTGCCATATACGGCGATGTCGCCTGCGGGTATCAACTAAACCCATCATCGGGACATTAGGTCGATATAACTAGTGAGCAACCATGATACTACGCACCTTGTCTACCCAGCCACCCGACTGGTCTGCAGACCCGGCCCTCAAGAACATCGTAGCAGCACGCTCGTGATTTCTTTGCCCGAGGTTGTGAAGTGCAGAGGCAAAGTCCAACTTGGAGTGCGTGAGCGAGCGCTCGTTCTTGCGGGAAGGCTGGCCTGGAGTTGAGCCAGTGTTGGCTGCGGATGCCAGTTCGAGCGCAGCGTCAGCCTTGATGATGCAGGACTGGATGTGCGCGTAGTTGCATTGTTCGATGAGAAGCTATAGTCGCGAGGTCAGGAATTGGATGGCAACGCGTTGGAAAGACGTGCACTTCGAGTACAGAAAGACGCACGTCGAGGACATGCTGGCTCATCGTGCAGTATTCGCGTGACTTGGAGTAATGTCTGAGCGAGGCTGAGTAGTCGCCGTCTGCTCCTCGATCCACTGATGATTAACGTTGACGAGCTCTTGTGCTGGCGGAAGCTGAACTCCCGGAGTTGCAGCTATCCCATCGTATGCTCTGATCACTGCGTGATATAGCTCTGGGTCGCGAAGCTGAGGGATGTGGACGAAGGCGAGCTACAGCGCCTGCGGTACAAGGGTTGGACGATTTGAGATGACGTGTACGAGTCTACCGATGACCGCCCTGCATCCTGACGAGAGCACAGGTGTGAGAGCATACCGGAGTAGTTCGAGATGTATGCGTCCAGCTCAATGGGTAGGCATCGTCTACTGGGAAGCGCGCTGGCTGGTGTTGCCGCTGGGGAACAGGTGTATCTACCAATTCTCCTTCATGGACATGCTTGCTGGCCGTTGAGAGTTAAGACGCGAGTGCAAGTTGAAAGATCCTCAGAGAGGTCCTGATGGTGAGGAAGAAAGGGGTGCCACCCGCGAGGGATATCGACACTTCCCGCCAACACGAGCTCAAGGTCTCACTCAGCGCACGCAATCGCGTCGTCATCCTTGTTCTCTGTTCACGGCCGTCCACCTCGAGACTCTAAATCGACATTGTTCTGTGTCATCTAGGCTAGTGCCCTGCAGGCTGCGTCCGGTCGGGGTATTAGAAGGGCGGAGCTAAAGCAAAATGGCATTATGCAACTTGAGCGGTGAGTCATAGGACCGCAGTGCTCTAGCATATATGCTACGCCACGGTCCCAGATGTTCGCTGTAAATGCAATCATTGGCAAGCAACTCCGAGCTGCTCGTAAAGTCGAAGGCTCGGTTCCCTGTCGAGAAGATGGTGCAGACGGAACTGTCTGAATCGGTGTCAGCCGACCCCACTTCAACGCTTAGCCATCTTTCTCCAGCCCTCCGATCGTTTCTACCCTCAACATCTTGAACACCTTGCTTTGCGCCGGTCCATAGAGTGCATAGACTGATCTATGCGGACGCTCACGCTGCTGACTGTCGTACATCTTGTTCATCTCGCACTCACCTCTCCAACCAGCTCCGACCTTGCTTCCTATGCGGACTCGGTCACAACCATTACGTTTACCATCAGCATCCATACGTGCGTTCAATGTTGCTTTATGCTACTGAGAGCGCCTGCCCTCGGTCAGCCCCTCTTGATGCCCCCGTATCTTAGACGGCTCTTCCTCCGCCGCAATACAGGTGCATCGGTTGGATATTCTGCCCAGGAGAGGTTAGCCTTTATCTCTCAAACGATGCGCTCTAACTTAACGATGCTCGCTCGCCTGATCACATGCTACAAACAATCAATGTCGTCCACCTCTTCTCCGAGCCGACAGACCAACCCTCGAGTCCTACCTGCCGTCCTCGCTGATTTCTACGCGCTCAAGCTACGTTATCCGCATCTCACTGAGGCTGACCTTGTTGACTTCGTCAATACCAACTTCAGAGGTGAGGGTGAGGAGCCAGAGGGTCTCAAGCTTCACGGACTCTATCCGCATCCCGTTCGTGGATAGCATCTCGAACCCACTGGTTCGCGCATTTTCGCTGGAGGTCAACGGCTTCTGGACGCTGCTTGCACGAAAGGAGAACGTAACAGCAGTCCAAGGCGGCCTTTGCCCTGTAGAGAGCACGTTCGCACCCCTCAACCACCCATTCGCCATCCCAGGCGGTCGGTTCAGAGAACAGTGAACGTCATCGCTCATTCGGTTTTACGCTGTTGTGTAGATGCCTCCAGTTCGCATGCTGACGATTTTATGTAGATCACTGGAGCAGCTATTGGATTATACAGGGCCTGCTCTAGTCCGAGCTCTACGATACCGTTAATGACACGCTGCAGAACTTTATGGGCGAGCTAGAGTAGTTCGGATTTATACCCAATGGTGGAAGGACGTACTGTACGTGATAATATCCAAGCAAATTAAATCACCGCCTACCGTATGCAGAATTCAGTCAGCGTCAGCCGCCTCTCTTCATCCATATACGTCATGATTCCCTGGGAATATCTTCGACATGGCTCACATTTTCTGAATGCATAGATGTTATACGATTACGTGACCGCTACAAACGACACGCCCATCCTTGAGCGCGCGTTGTCGCTTGCTAAGGTCGAGCTTGCGTGGTGGCAGACACACAGAAGTGTCCAAGTAACAAGCCCCTTCACCAACAAGACTTACAGCGTGGCGCGGTTTGCAGTTCACAATACCGCTCCCCGACCGGAATTGTACCTTACTGGTGCGCATATATTCATATGTGCTATGTGACAATCTTTTATACATGATATAGCATGTCCTGCCATATTGTAGCCTATCAAACCCTTCACGATCCGGCACTTCCAATACTTCCCACCACAGAACAAGCAGCTGAGATGTATAGCGAACTCGCAAGTGGTGCGGAGACCGGGTGGGACTACAGCGGGCGGTTCGAGGCGATACCTGCGTGCAGGAGCGTAGGTTTTGCGCTCGCTAAACGTACGGAACACCATTCCTGTGGGCCTTAACAGTACACTATTTACGTCTCTCCTCTACCCTCTGCATAGAGTCTCTGATGTCCAGCGCTTCGCTTCAGACAAAGCACATCTCCTGTTGGCTGATTTGTATGATCCTACCAATGTGTCTGCGATATCTTCGTACCAGAGCGCCGCCGCCTCGCTTCGGGAAGCCATCCTCGATTTCCACTGGGTCGGATGCTGACGAGCTCGCGTCCTACGACTTCAATCTCATGTCCAATTCACGCAACTCTGTCTTCACGATGGCGACGTTCTATCCGATCTGGTGTGGGATCGTCCCGAATGAAGTGCTGGAAAGCGGAGAAAAGGCGTTCGGGCACTTCGCGGCGCTCAATATGGTCATGGAAAGGTATAACGGGACCATGCCAACTACATTTCTGGACTGGACGGCGCACCAATGGTGCGCTCTATTTTTTAGGTACCAGTACGCATTTTAACGTTGATTAGCCCGTTACAGGGACGCACCTGATGCCTGGCCACCACACCGGTACATCATCCTCCAAGCTCCTCGCGCCCTTCCATCCAACATCACATCTTCGCCTGCGCCTTCACCGCCCCCTAGCCCATCATCATGTGCGCTTGCCCCCGCGAGCCAACTCAACATGCCCGAAGCTGATCTTCTGTCTCAGCCTATCCTCGGCACTTCGTGCAACGCGAGCGCCACAGGGCCAGATGTGGATATCAGCGCAATGGACGGGACAATCATCAACGTTGGGAGGGCAAGAGGGGGAGAAGGGTGGGCCGACAGGCTGCAGAGGGAGCTGACCAATCGGTACTATACGAATGTATTTTGCTCATAGTGCGTCCCAAGGCGGTATTCTTTTGATGTCTTTGACGAAAGTTGTTTCCGTCGCAGGCACGCACTGGAAGAATGTTACACAGCGGTCTGTTGGACCGTCTCCCTGACGAACAGCTGGCACTCACCAACAGCGTCAATAACACTGGAAACGTACGCTGTTTCCACTGCTCCTCATGATATTGCTGATCACATATGTTGAACAAATGTTCGAGAAGGTCTTCATCCTCGAAGTTGATCTATCCGGGTACGGTGGCGAATACACCGTCCAAGCCGGGTTTGGATGGACGAACAGTGTTTTGCTCTGCGTCGCAGCGACGTACGGGGACGTGCTTGCTGCTCCGGAATGTCCGCTCATCTCCACTCTAGATTCACCTTTGGTAGTCTCCGCGGAAGCAGATGCAGTAGTAGGCGACAAAGACTGGCAGGCAATGGCTGGGATGGTCTTAGTGCTTCTACTTGGGATTGCCGGTCAGGCGTTGTTCTTCTAAGCAGTGTATGGATTGCAATGTACATTATACCGGCATCACATAATACTTAAGACACCTTGGATCTTTAAACGCTTAGCTTCATCGCGCACTGTCGTAGCATATTCTGCTTCTGGAACTTCTTACTTTCCAAAGCTTATACCCTTATGAGTAAGAAGGAAAGCATCTGGGGGTGCAGCAACTTGAAGCTTGAAGCTTGAAGCTTGAAGGCTGACGCGAGTGTTTCGACAGGCTCACATTTGTTTGCTTGGTGACGACATGCAATCAAGTCCGAGTCGCGCTCATTGTTTCCTGCATCGAGCAACTTGGGTGCGCATGAGCGCATCTTTCACCTGCGTCGGCATGCACAAGCTCGGTTACTCACTGGATGCGCAAGGCACGCGCTTGTCGGGCCCCACGGAGCTGACAAGAGCTAATGAAAGGTGATCATGCCCCATCCATCGAAGCATGACAATGTCATCTGATGTTGTTTCCGAAAAGTCCCAGGTGGGCTATGAAGCATCCCACATACACCTATCAAGAGGCCCCATTGAACAGCAAAACCAGCGGCCTGTTGAACGCGTGCAGCCGTCTCACACCTTGTATATACCCTAGTCATGGGCTGTCGAACCACCTCAGCCTCGAGAGTGTACCCAACGCTGCATCGGCTTCGTGTCGCTCGCGTCTGAGAGCGCGACATTTGCCGCTAATGCTAGTTACTTGTACAATGCGACGAGCTGTCCCGGTGAGCTCCTATTGTGCGTTGATACATGTAATTCAACTCACCAGAAGCGCAGGGTACACGCTTCAAGAGCTCAAGCAGACCAACACCGGGCTTACCGCGCAACTCGACCTCGCCGGAGAAGCATGCAACGCCTTTGAGAGCGACACCCAGAAGCTGACTATCCAAGTCACCTACGAGACCCAGCAGAGGTACGTAGTTTCTCATCTTATCGAGTTTACCGTGCTAAGCCCTGGTCAGATTACATGTCAACAATATCTTTGACGCGGCGTAGCAGCAATACACCATCCCCTCCTCCGTCATCCCCGTCCCGGATCCACCCATGACGTCGTACACGAACAGCTCGAACCTCGTGTTTAACTACGACGCGTCGCCGTTCGCGTTCTGGATTACGCGGCGATTCGACCATCCGGGTGCGATGCCGCTGTCTGACACCACGCGCGTCGTCTCTTCCCAAGGCGCCCATCGCTCCTGCAAACGGAACGGACAACTCGACCGCACTGGATAGGTTTGAGCTCGTGTTTGAAGACAACTATCGGCAGGTGGACCAAAACATGGACAGCTCATAACCCATCTACATGGAGCATAGGTACGATCAGGGCAGCAACACACGCGTCAAGGACGTAAACATGAAACCCAATAGCTTATCAGGCATTGCTCCTCCGAAGCTTCGCGTTCCTGATTGAGCTGTTGATTGACTCGGATAAACTATACTATCTGGTGCTCATGAAAATCAGGGGAACCGCGGCGTACTCCTTTTCTCGTGCGTTATCTCTCCCTCTTCGTCTCCATGTGGTAGACATGCTGGCTGTTAGGCGGTTCGAACGGCGCAGGCGTCGCCTGTCTTACGAAGGAAACCTACTCAGGCAAAGTGTATGCCGAACGGGAGAAGGAATTGGGCAGTCTAGATACGAAGTCGAGATTGTCGACCTGGCGCCCGCTGCGTCTACTTCCGTGACCGTAAAATATGATGATGAAATTGTTCGTACCTTGCTTGTTGGGGCCCAGTCAGAAGCCGGAATCGACTAACATGGAAACTGACTCGGCGAACGGCAGTTACTTTGATTTCGACGCTGCTGGCTGATCACATCGCGGTCAAGTTGGAGATGATTCTGCACAAGGAGATCAAGATAACGCACGAGCAATTTGCCGCATAGAATGAAGCTCGACTTGGGTCTGGTGAAGGAGAAGGACCTGACACGAAGATGTGGAGTAAGGGCCAAGGGCTATGTGATGTACGTGCGCCATCTCGTCGACTCCCCAAAAAGCTGATCAATGATCTCTCTCACCTCCACAAGTCGACTGGGGCTCGACAGAGTATGTTATCTGCGCATCATCCAGTCATGGTCAACAAACACCGGATGTGACTATATGACTTGCGTCCCACTCACGAGCCAACAGACGACACCATTGTTCTCAAAGGCGTATTCTTGATTGCAGCTGGGATGCGATACAAGAGCTACTAGGCGCTAACTTGAACGTGGGCAGGAGTATCATTGTGGACCCATCAAAAATAAGTCCTGTTGCGCAAAAATGCACCTTCCAGCTGACTTAAGAGTCATAGGAACAAGAGGAGATCTACAGCCTCCTGCTTTCTCTACAAGGCGAAGTACTTAAGAAAATGAAGAACGGGGCAAAGGCCCGATAAGTTTATCAGACAGCCATTGTGTCCATAGAAAAAGCCGGAGCTCGAAAGAACTTTATCAAGAACGTTGGTTCTGGGGTGCGTTATGCTAAATCCGACCGAGCCAATGCCTCCACACAGCAGGCTAATATTCGTATGTAGGCGGGAATTGAGTTACGCGACTCTGCATACTTGCTCTCACTCAAGAACTCCCATCCTCTCTGGACCAACGTGATCTTTAATCTCACGCCAGGCTTTTCCGACCTTGTTGATGACGGCGGAAAGAAGTGAGTCAACCAGCCCATCCTTCACTGTACCTGATTTTAACAGCACATAGGTACGCTCTTCATCTGTCAACAATGTCCGGGTGAATGCTGACAAGGCCTTGTTGATGGCGGAGGGTGTGCGGTTTCCCAAGGACACGCATTTCTTCCTCAACCATGGGGATGAGGGCAAGAATGAAGAGCTCTCATCTGAGGCCAAGGGTAACACTCTTGCAAAGTCGCATACCAAAGAGCAAGACAGCTGGTGGCAAGGTTCTTGATAGTAAGACTCACAGCGCTGCACAGGAAGAGGTGCTTCCCGGTTTCAACAGGGATATGCACCCTTCTTCATCACGGTATTGAGGTAAGCAATTCCGAGTTGACCTTTAATTATTGTCCTGATCCAGGCTTGTTCATCACCTCCAGACCGAGGTAAAATATGGTTTTAGTAAATACAACAGCTACGTCAAAATGAAAGTTAACATGATCCCGCCCTATGAAGTGGGCCTGAAACTACACAGACTCCGATCATTCCTGCGAGCGGCCTGCGGAAGCTGCGTGGAGGGAGGAGTGCGACGCGGCCATCGCCGGTGTAGAGGGTAAGGGCGAAGGGGACGTGAGCAACTACGGGATTTTGAAGATGGCTTAGCATGTGTGAACCGAGTGAATACACAAGGGGTTGAAGGACGCACAAGTTGGATATAGATGGGTCCGTCTTTGGTGTGCATGTCTACCCGCATGCGTTTTGATTTTGAGATCGCATCGCCGGCCTTCTGACTGGGTGACCTCTGAACATGCACGTTTCCGTCGATCCAGCCGTCCTCGGTTTGAAGTTGAAGTTCCTGGTGGGTACCTTCTGTGTCGTCTCTGCGGGGTGGGAGGAGGTGCGCGGTGAGAGAGAAGGACGGGTAGATGCAGAATGAGCCTTGAATTCATCCGTCGGATTTCTCCAGGGAGAGATGATTTGTCGTGCGGATGCCTACTGACAGTGTATGGGCGGAGATATGGGAGGAGGATGGGTTAGCTTGGTTTAGTGCCGGGGTGGGTATGGATACGGGTGTTGGGGCAGTGTAATTACATAGAGAGATGTATGCTGGAGGTACGTCTACCTAGGGAAACAGTAAGGGAGGTGAGGCTCGGTGGAATGAACGACGACGTACCTCGCCAAATGCTCGCTGAACGGGTGCCGCAGCCTATCCTGTTGTCTCTTCGAATCAATGATAGTCAGCGTAGAAGACCTCTTTCTAGGAAGAACCTTGAGCTAGTGGAGAAAGCAAGTGACGCTTGAGAACCTATTGTGTAGGGCATTAGCCAGATGTGCGTAGCACTGCGCAGTCCGGCAGAACACCGTAACTCTCGACGTGTCAAAGAGTATCCTTAAGGCGACATGCGCGGCGCATTCAGCATCGCCATGCATTTTGTGATGGAGAAAACAACGTCCATTATATGGCCAAAAATGCGAAGGTTGCGGAGCTCGCGTTGACAATGGCTGATAGTGAGATACGCTAGTTTCAAGCTCCGTGGACCCAAATAGACACAAATATATCACCGAGAACCCGGTCATCGTCGTCGACAACGCCAAACGTCTTCTCAAGCATACGACGCTCAAGGTGCGCCTACGCCATATCGCCATTCTGATGCCCCAGGACCATTTCTGCGCGTATACAAGTTGTTTGTGCGGGCCGGTTACGTTGGATGGCTGGCGCTGGGTTTAGATGGATGGATGACTGGGACAGGGAACGGATGGGCTGATGTCGGTGGTGGGATGAATTGCTGATGCTCTGCAATTTTTCGGTTCAAGGTTGCACATGGGCCATCAGGAGTTTCAAGTCGTCGGTCGCCATCTCCCTACGGAGAATGACCCAACTCCCTGAATCTACCGCATGCGCATCTTCGCGCTCGAGAAGTTGTTGCCATCGCACTTTTGGTGCTTCCTGAGGTGCGCCAAATCTTTCGTAAAATATTCACCATTACATGATCTTGATGGGGTTTTAGGCAACTGAAGAAAGTCAAGAAGGCGTCCAGTGAAATCGTCGGCGTCATTGCTATGTGAGTTCTAGCCCCTTGCAGCCGTTCAAGTGACAGATAGATGGCAGGTTAGCAGGCAATGCGTCCCCCCTTGCGTTTTCTTCTTCTTCGCTCTTCGATGTAGACTCACGAGAAGCGCCTGCTGACGGTGAAGAACTTCGATATCTGGCCCCACTACGACTCGCGTTCCGGCACGCACATCATGTATAAGGAGTTCCGTGAGCTCTCGCGCGCCGACGCCGTCAAGAGCCACTACCAGGACATGGCTGCACGGTACCACGCCCATTTCCGGTCGATCCACGTATGCTCCCATTCGCGTTTATAGTCGAAAGCGCGATCTCACAAATATAATCGGACAGGTCATCCGCGTAGTTGGGCTCCAAAAGGCCGACGGTGTCCACGGGCCGTACATTAAGTAGCTTCTCTAACCCATTCTCAAGTCTCGCCCTCACCGCGTGGTCAAGTCGAAGCCGAAATTTGTTGCTCAGTGTCCAACGACGTTCTGATTGGTCTTCGTGGGGACTTGTTGCATGGTTTATGGTACCAAAATTATCACTTGCTTGGCCATGTATTTCACGCGATGCATGCATGCATTATGGTATATGTGCTCAACGCCCATGGCCTCTGAGAGATACCCGAGTGATTCGGCAGGGACTACGGCACATGGGATGGACACTATCTAATAAGCTGTGATTGTGTTTGTCAGTGTGCAGTCGCGACAGCGCAGCAGCAGAGAGCAACAGTTGATCTGAGCCTTTTACTGCAATGTTTGACACAGACAGGTGAACAGGCATAGCACTTGCAGGTACCAATAGGTATGGTGACGATGTAAATGACATCTTTACATACTCCGATCCATGTTGCGCTGCGTTGGCTAGCGCCCAGCTTAACACCTCTTCTCAAGTCCCCTTTACCAGCCCTGTACGCTCTTTGCACAGCAAGATTGTCTGGTATCTGACTATTTCACTGCAGCGATGGATAAAGACAGTTTTACGTCTATTGCAAAGCTCGGTTCAAATCGTAGGAGGCCAAGGCGCCTGTCAACTGAAACAGAACATGACAATATCAAACGCCTCTTCGAACGACGAACCCGAAACCCTAGTCCTCGTCTCTCAAGCCCACTCATGACAATCATTGGGCTTGTAGTTGGTGTAGCTAGCGCTATACTTCTCTCTTATGCATCTCGCTGTTTCTTTGAGACCGGTCAATTATCTGGGTGCTTCTTTGCTGGCATAGGCTCTACCTTATGTCCATCTCATGCTGATGGCACCGTAGTCTCAAGCCCGGAACTGCAAATTGCCATCAATTCACCCCGCCACACATGGGAAGACTTTCAGCAGCATATTGCAGACTTAGAGGGCCATGTGTCAGTTCTGAAGGAGCGCATTTTGGAGTCAGAGAAGCAGATTGCAGACCTCAAGCAGAACACTATTTCTCGTGCAGCCTTGAGTCGTACAGTCCAAGAGGCTTTTCAGCGTCATTCATTCGGTCACCTTGACCTTCCGGATTTTGCTCTCAGCTCTGCTGGTGCTCAGGTCATCCATGAACTCACCACCCAGGCCACTGGCCTTCGCATCCCTTTCCTTTCACCAAAGGTCCATCCACCCGAACTCGCCTTGAAGCCAAACAAAGAAATTGGCTCTTGTTGGCGCATCAACGCGCGCCACGGGCAGCTTGGTGTTTTCCTGGCCACCCCCATTGCAGTCACTCACGTTACCATCGAGCATCCTCCAAAGCAAATGAGCCCGGAGATTGAGCTGGCCCCTCAAATAATCATTGTATGGGGGCTTGTTATGGAAAAGGAGAAGAATCTGGCAGCCGAGGGTATCACGCTACCTTCAGACTTAGCCCAAGCACTGGGCTCTCGGAAATCCCCCCCCATAGCTTTGTCACGCGATGTTTATGCACCGCTGGCTTTCTTCGTATACAACATCTCCTCCCCAAACCCAGTTCAAACATTTCCTGTATTTGAGGATGCGAAGGCTTTGAAGATTATGACGGAAATAGTTGTGGTGGAAATAATGGATAACTGGGGTGCAGGGGCTACTTGTCTATACCGTGTTCAGATCCATGGTGAAAAGGAGGGCTAGCGTGGCATGATTTGAATGCAATAGCACCTGACACCTTTTCTTGTACAGTGCCAGTGTTCGTATTTGTTTCAGAGCGAGCATGTATATTGTATGATTATCAGAGATGTATACTAGCACCAATCAGATGAAGTCTATATGTTTGAGTAGGCATACTATAAATCAGCGTCAATACACCGCTGGCAAACGTTGTTGAACACCTCCGTTGTATATGCATGCATATGCGCATCTTTGAGACGCTCGCCTGCGCCTGCAAAGAAGTCCTTGAGGGGTTGAAGGATGGTGTGCACGATATAACTGGGCTTGACGGGAGGTCGCTCGTTGGGCATGGCGCGGAGCTGGGAGGGAATGGAGCGCACGAGGGAGGAAGGCGTCTTTGAGTCAAAGTTTGAGGGTGAAAACAATGTCCTCGCAGGGCTTACCTTCTACAAGATGGGTTTCCATCAATCAAGCAGCATTCTGCTATTCTCTTCGGTATCCAGCGTTCTGCTGAAGTCGGCTAATTTGGATAACTAAAGTGGCTGACTGTTTGATCGCGTGGTTATCCGCTTCGGTGGACTCAAATGTAGAGTTATCATATGGCGGAGGAAGAGGAACGGGAGGTGGGGGGCTGCGTTAACGAAAACTAAAGCCCAAGACGATCGTTCAGATTGGTCAACATAAGTGACGAAAAGTTCCTGAACCTGTCGCTGCCTGGGGTAGATTTGCCTTTCCGAGGGATTTATTCGATACTGGGACCATCCCCCTTTACCCAAGGCTTGTACTTGCCCAGCTCATTAACTAGCAATAACTGAGGAATAATGTCATTCAAAGCAATGAAAATCGGTACCTGAAGCGTTAGTTGCCAAATCTGAAATTCTGTTTCGGGGGTACAAAATTGGGCACTCCAGTAATCGTCATTGCGGCCATGTAGCGTTGACTTGAGCGGTGACGTATTGTACACGCTACAATAAAACTAAAGTGGATTAGTGAGATCGTCTACAAGTCATCATCCAGACGTACTATGCTTTAGACTGCTATATGAATGGCGCCAATGCATAGGAACGCTTCCAACGAAGCTGGAAATACGTAGGCAGCTGACACTGTTACTCGAAGGCAGCATAGACTGAAGATACTCGCATGCTTCCAACGACGTGAGTGGAAAATGCCAGGGATCTGAGTGATTGAGTGAACGCTTGCGTTGGTCCATGTCGCTAGAGTATTTGGCCAGGTGAACAGTCGAAGCATCACAAGGAACAGCTCACTTACCGGAATTCATCGGTATTCTCCACTTTGAACACGGCACTTCCAAGCTCATCCGTTACCTTTTGCTCCACCTTCGCCCAAACGACATTCGACATGATCTTAAAACCTTCCACGTGCCCTCGTGCCCTCGTTGGGCTTGCTAACACAGCAGTGACCCCATCCTTATCCTTCAACTTCATCGCCGCCGGATTTCGAGATACTTGACAAGCGGTCTCCGTGATGCGCGTCATATCACGTTCGAACAAAACTGAGTGTTTGATTGTGGAATGCTGCGAGCGAGTCTTCCGAATCGTTCAAGAGGTATGCCGTTGAGGTTACATCGTTTATTTGGGTCTGAGAAGGGATTTCCTTCGAAGCAAAGGCGTGCGGGGTATAGGTAAATCCGAAGGAGGACGCGTCCGTTCCCACCGGACTGGGGGATGGCCAGCGTTGGAATATAGGGCATGGGGGGGAACGAAGTACGCTCAGAGTACCGGCGTATGCGGTCTATAAGAAGGATGAGTAGATGCTTATCGAGAAACAGGGGCTCACTTTTCGCAGAAAATCCGGCATGAGATCTCTCTGAAGAGCGCAGTCCGCGTTCTTCCATAATCCCTAACTCCTAGATATGGAGGCATTCTGGCGCTTCAGCGAACGCCTTGGTGCGCTCGATTTCGGACGCCCTAGTGTCTTTCTTCGTTGCCATCACCGTTACTGCCGCAGAAAAGACGTGATCGAGGTCCGATGATGGCATTGATTGCGTGCGGTCCACTCTGGGAATTTGGGAAGTCAGTGCCATTATAGAAATGAGAAAATTGGGGTGTGCATACCTTCGTATCTCATCAACGAGAACGTGCAGTTATCGTCTTTGGTCTTCGGTGCATGATCCATCAGTTGGCTGTATTTCACAGCCCGCGGCACATGTTTCGCTCGCTTTCCTCACGCCCTGTCATGAGTCAATATGGCTGCGTGCTTTCGAGAGGAACAGTAGACTTACACGATGCCCGGAGTTTCTGGCGAACTTTCTCCCGGAGGGCGAGAAGGAAATCGTCGCACCGAGCCTTTGCCTCGTGGACTTTGCCTTGAGGGTGGTATGGCGTGCAACAACGATCCGCTTTTGTGACAGATCTAGATACCTTGATGAGCATATGAAGGTATGCTTACTCAAGCGCAGACGAGAGAAATGCTCACCTTCTCCTCTCTGATCTTCGAGCACGCATCCGGCTTGCGATGAATAGCAGCTTAAAGCGACTGCACCGCTTCTTGAGCAAGGTGTTCATGTTAGCATATAATGGGGTGATAACGCCTTAGGACTTCACCTGAACCTGAGTTTGCACTGATAGCGGTGCGTTCATTTTCTCTAGGTGTTTGCCCTCTCCCGATCATCTGCAGCTGAGGCTGATGAAGGTTTCATAGTCATCGTTGATGCGGTGGGCAAGTTCTTCTTGCAGAGACAGCGAATATCCCTTGAGTTCAGAGTGTATATCCGGTAGCGACGTATGCGAGCATGACAGGAGGAAGTCGTCGACGTTGAATGATTCTGCGGTGAGGAAGGGGTCGTTATGAGAGAGGGCTACGAGCACGGGCAGGTCGGGAACGTTGGAGGGGTCTAGGTCTAAGGAACAAAGTGCATCACGCTAAGCAAGTCTTCTGCGAGCTGGTCGACTCCGAAGGGATCTTAGGATTTGGTAGGAGGGCTCATGGACATGTTACGCGGCGCGTCGCGGGCCTTGGTCTCATTTTGGAAAGCGTTCAACCCTTTAGCTTCTCAGCCTAATAAGGACAAACATGTGTCGACAGGCTCCGTGAGCCTCACACTGCATGCCACACCCTCGCACTTGAGCTTGGTGCATCGATGCATCATGCCGACTTTTATTTATCCCATGGCAAAGCGAGTGCCTGCTACATGATGTGAACCTCTCTACTTGATCCAACGTCAATTTCCCAAAACACCAACTGCCAAATACCAGCCAATATCCGTCACATTGAAACAGTTTTCCGCCGAAGCGATCTGCAAGCTATTCATGTTCAAACAACCAAAGCGCTAGCCAGGGTGCGGAATACATAAACGGAAGTACGCGCGCCCTCCTCTTTTTTTGAATTTGTCACTGCCATTGCAAGGGAAGTATGTAAGAACATTGGGAAATAGACGTAACTACGCCGAAGAAGCACCACTACGGGTCAGGCTTTGGGAAGCTGGTACAGTAGGTGCCGAGGCGGCATCATCGAAAGTAAACGCGGTCGCATTTTTGGTGAGGAAACGCCCTCCTCCTCTACTCCCATCTTTCCACCTCCTAGCGTACCTCACCGGTCACCTGCGCAGTCGCACCCAGCCGCTCGACCAGTGCAGCCCGGCCTCAGCCCTTATCAGCAAGACGCTCAAGTTGCCCAAGATCTTAAGGCCCAACGGCGTGTACATGCTCGAGGGCCTGCTACGCGTTTACGGAGGACGCGGTGTTCCCAAGGAGTGAGCGACAATCAAGCAAGCGAACAGGATACGCCTACGCCCAGAGCACCCTGGGCTTGACGGTCAAGACAAATGCGATGCTGCTCTACAGATCAAAGCGGATGCCTTTTCATGGTATGGTCGTAGGGTGATTCCGGAATAAAATCCTTAGCGTCATTTATGTTCGTGGTCACAGCCGGGGTTGAGATTTTGATGCTCATCGCGACGTTTCTCCAGCGTTGCCTTACCCTTAAGAGTGCGTCTTACGCGGAGCGTAGTGCGTTTTTCGCTGGCAAGACTACCCATGGCTATTCGTCCACTTTCTTTGCCTCTCTTCACTGATGCGTATGCTCACCCTCCTACTTCACATTTTCCAGACTACGCCGCCAAGCTCGTACGTGCCGTGAGCCTGGCGACCAGCCCCATGGACCTGCTCTGATTACGGAATTTACCTTGAGGGCCTTTTCCATTGAGCAGGTCAAACTCCTTGTGAACGGTCGTCAGGTGCGTAAATGCTATCTTGAAGCAATTTGTTGCTTCGCCAGGACGCAATTTTCAGCGGCGCTGAGATGCCCGCAAAAGTTTCTTGGTCCTCCCATTCAAAATGGTACGGTAGGCTATCAGCTGGCTGTTGCACTATACGATAATTACATCATACAAAGGTATGAGGCCAAGGATAGGCGGAAATAAATCCGCCGAAGGTCGGGAAGGAGCTCAAGATTCCAGAGACGGAGGATGCCTGCGTTCTGGGTGTCAAATGGGTACAATATGCTAATATCACTGATGTTATTTACATAGTTGTACACGAACTGGACACAAGTCCTCGCCAGACATTAATACTACAAAATCTACGTGAATATTATGATCATCTTTAACATTAATCACCTCGTACCTCAGTCTCTTCATCGTACATGTTTGAAGGCAACGGAAGGTTGAAGTACTCAGGGAGCTTCTCCCAGATATTCATCCGCACGTCTAGCGCTGTCGCATTAGCTCTGGACCGACATCCTGCACATACTCCCTCTGTTATATAATCCCCGTCAACTACAAGCGCCTTCAAATCATCCAAAGCATCTGTGGAGCGGAGGAGCATAGAGAATTTAGTGTGGACGCTTCTTCTGTTGCAGCTAGGGTTGCAGTTGGGGTGATCTGGCGGGAAGTCGAATCGGCCAGACTCCATTTGCATATGCTGGTAGATGCGCTCCCGGCCGAGCAACAGGCATTGAAGATCGTCCTTTGTCAGGAACGACCAGTCCCCGGTGCGACCCTCTGATTCGTGAACTTCATCAATACGAGCGGCAACCTCCTCAAGGTGCAGCTTTGCGCGGTCGCAAGTGATATCAAGACGAGACATATGATAGAAAGCGGCCGGTAGAACCTTGTCGAGGTTAAATTCGCGGGCCAGTCGAATGGCTGAGCCAGGTTCGGGATACACAACGTCAGCATAAGGGGCATCATCAGGATCTTCTACGTCCATGCAGAGTTGATGCTGGGCTTTGATCTCGCTTTCGAGCCGATCCCACTCTGGAAGTGTCTGCGGCCAATCCGCCTGGAAGTGCCTGACAAGCTGGCCATACAGCGATGCAATTTGATACTTCTTCGCAAGACGGAGAGGGCCTTGAATTTTTCTTGGCGTTTCAGGGTTGTAGCGGGTGAGTGCGGTTATCCTGGTGATTTTCATGATTGACTGATAAACTTCGGCGAGGGAAGCAAGGACTTACGAGGCATGGTAGTAGACATTAAGAAGGTCGCGGACATCATCTGGCTCATCGTACATACGCACGGCTGGTATGCCTTCATAGAAATCCTCTGGGTCCGTAGAGGTACATAGCATGAACATGTCTGCAAAAATAGGGGAGAGCATGGATAAAACTGATTTGTGGACGCAAAAGAGAAGACCGTTTTCGCTGCCTGTAGTTGCAGCAGCAAGAACCACGTTGCCATCGTCAAAGAAGAGAGATGCTTCTTTGAGGAAAGTTGAGAACTTGTTGATTGGCGACAGCATGATTTTGGGAGTTCCCCGGATGCTTGACTCGGATGTGAGGTAGGGAAGGGAGGCGACAATGCAGGAAGTGCATACACTTACCTTATCACAGAAAACATGGGGAAGGAAGTTTTAGAGAACGCAGATGCGCTCCTGGATAGTATGATAGGTGGGCTCAAAACCGGCAGTCTGCGAGATTCAAAGTGTACGCAATTACAACACGGAGATCTCATATTACCTGACATGGTGCTGATATTGCTTATGGCTATACGTGCACATTTGACGCTTTGACATTTTTGAGGGGAAACGCAATCTAACGCTGAATCTAATCAGTCCTGCAGTTTCCCATTAGCCATACCCGCACTGCAGCTCCCGGACGGACCGAGTTGACTGTCCGTTGCCAACTCGGATGTAGATACACGCAGCCTCTGGTGAGCTTAGCCTGGCCATGCAGCTTAGTGATCTGCTGCTCTAGTACAGGTTGAAGAATATTGACACTTACTGCAACTAATACAGTCAGCCTCTGCGATGATGCAGAGACATGAAGCATCAGGCACATCTCAAAAAAGCACAGTGATGCGGGAAAAAATGCGTGCTGTTGAGAAAGCTGTTAAGCTTCAAGGACAACCCCTCGATTAGCGTACTAGTAGCATTACCCCACCTGCTCCGCAACGTTAGCTTTGAACGGGCTCGGGCGTACTTGAATAGCCTTGGATAATGGCAAGAAGCTTAATGTAATGATGACAATAGTAAAGCAAGGTTGCCATATACCTATTTTAGATCTTCTATGCATTTGGCAAGTCACTGGCTCGTGGCAGGTGCCACAGGTGTTGCAAGGGAGGGTTAGCTCGGACCTGTCAAGGGGTAGGGTATACTGGGATATCCACTGCAAGGTTAGAGTTTCCTACCCGTTCGGCAAGTTCCTCTGGTAGGTTCCATAGGTACCTGGTAAGTCCACCGCCTGTGGTCAGGATGTCTCTGGATTGACCAAAGAGCCCAGGCGCAAAGTTGTTACGGGAGCGCGCCTTACGGTAACTGCTAGCGTAACCACTGCGGAAAACCCCAGATTCCGACGCGCACGGATTGGAGGCGGATCTACTGATCGGTGGAGGATTCATCGTAGATCCTAACTGCATCCTTCGTACCCTGCATCTATGTCAAATTACCGTAATTCATCGACATTCGCCGTCGGTTTGATTCTTGCTCCTTCTGTAAATCAGACGCGTGCAGCTGCAGGAGATACTGATAAGCTGCATCATCCTTTACCATGTAAATAATAGACCACAATAAACAAAATTATAATTTGATTTTGACTTTGCATGATTCGACGCGCATGCCTCTGTGCGTCGGATCTTCAGCTTCAGATCTCAGACTTGGCCCTCGCCGCTGTCATCTGTCTTCCTACCAGCTACACACATACACGCATGGCCGCAGTGAGTAATCATTCTATTTATGCGTCTGGTGCCCGTTTCTTCCCCCAGGTCTAAGAGACGTTTATATTATCAGCCGGCTGATCCAAGGTCAATACGCATTATTTCAACCATATTCTCAACATATTCTAACCGATTTGCAGCCAACGCGTACGCCAACAGCTGATTCTCAGTCAACATATAGATGAGATCTAGAATAGCTACGGAACTTCAGCCGCAAAAGAAGATCTTTTGGATGCCATGATTGTTCCTGGAACCGCGCTGAGTGACAGGTAGGTCACCCCGCTTGCGCTGCTTTACTCTCCCAAATCGCTGCCGGTGATAGCGCCACTCGGCATCACTTTTCTCAAGATGCCTCTCATGGCGTGGTGCATCCCACCGCGTCGTCCAACAATCGCACCGGTACCGTCGCTCCGAACTCAGCTTGCATCGCGCATCTCACCCATCGTGCGTACGGATACCTTCTTCTCCTCTAACATCACACTTCCTAGAGATGGCACCTTCATCGTCTCAAGTGTGCTGTTGCGCGAATATTTCGTGAACCGCTCCACCCCTCTTCTTTTCCAGCCCTTTTTCGCATCCTTTTCGTCCAACTTTCCCCGTCCCGTTTCCCTCATCCTCTGGTATCATCATGGCAGTTGTAATGGGTCCCTCCATCACTCAGCACCCCTCCCCCTTCCGCGCCGCGCACAACATCCCGGTTCCCGGTCGAGACAAGGGTTCTATCTGCCCCCATCGGTACGTTCATGCCTAATTTCTTGGTTCCCGGAGTTTCCTACAACTCCGTTCTAGGCCTCGCCGGAGTCGACGTCGACACAGCCTTCAACAACCTGCGACCCCTTCTACGGGCACGAGAACGCGGCGCGCCTCTGCGCCCGCTTCATCACTCATCTCATCGCCTGTCCGGAGTACCCTCCCTCGTCGTCGGGCTCTACTGTGAAGCTACCGTACTTCATCACCTACGCCCTCCACCGGACGAAACTCCACGCATCGGTTACCTTTGCCGCCCTCGTCCTCCTCCAGCGTCTCAAGGCGCGCTTCCCCACTGCTCGCGGCTCTTCTGGCCACCGTCTGTTCGTCTCCGCGTTCATGATCGCTTCTAAGGTGATCTGCGACGACACGTACTCCAACAAGAGTTGGAGCATCGTCGCACAGAGTATGTTCCAGTTGCGCGAGATCAACCAGATGGAGAGGGAGATGTGTCAGTACTTGGATTGGGAGCTCAATGTCGACCCCGTCACACTACAGGAGTTCGAGGCGATGATCCGCAAGGACTTCGCGGGCCCTGGACCCTATCCCACCTACATCCTCCCCTCCCCTTCGAAGGCGACTCCTCCACCCCCCCTCCACTGTCTTCACCTCGTCGACGCCCACTCCCGGGCCCACGTCGTCGAACTCGTCGACACCATCTCCCTCCCCTTATGCCCCTCAGCGGTATCCCTCGCCTCCGAAGCCGGTGCGCCCATCACCCCCACCAGCGGCCCCTCTCGCGCACCCGCCTGCTCCCTCGTACTCGCCTCCAGATACTCCGGAGACCCCCTCCCCTTCGTACTCCACCTCGTCGTCCCCTGCCTCGACAGCGTCTCCCAAGACGCCTCACGGCATCGAGGACCACACGGCGCGGATCGTATCGGCCGAGTCGTCGCCCGTGTCAAAACACGACGCGATGCCGGTCCAGCAGCAGCAGCATCAGGTGTCGATCGGCAAGTCGAAAATGTTCGCGTTCGCCATACCGTCGGTATGGTAATTTATTTACTTCTTTGCTCCTACTCCTTCGCTCCTCTCTTCGCGTCTACTCTCTCCCTGATCGTATTATGGGCTGGATCTCGATGGCGACGCGGCTAACTCTGTACATGCATATCTATCGGACGAAAATAACTTTATACCCGTTGCTTTCATACCTCAGGGCGTCGATGATGGTGCACTC